ACTAGACGAAAGAGTTTTCCGTTTTTTGAGTCGTTCCACAAGACGAATTTCCCTATGGGCTTGCTTTGCAAGACGAAACGTCTTGCGAGTTTGTTTCCTTTTTCTTAAAGCCGCTAAGCTGCTAAGCCGTTAATAGCCGCTAAGCCGTTAATAGCCGCTAAGCCGCTAATAGCTGCTAAGCCGCTAAGAGCCGCTAAGCCGCTAATAGCCGTGCTTCGCAAGACGAAAAAACCGCAAGACAAAGAGACTCGCGGAATGGATTAATTTCGTCTTGCGAGGCACCACTGTAGTGGTTTGCACGACCCGATAAGGGAGATAATAACACGATAAAATTCAAAACAGCAACAATTCATTGCATGTTTATTCAAAATCCGATTGAAGCTATTTAGATTAATTAACTAATTCAACAGAATGGATGAACTGGATCCTGTATGGCTGATAATCATTTACACAACATCAACTTCATTGGACTGGTCATTTTGGGCGGATGCCTGATTGTTTTCCAAAGCAACTGCTCTATTCTGAACTTAAAAATGGAAAGTGTAATGCTGGTGGTCAACAAAAGAGGTTTAAAGACTCTCTCGTGGCACATCTAAAAAAATGTAGTATAAACACCCACAACTGGGAAACACTGGCCTGCGAGGGGTCCAATTGGAGAACAGCCTTTACCAAAGGCGTCATGGGCTTTGAAGACGCTCAAACTCAGGATGTAAGGGAGAAACGTGATAAGAGGAAGGAATGCTTGGCAAACTCTCACTGTAATCAACTCCGGTCCGAAACCTATGTCCCCACTGTGGAAGGACGTGTGGATCCAGAATTGGCCTCCACAGTCACTTACGGACACACTGTTAAAACCGTGTTCATGGAAGACAATCTTACTTGGGTACAAGGGATCACCAAAGAAGAAGACCTCCTGCATCCCCTTGCCTTTTGGCACCCCCTAGGGAATCCTGCTGCCACCTGGGGGCGCTACTGCCTGCTTTCGGAACCATGGACCTAACAGACTGCCTCATCCGTTACACACTCCAGTCTGAAGCTAGGACCGTAAGCACCCCAACCCCAACCCCCCCAGCCCCAGCCCGACACTCACCTTCTCATTCTGCGTTTTGTTGAGATAGTAGTCCCTGGAAGGCAACATCAGCCCTGCCTGGTCCACCTGGAGGGGAGACACAAACTGGAGTGAAGACACAGTGCGGATGTGGAGCCACAGTTCTGTCTAAAACTGAGTCAGACCACTGGGCTCCATCCAGCTCAGGGCTGCTGGCAAAGTTCCTGCAGACCTACCTTGAGATCTGGGACCTTCTGCATGCCAAGCAGGAACTCTACCCACCAAGCTCCAGCCCTTCCCCACCTCCAAGGCAGGACCCTGGGCTGCAATTCTGGACCACAAGGACAGGGCCTTGCTGGATCAGAGCAAAGGCCCACCGAGCTCAGCATCCTGTATCCTGCAGCAACCAATCAGGTGCCGCCGGTGGGAAGAACGCTGACCCCAGAGCTGCTAAGACAGGTGTGGGGAACCTGGAGTATGGTTACCAGATTTTTTTTCAATGAATCCAGGGACACTTTTTATTTTTTTTTTTGAAGCTGAGTAGCAACAGGGAGTCAGTAGTGGGGATGGTGAGGCAAAAGACCCTGGGCCCAAGCATACATGCATACTGTATAAAGGTGCAAAGCCCTTCTTTCGTACCCTGTGAAACATAAATGCAGTTTTTTAAAAAACGGGGCAATGGCCGCCCACCCACGACTCCCCCGATCAGTCAAAACAAAGGGGGCAGGAGATCGCACAAGACACATCATATGCGCACAAGACATATCATAGGGTGACTTCCAGTGAGGAAAAATGGTGGGCGCCACGGCAGGGAGCAGCACCTGAAGCTGGCCAGAGCCAACTGTGCTACCAGGCTGCCGCTGCCATGTTTTCCAGGGACAGATTTGCAAATCTGGGGACATTCCAGGGACGGAACTTGTCTGGGGACAGATCTGCAAATCCGGGGACTGTCCCCGGGAACGTCTGGTAACCCTAACCTGGAGGTCCGCCAGGATTCCCGAACCGGCCCTCAGGAAACCGGTCCAGGCCCGCAATGTCTCCACCATGCCCCCGAGTGCTTCTACCTGGCTGCAATGACTTCTTGGGCTGCAATGACCTCCTTGCCTGGATGGAGGATGGCATCGTGCAGAGACTCCTAGCTTTTAACACAGCTGGAATGGAGCCTGCTGTGCCCACCATGGCTAGGGCTAGGGCACGCCAGAAATGACAAAGGTTAGGCAACTCTCACCTCGGCCTGAGCAGGGAGAACCGACAGCTCCCGCTCCAAAAAATGCATCTCACCCCTTGCGTGGCCTTCCACCTCCCGCACCCACCTGGATGATGTTGACGCTGGAGTTTTTGGAGTCGGCGCTGACGTAGATCGAGAAGAAGGGCCAGATGTGGTGCTGTGCAGCCAGCTGCAGCAGAGTCTGGTTGAAGTCGTCCTCCTGCCAGGGACCGCTGATGTTCCAGCCACCAAGCTGGAGGAGAGATTGTAATATAGCTTTTATATACTGTATATATACACAGTGATACCTTAGTTTGCCTACGTCTTGGTTTGCATACGTTTTGGATTACAAACGTCACACCCAGAAGTGCGTGTCCTGGTTTGCAACCTTTTTTTTAGATTACAACCCTTTTTTTTTGGATTACGAACAATTTTTTTTTGGAGGCCCCATTGGCGAAAGCGTGCCTTGGGTTACAATCTGTTTTGGTTTACAAACAGACCTCTGGAACGGATTATGGTTGTAAACCAAGGTTTCTCTCTCTCTCTCTCTCTGTGTTAAATTAAATTTTCTGTTTTACAATTTATAACACTCATTTAGACATCCTTAAAATATCAATGACTTCCCTTCTTCTCTTTCCATGGTTCATTTTGCATATCATAAATCCCTACATATTTTACATAAAATAACCATTCAGTATTCCATTATTACATCCATAAAAAATTCATTTTGTTGAATTTATCTTAATGCTGCCAACGTTTTCAAGTGTACACCATTTCCCCCCATATATTCAATAAACATTTTCCAATTTTCTCTAAACGTATGTTCTTCTTGTTCTCTTATTATGCATGTTAAGTCCACAAGCTTTGCATATTCCATCAGCTTAAGTTGCCGTTCTTCTTTAGTTGCGACCTTGCTTGTTTTCCATTTTGGGGCTAACGAAACATGGGCTGCAGCAGTGGCATACATAAATAACCTTTTTAGACACCTGGGAATTTCTGTCTGAATTATCCCCAACAAAAAGGTCTCTAGTATTTTTGGAAAAGTACTTAAAAAAATTTTCCCCAATTTATTATGGATTGCAATATTGCATGCAGGCATGCATTCACAGAGCAGTGCACCTGAACTATAAGAAGAATTGGTAAAATCCTTTGAGATCAAAAAGCCGGTGATTGCTTTTTGGGCTTTTTTAAACAAATACTTGGTTTCGACTAATCAGTTTGATGTGCATGATCTGAGAAATGATTGGAATAAAGAATTAGGAGTTTCTATCTTACCTAAATAGTGGGACAATGTTTTAGCTTCAGTAATGTAATAAAAATGATGATGATGATGGTTTTGGACAACACTCTCCAATCAGCGCACAAAACATTTCAGAGCAAAGCTAATAATTCTCAAAAAGCTGGACCTGGGAGACCTTCGGCCACAGACTCAAACCAGAAACAATGACCAACCTCTTCCCCAGGGGCCTTCTTACCATTTTTAAGAAAGTTTATACAAAATGTAGTAGGCTATTAATATTTACCTATTTATTGGGATAATAATACAGTGGTGCCTCGCAAGACGAAAAGAATCCGTTCCGCGAGTCTCTTCGTCTTGCGGGTTTTTTCGTCTTGCGAAGCAAGCCCATTAGTGGTTTAGCGGATTAGCGCTACAGTATTAGCGGCTTAGCGGGCTTAGCGGATCAGCTGATAAGCGGCTTAGCGACCAGCTGTTAAGCGGCTTAACGGATCAGCTGATAAGCGGCTTAGCGATCAGCTGTTAAGCGGCTTAGCGGATCAGCTGATAAGCGGCTTAGTGGCTTAACGGATCAGCTGTTAAGCGGCTTAGCGGATCAGCTGATAAGCGGCTTAGCGATCAGCTGTTAAGCGGCTTAGCGGATCAGCTGATAAGCAGCTTAGCGGCTTGGGAAAAAGGGGGGGGGGAAGGAAAAAAACCCCGCAGGAACTCGCAAGACATTTTCATCTTGCGAAACAAGCCCATAGGAAATTCGTTTTGCGAAGCACCTCCAAAACGGAAAACCCTTTCGTCTAGCGGGTTTTCCGTCTTGCGAGGCATTCGTCTTGCGGGGCACCACTGTATCAAACTTATAAAAAATGTATGGGTATTTTTTCGTATATATTCACATTTATCTACACATTTCGGTGTCTTCTTTTTTTCTTTGCATCACTTTATTTCTTCGTAACTGAAAACCTTTCGATAAAATATCAATATCAAAAAGAAAAAGAAAAAAGGAAGAAAGCCCAACACTGCCTTCTCCTCTTCCGCCCAGCCTCTTTGCCTGCCTGCCTGGCTCCTGGCCCGCGTTCCCTGAGCTCCCTCACCTTCTTGATGCGGTCCACCAGGGGAGTGGCCTGCAGCTCCTCAATCTTGGTCTCGTTCATGCAGGACTGGTAGTAGCGCTGGACTTTGCGTTCTGCCTCGCTGGACACCTGAGCCGTGGTGTTTTCTGGAGAGAGAGAGAGAGAGAGAGAGAGAGAAGCTCCAGTCAGCCATACCACCCAACCCCCTTTTGCTGCTAGGCACAAGATAGAATCATAGAATCATAGAGTTGGAAGAGACCACAAGGGCCATCGAGTCCAACCCCCTGCCAAGCAGGAAACACCATCAGAGCACTCCTGACATATGGTTGTCAAGCCTCTGCTTAAAGACCTCCAAAGAAGGAGACTCCACCACACTCCTTGGCAGCAAATCCCACTGTCGAACAGCTCTTACTGTCAGGAAGTTCTTCCTAATGTTTAGGTGGAATCTTCTTTCTTGTAGTTTGGATCCATTGCTCCGTGTCCGCTTCTTTGGAGCAGCAGAAAACAACCTTTCTCCCTCCTCTATGTGACATCCTTTTATATATTTGAACATGGCTATCATATCACCCCTTAACCTCCTCTTCTCCAGGCTAAACATGCCCAGCTCCCTTAGCAGTTCCTCATACGGCATCGTTTCCAGGCCTTTGACCATTTTGGGTGCTCCTCTGGACACGTTCCAGTTTGTCAGTGTCCTTCTTGAACTGTGGTGCCCAGAACTGGACACAGTACTCCAGGTGAGGTCTGACCAGAGCAGAATACAGTGGCACTATTACTTCCCTTGATCTAGATGCTATACTCCTATTGATGCAGCCCAGAATTGCATTGGCTTTTTTAGCTGCCGCGTCACACTGTTGGCTCATGTCAAGTTATCTCAAGATGAAGAATCGCAGATTTGTACAGTTGAAAGCGACCCCAAGGGCCATCTAGTCCAACCCCCTCCTGAAATGTAGGAATCACAGCTTGGGGGCCGGGGTGAACTAAGTTTCCCTGCCCTTCAACTTCCACCTCCAGAAAACTGCAAAGCCTGTTTTCTGTTCAGCTGGTGTGCATTGCATGGAAAGGTGGAGAGTTTTTTCTAGGGAGTCATTGGCCTTGAGATAGACTTGTGGAACTCACTGCCACAAAATGAGACAAGAAGAGCGGCTGGCATTGACAGCTCATTCCCCCACCCCCCAGCATCACACCATTTCACAGAGATATGGAAAATTGACACCTATGAAAACACAATGGTGTTATGGAGCCTCCAGTCCCGCAGGGAGTATACCTCTGAATGCTAGATGTTAAAGGGAGCTGGGGGCAGGGGGAGGCTGCTGTGATCTCCCCACTGCTGTTCACGTAATGCTGGTCTCGGTGACCCCTTTGGTCTGCGCAGCAATACCTGCACAGCAATACCGTTTGGGTCGCCTCTCAACTCTCCATCTCAATGAAGACTGAAGGAGTGCATGAGAGAGAGGAAGAGAGCGACCACATGCCACGCGAATGTTCTACCAGTGATCCACCTAACCTTTGCTTGTGCAGCTCCCAGCAAGACTTGCCGCCTGCCTTCAAGAATTGGGGGGCCTCAGCGGAGCACAGGCAAGAGGGAAACAAATGGTACTCAGTCCCCCCCCTTTCCCTTCCAAGGCAGCCGGACTGCTTCCTTCTTTCCGTCCTCTCTCCCTCCCAGAAGCCCCGAAAGGTCAAAACACCCCCAGAAAGCAGAAAGAAAATGGAAACTGCAAGGCCTCCTGCCAGCGCAAGGATTTCCAATTGTGCAACAGGACGTCCTGCACCCCCTCCTGTGCCCCACAATCTCCCCAGGTCTGCCCCAGAGGGTTGGAGGAACCTCTAGGATGAATTTATTACTTACTTACTCACTCAATTTATAACCTCACCCTTCCTCCCAAAGGGAGCGCAGGGTGGCAAAAGCACAGGAGATAAAGACAGTAAAAGTGTCCTGGAAACCTATTTCAATGGAGCCAGAAGATGCAGGCAATTTCATCAACTCTGTTAGGAGTTAGTTAATTAAACTAAACATGCTAGTTGGGTATTGAAAAATGTGCAATTAATTACTGCCTTGAATTTAATTGTGTGAATTTCTTCCTAAGCAAGACGTGCAGACTGCTGTTCTGACTCTTGCTTTCAACAGGGTAGGGGGCACTGGGGATGGGTTTATGGAACCAAGGGGGCGTTGGCTCCCAAAAACTTGGGAACCACTAATCTAGGATTAAAAGGGTTGCTAATTTATGGTGTGGGGAAGGAGGGAATTGGGTGGGTGGGGAGCCTCATTGCACAAGCAGAATTCATTGCACTGACAATCTGCTGGAAAAGACCCTGTTTCACGCTGCTGCCAGACTCAGGTGGCAGCCCTTGAAGATTTCCCCCGCTCTCCTTTGCAGATTCCACAGGAAGAGATGGGTCTCCCTTCCGCCGGCTCACCCAGAAGGTGCTTGAGGATGGCCTGGTTGTGCTCCCAGAGTTTGTTGAAGGTCCCCCAGCGGGAATGGCCGTCGGGGATGGGGTTGGCCTTGATCCAGCCCCCGCAGGCATAGCTGAAGAAGTCCTCGCAGGGGTCCACTGTCCGGTCCAGCGAGCTCAGGATGGAGCTGGTCACGGAGATGCAAGACTCCGTCAGGCAGAGCCCTGGAGGAAAGGGGCAGTAAGGGCTGGTCAGGGTCACAGGATTACTTACAGGGGAATCATGTAAGTAATTACACGGTTCTTCCATTCCGAGAAGAAGAGGAGTTTGGATTTGATATCCCGCTTTATCACTACCCAAAAGCGTCTCAAAGCAGCTAACATTCTCCTTTCCCTTCCTTCCCCACAACAAACACTCTGTGAGGTGAGTGGGGCTGAGTGACTTCAGAGAAGTGTGACTAGACCAAGGTCACCCAGTAGCTGCATGTGGAGGAGCAGAGATGTGAACCCGGTTCACCAGATTACGAGTCCACTGCTCTTAACCACAACACCAAACTGGCTCTCTGCGCATGAATCCGTTACGGACCACTCCACCCCCATTCCACCCCTGCAAGTGGCGTTTGTGTGCGCGGTCATGCACAACTCAAATGAATGTGAATTAGGAGCTATTTTCATTCATTTAGGCATCCCTGGGGAGGCAAATAGAAATGAAACACAGGGTAGACCCACTGAAATTAATGAAGCCACCCAGTCATAAGAATATGGCCCAGCAAGCCAGCTTCCTCTTCTTAACAGTGGCCCAACCAGATGCCCATTATGGGAAACCCACAATCAGGATTTGAGCACAAAAAGTAAACTCCACCCTCCTGTGGCTTCCAGGAACTGGGATTCAGGAGCACTGCTGACCCCAACTGTCGTGTCTAGCAGCCACTGACAGCCCTCTCCTCCGCAATGAATTCACCCAATCCTCTATTTTAAAGCTGATATCTACCGCTGCCTCCTGTGGCAGGGAGTTCCGCAGTTTAACTATGTGCTGCATGAAGAAGGACTTCCCTTTGTCTGTGCTGAATCTTCCAGCATTCAGCTTCACTGGGTGGCCACAAGCTCTAGAGTGGTGAGACACAGAGAGAGAAGGCTTTTCTCTTGCCACTTTCTCCGGTCATGGCCTTAAATTTCAATAGGTCTACCCTGAGGAGTGGAACTTGGCTGGATACCATCTGTTAGACCAAAGTCCATTACACTGGCCTGAGAGTTGCAAGGGGCTGCTGGGATGTGTAGTCCAAAACCACTTGGAGGGCGCCAGCAGGGGGCAGTGCAGTCTTAGTGTAAGCCAGGAGGGGGACTCACTGGTTCGGAACTGGAACAGCAGCACACAGATGCAGGCCAGGAAGCCAGCTGAGAGGGCCACTGTCAGCACCAGGAGGCGTTTCTCAACATGCGTCCGCTCGGCCCAGCAGCCTTTGCTGCTCCCCGACCCACGGAAGTTCACCTGGGGAGGAAGAAGGCAAGAAGTCAAGCTTCAGGGTGTGGGATGTGTATGGGTGTGCAGCCTTTGGATTCCCGCCCCCCTTGCAAGCTAGATGAACAAATCCAACACCTGGCTGAGCTTTGTGGCTGGGTTGGGAATTCGAACCCAGGTCTCCTGGGTCAGGAGGACACCAACTATGAAAAATGGGGGGGGGGGGAGGAGGAAAAGGGAGTTTTATGGAAGTTACGTCTAGCCCCCCAAAACCACATTCTCTAACTCGGGGGGGTTCTAGTCGGTGGTCCGTGGGTTGTCAGTTTGTAATTTTCAAGCAGCCTGAGGTGTGTCTGTGTGTCTGCAGTTGCAGATGGAAGACAAAGTAACGCTAAATATTTATATTGATTCCTCAATGTATTTTCAACTGTGTCTCCTACACTGCATTTTATTGTATCACCATCTCAATACTTCAGTAAAGTGGACGATTGGGTTGCGAACGTGATCTGTGCGGGAAGCACGTTCGCAATCTGCAGCGCCGCGACTGCGCACATGCGGGTTGCTATTCGGCGCTTCTGTGCATGCACAATGTGCGATTTAGCGCTTCTGCGCATGTGCTGAAACACAGAAGTAACCCGTTCCGTTACTTTCGGGTTTGGCGTGGTGCACAACCCGAAATCACACAACCCAAAGCATCTGTAACCTGAGATATGACTGTATTCAATTACTTATAATATACTGGGTTCCTACTGGAAGACCGGACAAAAGCTAGAACGTTGGCAGTGGCAAAGTTTTTATCGGTGGTTGCAAGAACAAACGAGCCCTATATTCCAAACAAAGTGCTTGATTAACCTGGAGGTAGACTGTATGAACTGTGTATTAATTTGTAATGTTTTGTTGGGTCTCTGGACCGTAATAAAGATTGATGATGATGATATATTGGGGGCGGTGCGGGGGGGGGGGGAGATGCGATTGAAAATAGAATAAAAAAACCGTACAGCATCTAGCATGTAAGAACCTAAGAACCACCTGCTGGACAGGGTGAAAAGGGACCCATCTAGACCAGCATCCTCACAGTCTCCAACCAGGTGCCTATGAGGGGAATCCCCAAAGTAGGACCCAGGCACAAGAGCCCTCCTGTGGTTTCCAGCAACTGAGATTCAGAAGAATTGCTCCCTCTGACCCCGGAGCCCCAGCATGGCCACTAGCAGCCCTGTCCTCCATGAATCCTCTTTTCACCGTCCAAGTTGGTGCCCAATACTGCCTCTTGTGGGAGGGAGTTCCACAGTCCCCCCCTTGCCCGAGAAGCAGGACGCTGCACTTGGGGCTGGTGCCCACCTGCCCACTAATGTCCAATCAGCACCAAGCTTTGGAGTGGCTTTTCGCCAGCCTGTTGCCTCCCAGAGATTGGGTGTGCAGGGTCCACCTCCCAGCAGCCCCCATGGCAAACTGTCAGCGGGGAGGAGCACGATGGGAGTGGTAGTCCAGCAACATCCTGGAGGGCACCTGAATGGCAAAAGACTTCCTTGGAGTATGGCAGATGAAGATGATGGGCTGCTTGCGGAGAGTTGCCTGCATGCTGAAGCCTGCGCGCGCTGAGCTCAGCGCGTCCAGGCTTCGCGGACCTCTCCGCAAGCAGCGGGAGCCAGCGCTGGGCTCCCACGGCTTGCAGAGAGCTGCCTGTTTGGGGGCTGGGGTTGGGGGAAGCTCGGGCCTGGGGGGGAAATAATTTTTTTCCCTTTATTTCCCCCCCAAAAAACTAGGTGCGCCTTATGGGACGGTGCGTCCTATAGGGCGAAAAATACGGTAGTATTATTTGTAAGTGATAAAATGTGAAGATTTTTACGGTAAAAGTAAGCGTGATTAAAAAAAAAAAAGGTTAGAAATTATGATATATGTAAACTGCTAAAGATGAGGTAAAATGAAAATCAGATAGTGGGGACTTGGGGAAGCCCACCTAACAATGTTTAGAAAAAATAAGGATAAGACAAGAATTTGTTTCTATTGTTTGTATTTCTGTTTGGGCTGTTTATTTGTGTTATAAAATGAATAATTTTTTTTGAAAGGAAAGACTTCCTTGGAGAGGATCTGGATTGTCACAGAATCCTAAGAGCTGGACGGGGTCCCCAAGGGTCATCAAGCCCAACCCCCTTGCAAGGCCGGTGTCACAGGTAAAGTATTCCTAACGGGGTGCTTTGACTGCTGCTTTAAAACCTCCAATGAAGGAGAGATTGGGGCAGAAGGAGGGGTCCCCAGTTATAACTTCCTGAACCTGCCCTCGATGGAGGACAAAACAAATAGGAAGGCCCTCAGCCATCCAGGCAGGGAGGGACAATGAAAGGAAGCAGACACCAAGGGTTGGGCGGCTGCAGACCCAGAAGCACAAGGCAAGGAGGGGAGAGTTTGGGGTTGCTGGCTGCCTCTCAGAGTTGGGGCTGAGCTGCCAAGCCAGGCGACCCAGAAAAGCAGATGTTGCCCGCCTCCACCCCATCTCTAGCCAATGGGAGGAGGGCCCTTGTAGGAGTTGCTGTCTGGAGTCATCGGATTGGTCAGCAACGCCTTGCTGGAGGAGTCATGTGTCAAGTCAGCCCAAGAGGGCATCCCCCCATAAGAATGGTAAGTGGGTTGCACCACTTGGCTGCAAGGAGGGGTTGTGTGAGTTGCATCTTTCTCTCTCTCTCTCTCCCCCCCCCCCCCCAGATCATAGGGTTGGATGGTACCCCCCAAAGTTCATCTAGCCCAACCCCCTGCAATGCACGGCTCAAAAATCCCTGCCATCCGACCTCTGCTTAAAATCTTCCCAAGGAAGAGAGAGTCCAGTTATGTCAGTTGGCCTGCAAGAGGCAGGAACAATCCCCTTCACATCTTTGGGGCAGCACAGACCTTCAAAAGGACAGTGAAAGGAAGGGCAGAGGAGAGATCTAGGGACAAGGCTTCTAGATCTAAGAGAGCCGTCTAATTGGGGGTCAATGCCCCTGCTCCCCAATGAGGAATGACTCCAAGGAGCATGTTCATGTGCTGTCAAGACAATGTGGCTTGGCTCACTCACTCGGGTCACCTAAAGCCTGCTGTCCTGCTGAGTTTCTGCAGCACAGAGTTTCTGCAGCAAAGCCTGCGTTCACACAGGACAGCGGTGGAGTGGGGCAGGCAGTGCTGATCCCAGCTTTTGGGGGGAGGGGTCAGACTGCATGGCCTCTGGGGTGCCCCCATCTTTTAGGGTGAGGAGCAAAGCCGAGAAATATCAGCCCCTGGGTTATAGCACGAGACTCCACACTTGCACATCTTAATGTACCCGTGAAATGGGGGTATTAACAACTGCAGCAAAGGAACCCCAATATCACCACCAAGATCAAAACCTCCAAGAATTGTTGCCAGGATGAAGGCAGGCAAACATGCAGTATGAACCACAGCCACCATGGAGCTTTTCAGATCAGAGAAAAGGAGAGTAATAGATGTCCTAAAAGATGTGTATAAAATTATGCCTAGCATGGGGAAATTGGGGGGTGGGGAGAGTTTTTCTCGCTCTCTCGTAACACTAGAACTCGTTGACATCCAATGACGATGGGAGATTTAGGGCAGATAAAAGAAATGACCTCTAAATGCAGTGCAGAGTTAAACTGCGGAACTCCCTCCCACTAGAGGCAGACCAACTTGTATGGCTTTAAAAGAGGATTGGACAAATACATGGAAAAGAGGGCTCTCGATGGCTACTAGCCATGGCAGGCATGCTCTGCATCTGCTATCAGAGGAAGTGATAATAATAATAATAATAATAATAATAATAATAATAATAATAATTTATTATTTATACCCCGCCCATCTGGCTGAGTTTTCCCAGCCACTCTGGGTGGCTCCCAATCAAATGTTACAAACAGTACAGCATTAAATATTAAAAACTTCCCTAAACAGGGCTGCCTTCAGATGTCTTTTAAAGATAGGATAGCTGCTTATTTCCTTCACATCTGAAGGGAGGATGTTCCACAGGGTGGGTGCCACTACCGAGAAGGCCCTCTGTCTGGTTCCCTGTAACCTCACTTCTCACAATGAGGGAACCGCCAGAAGGCCCTTGGCGCTGGATCTCAGGGTCCGGGCTGAACGATGGGGTGGAGACGCTCCTTCAGGTATACCGGGCCTTTGAGGCAGTTTAGAGCTTTAAAGGTCAGCACCAACACTGGATTGTGCTCGGAAACGTACTGGGAGCCAATGCAGATCTCTCAAGATTGGTGTTATATGGTCTCGGTGGCCGCTCCCAGTCACTAGTCTAGCTGCCGCATTCTGGATTAACTGCAGTTTCTGAGTCACCTTCAAAGGTAGCCCCACATAGAGCGCATTGCAGTGGTCCAAGCGGGAGATAACTAGAGCATGCACCACTCTGGCAAGACAGTCTGTGGGCAGGTAGGATGCTTCTGAATCCTAGTTGCTGCAGACTCCAGGAGGGGAGAGTTGCTTGGACCGTGCTTGTGGGCTTCCCCACTGGGGCATCTGGGGGGCCACTGGGAGAAGAGGGTGCTGGGCTAGGTGTGCCCCCCTTTGGGGCTGATCCAGCTGAAGGCTGGACACCCAGGAGACCCTGACGGTAAGGAGCTCATCCCCACAAAATCCCATGTCAACAGAGCAGTAAGTCTGGAGAACATCTGGTCTGCCTCAGCTGCAGTCAGCTGGCTCTGGGCCGAGGAGACACGCCAGCCCCATGGCAGGTTCGTGCAGAGAGGGGTGCACCCAGCCAACAGGCACTGGGGGCGGAGCTTCTTCAGCTCAGCGAGGCGGGTGCAAGATCACTCCCTATTTGACAGCGAAGGTGCCCACCTGTCAGGGAGGGCGTGTTCTGCAGGCAGCCCTTTTCCCAGCTGAAGAGAGGGAAGCATTGAGGCCTGTGGCATCCGGCAGCGATCCCCGTGCATTGCTGGGACTTGCATTGCTGTTCTCCTTTGCTGCAGAACTCACAATAGAGACGAATATGGCAAGAGAACGTTCTGCTGTTTTTTTTGGATTTTGAAAGATCTTTAATGAGAACAGAGACAGGAGCCAGGCAGTTCCGCCTTCGAAGTGTCCAGGAAGACAAGCCAAATGAACGAAAGGCCTCAGCGCCTCCAGGCAACCCGGCGTGACGGGAAGGGGAGGCCCAAGCTTCCTCAGTGGATCAGCCTCGTTCCTAAATCTCCCGTTTCTATCAGGAATGAGAGCATGCTTAAAAACAACAACTGGTCACTACCTAAGATGGGCCCCTGCCACTGGCTGGGGCTGCTGTGACATCACAGAAGCTCTGGCAACATTCTAGCTGCCAAGAATGATGCTCGGCGGATAGAGGAGAGTTAGAATCATAGAATCATAGAGTTGGAAGAGACCACAAGGGCCATCGAGTCCAACCCCCTTCCAAGCAGGAAACACCATCAGAGCACTCCTGACATATGGTTGTCAAGCCTCTGCTTAAAGACCTCCAAAGAAGGAGACTCCACCACACTCCTTGGCAGCAAATTCCACTGTCGAACAGCTCTTACTGTCAGGAAGTTCTTCCTAATGTTTAGGTGGAATCTTCTTTCTTGTAGTTTGGATCCATTGCTCCGTGTCCGCTTCTCTGGAGCAGCAGAAAACAACCTTTCTCCCTCCTCTATGTGACATCCTTTTATATATTTGAACATGGCTATCATATCACCCCTTAACCTCCTCTTCTCCAGGCTAAACATGCCCAGCTCCCTTAGCCGTTCCTCATAAGGCATCGTTTCCAGGCCTTTGACCATTTTGGTTGCCCTCCTCTGGACACGTTCCAGTTTGTCAGTGTCCTTCTTGAACTGTGGTGCCCAGAACTGGACACAGTACTCCAGGTGAGGTCTGACCAGAGCAGAATACAGTGGCACTATTACTTCCCTTGATCTAGATGCTATACTCCTATTGATGCAGCCCAGAATTGCATTGGCTTTTTAGCTGCCGCGTCACACTGTTGGCTCATGTCAAGTTTGTGGTCAACCAAGACTCCTAGATCCTTTTCACATGTACTGCTCTCAAGCCAGGTGTCACCCATCTTGCATTTGTGCCTCTCATTTTTTTGCCCAAGTGCAATACTTTACATTTCTCCCTGTTAAAATTCATCTTGTTTGTTTTTGCCCAGTTCTCTAATCTGTCAAGGTCGTTTTGAAGTGTGATCCTGTCCTCTGGGGTGTTAGCCACCCCTCCCAGTTTGGTGCCAGTTATTTCTCCCTCTTTCATAACACTAGAATTCAAAGACGTCCGTTAAGTTGAATGTTGGAATATTAAGGACCGATAAATTAAAGCCCTCCTTCATTGCAGCACAGTTAAACTGTGGGACTCCCTCGCACAGAGGAGGAAGCAATGGCCGCCAACCTAGATGGCTTTAAAAGAGGGTTGGACAAATTCATGGAGGTTGAGGCTACTGATAGCTGCTGGCCTCTGCCGGCACTGCCAGAGGCATCTGAATCCCAGTTGCTGGTGACTCAGGTCCTGCTTGTGGGTTACCCATTGGGGCACTGCAAGAACAGAAGGCTGCATGGCAGGGGTTTAGGCTAGAGGACCTTTGGGTCTACAATGCTGTGACTAGCAGACTCTTCTTATGTTCAGGTGGCTCCTCGTGCCTCTGTGTCAGCAGAGCTGTGAGGATTTCTGCTTGCCGATACATAGATCTTGGCTGGCTCTTCCAGAAGCCCAACCCGCCTTTATCCTTCTGGTTTTTGGGCTCATGCCTGGATCCTTCACTTTTAATCCATGCTTCTTCTCGTCACTTTTGAGTTTCTCCTTCCTTCTGTGTTTAGTGCTCTTATTTTCCCAGGTCATTAAAAATTGTTTAATGACTGTTGTGATTTTAAGTGCCCCTGGATTGCGTCATTTGCAAGATACCGAGACAAGGGTTATAAATATAGTAATAAAAAAAGAGGGTTTTGAAACCATCCCAGCGGCAGAAGTAGCGCAGAGGTCAGCCTTAGTCATGCAAACACACCTGAGCAGGTTTCTGGCCCTATCACTCCCCACCTGGCTTCCAAAAGCTGGGGAGGGTTTGGGGTGGTTGCTGTTGTTCTTGAAGATTTGCTTGATGGAGAACAAAGAGGGGAGTTGAGTATTTGCTTCTTTCTTCCCCAAGGGATAAAGATTTGGTTTCAAAGAGGGGGCTGGGACAGGCCAAACAAACAATCTCTCAGCCCAGAACAAGTTTTTCAGGCAAAGGGGAGGGGAGAGGAAGAAAGTGGGGGCCCAGAGGGAGAGGAAAAACAAAAGGAATATACAGTGATGGTGGGCAGATCAGGAGGAAGACTCAGGAAGGACCATCCCTCTTTGGCAGAGTCCCTGCTTGGGATGTAGAAGGCCCCAGATTCAATCCCCACTGGCAGCATCTCCTGGTAGCGCTGGGAAAAGCTGCCTGCTGCCTGTCAGTGCTGACCACACTGAGCTCCCGTGAGTCTGATTCAGTCTAAATCATCTTCCTGCATTGCAAACCCTCTCCATCTGATTCTACTCCCTCCCCACTCCAGGGGCCTCTGTCACTGGTGATGCCTTGATGCCTTGATACTAAAAGATCAGTTTCGTTTGCCCTACGTTATTTCAGTCCATGAAATTCTCTTCTGTTCTTTCGGCTGCATGGATAAAATTCAATAAAAAGTACTATCAAAATAACACAAAAACAGCGCATATCCCTACTCTATGATCCCCAACTTGCTTCTACTTCCTGCCTGGCAAAAATCCATGCAGGCTCACGGTCCAACAATTCAAGGTGTCCCAGGAATGCTTGCATAGGAAGGAACTGTGACTTGTGCCAGAGACAGTGGCAGACTTATCCAAAGGACACACGGCAGCCTTCTCTGCCCTCAAGGAACTGGGGTGGGTAGGAAATCTTGGGGGAAAGGCTTGATGGCTGAGTGCCTTGCATGCAGAAAGCCCCAGGATCCGGATCCGGGCAACCCTGGCCTCGAACTCTTGAGAGCCGCTGCCAGCCAGTGCAAGCAACACTGAGCTAGGTGCACCAGTGGCCTAACTCTGCATAAAAGCAGCTCCCCACACGGGGAAGGGCCAAAGCTCGGTGGGCAGAGCACCTGCTCTGCCTGCAGGAGGTCTCGGGTTCAGTATCCCGGTACGCGAGACTTCAATCTGAAATCCTGGAGAGCTGCTGTTGCCAGTCAGTGCAGACAATACTGAGCTAGATGGGCCACTCAGTGTAAGGCAGCTTCCAGTGTTCTGGGGATTTCAGAGTGGTTTAGACAGAATCCAGGAAACCCAGCACCAAACTGAGACTAGAAACATAAAACCTGCCTCCTTAGGTTAAAATCTTGAGAATTAAGGATGTCCCAATGGCGGGGGGTGGGGTGGGATGGTGGGGAGACACAGAGAGGCTGTGCACTTGGGATGTGCTCAGGAGCCGGAGCACAACCTTCCATCATGAGCCGCCACCGGGGAGAAGCAAACCCCTTCTGAGGGGTGGGGGGTCCTCCTGGACCTCAGGTCCTCCTGGACTTTCCTTGCCCTATCCAAGGCCCCTCACCTCATTTAATAGGGAAAGGTGTGTTGTCTTAGTCCAGGGGTCTGCAACCCGCGGCTCCGGAGCCACATGTGGCTCTTTTACACCTTTGCCGCGGCTCCGGGGCAGATACTAGCGAGGGGAGGAGGCGCATTGTGCGCCCTGACACTCCCCACTGTGGCGGGCGCTGTACTGGCTGTGACATCGCATGGGGGCGGTGCGTGCGTTAGTCACGCACCGTCCCGACGTCACCTTCCCGCCTGCTGTCAGATCGCGGCTCCGGAGATATATTTGTTTTAAATGTCGCAATGGTTTTGCGGCTCCCAGGTCTTTTTTTCATCGGAAACGGGTCCAAGTGGCTCTTTTTGTCTTAAAGGTTGCAGACCCCTGTCTTAGCCGTTGTCCCCCACCTCCCTCCTTCAGAAGCAGCTGTGAATAATTATTCACAGATGCTACAACCAGGCTGCATCTCCTCCAGGTCAGGAAGACATTCATCAGCAAGCACCTACTTAATGGGATTGTTTTGGGGAATAGAGAGGGGCTGGCTCAGTGCACACCCCAACGTGGGAGCCTGTCCCCAAAAGGTGGCCACTGGTGTAGGGATCAGTGGCTGACAGGCAGGTCATTCGCCACCAGCAGCTGTGCAAGAGGTTGAGGTTGGAGGGCCACCTGGCAGGGATTTTTTATATGCGGTTCCTGCATTGCAGGGGGTTGGATTGGATGACCCTTGGGGATCCCTTCCAATTCTATGATTCTGTTTGGAGGCACTGCTCCCCGTGATATATACTGAGCCAGCTAGTGCCGCAAGGACAGTCTGTGTTTTAATTTCGAACTGAGAACCTGCCTCTGCCAGTGTTTCCCAAGCTTGGGTCTCCAGCTGTTTTTGGACTACAGTTCCCATCATTCCTGGCCACTGGTCCTGCTAGCTAGGGATGATGGGAGTTGTAGTTCAAAAACAGCTGGAGACCCAAGTTTGGGAAACAACTGCTCTAGAAGACCAGACAGTGTCACAATAAAGGTTGCAGAGCCACAGTATATCCTGCAAACAGAGTTCTGGATTTATCACACTGGACTCCAACTGCCACTAGTCACAGCAGTCAGCGTGGCCAGAAGTCAGGAATGATGGGAGCACCACATTGGCTATTCTCGATTTGGGGTGCACCTATAAAGCTCCGATTAGGGTCCATAATTTGAGTCTCACAGAATCTCTCATAAAAGGCGGCAGAGACGCCGCATAATCAGCAGGTTGCCTGTTGCTCTTTCCTGAGCCACAAAGCTGATCGGAGGAAGCAGCTGCCTTTTGCCTACAGCCCAAGCAGCTAGTCCTCATGCGGTCAGCGACAGATTGGAGTATGAACTGGACAGGATGGCGCCGGATTAGAAGGGAAGTACCAAACGTGTGTGTTTTAGGACAGAAAGCCCACCAGGGTCCTGTTAGGTTAAATCAGGAACCCCTTTCCTGTCCTCTTCTTGCAAAGAGATGTTTGCACACCCACCCACCCAGGACTATGTTCTTACCTCTAAGAGCAGAGGCCCCCCGCCCCCCCCCGGAAAGCCTCCAAGGAGGGCAGAGGGGTCTCCCAGAGGGAGATCAGATGCACTGCAGTCGCCTTGGAAGGGAGCCCACTCCCCAATGCAGACCATGCTCCCTTTTGAGGGGCAGCGGAGAGATCCCACTTGCCCTCAAGAGCAGGGAGAAAGCTCCTGGCCCCAGGCAGGCAACCAACAGGTGAAGCCACCAAGGAATCTCCAGCATGCAAACGCACCTTGTGCCCCACTTCCACGTACAACCAAGCAGCTCTTACCTGTATCCCGTTGGGGTAGACCTCTCCTTCCATGGAGTCCACCAGCTCCTCCTCATCCAGGGTGGCTCTCTTGTAGGTCGACATCTGCAAGGCCAAATGCAAAACAGAATCCCTGAGTGACTCCATGCCACCCTCAAGAGCGTGCCCACAGGGGACACTGCAGTGGTCAGCTCAAGCCTGAGGTGGGAGGGAGGCTCTGTCCCGTGCAGCGCGCAGCCATGCTGAACGCACAAAGGCCACCTGTCCAAGCCCTATCCGATTATCCTGCAGGACTGGACCCGTGTCAGGGCTGCTGCCGCCAAATCCCCTGCAGCTTCCTCCTCTTCCTCCTCCCATGGGAAGCCAGGGAGTGGGGGCACCCGGGCAGCAGAGACGACGCCTGCCAGCACCGCCGTGCAGGGCATCCGCTGCACCGGGATGCGAGCCTCTCGCGCCGCCTGGAAATCTAACGTTACTGAGCAATTATAACACAAGGAAGCGCAGAAGCCAGCCAGGCAGGCAGACCGCCCACTGCACCCCCCCTCCACCCAGCAAGGGGGGGGGCAGCAAGCTTATGCAACCCTCTCCTTAGCCTGAAGTAAACCCTCCTTTTCAAACCACCGAAGGTCTTTCCCCCTGTCACCCCCCCCCCCAGGCCACCACTGATGGGGACGTTTCCAAACAGAAGGACTGGCACAGGCAGCGGAAAACAGGAAGCCAAGCCGCATTCCTCAGCAGGGACGTCCCGTCTTGCTCACGGCCAGCGGTAGTGGCGGCGGCTGGACTCTGCGCCACTCGTCACCTGCCCGCCTCGCTCAGCCCCTCTCCAGCACCTGGAATTCAGAAGCATTTCTGCCTCCAGTCATGGAGACCCTTACGGAGCCTTTGGCTGAGCAAGATTGTCTACACTGACCGGCAGCAGCTTTCTGGGGTGTGTGTGTGTTTTTCAGGCAGGGGACCCCGTGCCAACCCTCTTCCACTAAAACTTAAAAGAGAGAATCTAGTCCTCATGATTCTGAATAAAGGAATGATCTAAATAGGGATAGAAGAAACTGATTTGCACAGAGGCAGGAGAATTGCTCCGTAAAGTTCCGTATTGCCTACACTGACTGGCAGCAGCTCTCTGGATTTCTCTCTACCTGGGATTCTTGAGCTGTGATTCCTCCATTGCAGCGGGTTGGACTAGATGACCCTCATGATCCCTTTCAACTCTACAGTTCTGTTTTTTTCTATCATTTCTCTATTCCTTGGGAAAGGCTTTTTACTTCTCCAGAGTTAAACTCTGGAACTCCCTGCCACCGGAGGAAGTGACCGGCCACCTACTTGGATGGCTGTAACAGGGGATTAGGCAAATTGCTATGCTCTGCCTCCACGGAGGAAGCAATGTTTCTGAATCCCAGTTGCTGGAAAGCGCAGGGGAAGAGGGGGCTGCTCTTGTGTTCGAATCCTGCTTGGTTTTCCACAGGCCCCTGTGAGAACAGGATGCTGGACTCTGCGGACTACTGGCCAGATATAAGGAGACACTTCTCATGTTCTTAAACCTCTCTGTAAAACACAGCGCGTGGGACTCTGCACCCCCTCGCCGCCTTTCTCGGGCCAGTCTCTCTCTCGGCTCGCATCCAAGAGGGCTTAACTGCCTCTTTCCTGTTTCCTGCTCGGATACTCCTTGCGGCGCCTGGGGCTGGCATGGGCTGCCGCTCTCTGGGGGGCCTGCGGCTCCATAGGTGCCAAGGAAACAGATCCCAGGGACCCTGCATTCCCCTGCCCAGTTCCCACAGATCTCCGTTTTCCTTCTGAGCTACAGAAGCCACAAACACATCTCCCTCGATGGGACATGAGAGGGGGTTATTGTGGGTTATCTGAAAGGCCATCTCCCCACTGTGCCTGCCGAGAGGTGTGTCTGTTTTAAAGGGATTTTAAAGGGGGATTATGGGCAGGCAGGGCAAGGGGTCATAGAACCATGGAAGGGCCCCCCCAGGTCATCTAGTCCAACCCCCCGCAATGCAGGAATCTCAGCTAAAGCAGCCATGACAGGTGGGCCACCCAACCTCTGCTTAAAAACCTCCAAGGAAGGAAGAGTCCACCACCTATTTCGGCTAAGAGGAGTACCCCACTAGTCTTGTGCCCATCTGACTACACCCCCCCTGCCCTGACACCTCTCCCAGATGACAAAGGGCTATTGGTCAAAGGAAATTGGCAGCCAGCTTCTGCAGAGGCAGTGCCACATTAGGAATCCAGAAGCACAAGACTGACAGCCTCCTCTCTCCCGTATGAGTGCACACGTACACAAATCCGAGAAAATAATAATAATGATAATAAATTTTATTTATACCCCGCCCTCCCCAGCCAAGACCGGGCTCAGGGTGGTTAACACGCAATACAAAAACAAATTGATTGAAATGCAACTTAAAAACAAGACTAAAACACAACATTAAACATTAAAACACAGCCTCCTTTCAATGGAAACTCAAATCAAAAACTTTTTGGGGGATGAAAACGTCAGGTCTTCACCAAGGCTAACGTTCCAGACTGGTCCTACATGGACCAGCAAAAAGCCAGCGAAGTCCCCAAATAAGAGTTCCATCGCAGGAGGAGAAAGGGAAAAAAGAAGAGGGGAAGGGAATCAAATTGAAATAAAAATAGCCGGCAGCTGAATCAGGGCAAGGACCGAACTAGCCCGGCGTCCTGTTCTCACAGTGGCTGACCAGGTGCCCCAATGGGGAAACCCTCAAGTGGAATTTGAACACAAGACCCGGCTCCCCTCCTGCCATTTCCTGCAAGAGCCATTGAGAAGTCCAGCCATTGTGGGTAGCAGCCATAGGGAGCCTTCTCCCCTCTCCATGAATGTCCCTCGTCCTCTTTTTCAAGCCACCCCAGCCTCCTGCAGGAGCGCGTTCCGCGGTGCATGCACAGAGTTTTGCAGTGCACGCACAGGCTCCCGCGCCTCCTCTGTCCCCACCCAACTGGGGGTGTTGTCTTTGGCAACCCTCCCTCCTGCTGATGAACTTAGGGGACTCTGCTGGATTCCTCGCGCAGCGGCGCCGGAGGCATAAGATATCCCAAACAAAGCCACTCTCCAACTGGGAGGCCTGGAAGCCTGCCGGCTGCTGACTCAGCCCTCTGGTGGCAGCAGAGTTCAGAGCATGGGTCTCATCTCTGGGCTGGGAGAGGGAGGCTACCTGGACCAAGGGCTCTCTCAGGGTGGGTGGGTGGGTGTGAAAGCAGGGTCCATCGGTGTAGATGGGACTGTGCCACGGCCCCCTGCGCGGTCAAGCACCAGGGATGCTCTGGTGGGGAAGGCAAACCTTGAAGGACCCAGGGCTGGAATAATAATAATAATAATAATAATAATAATAATAATTTATTTATACCCTGCCCATCTGGCTGGGCTTCCCCAGCCACTCTGGGCGGCTTCCAACAAAATATTAAAATTTAGTAATGCATCAAACATTAAAAGCTTCCCTAAACAGGGCTGCCTTCAGATGTCTGGTAGTTGTTGTTCTCTTTGGCATCTGGTGGGAGGGCGTTCCACAGGGCGGGTGCCACTACCGAGAAGGCCCTCTGCCTGGTTCCCTGTAACTTAGCTTCTCGCACTGAGGGAACCACCAGAAGGCCCTCGGCGCTGGACCTCAGCGTCCGGGCAGAACGATGGGGGTGGAGACGCTCCTTCTGGTATACTGGACCGAGGCCGTTTAGGGCTTTAAAGGTCAGCACCAACACTTTGAATTGTGCTTGGAAACGTACTGGGAGCCAATGCTGGTCTTTCAGGACCGGTGTTATATGGTCTCGGTGGCCACTTCCAGTTACCAGTCTAGCTGCCGCATTCCGGATTAGTTGTAGTTTCTGGGTTACCTTCAAAGGTAGCCCCACACAGAGCACACTGCAGTAGTCCAAGTGAGAGATAACCAGAGCATGCACCACTCTGGTGAGGCAGTCCGCGGGCAGATAGGTTCTCAGCCTGCATACCAGATGGAGCTGGTAGACAGCTGTCCTGGACACAGAATTGACGTGCGCCTCCATGGAACACCTGCTTGGCAGGCAGAAGGATCCAAGATCAATCCCCAATGACTACTGTAGCTTGTTAAGGGTGTGGATCGATCTAGTTCAGTACTGTCTACACTGACAGTCAGAGACTCTCCAAGACCTTGAGGCAGGGAGTCTTCTCCCAGCCCTACCTGGTAATGCAGTTGTGGGGGGGTTGAACTGGGGACCTTCTGCATGCAAAACAGGGGGCACCACCCCTGAGCTATGGCCCTTCCTTTAAAAAGGAAGATTCTAGTCCTCATGGCTTGCAATAAAGTTCTGAGTTGAACAGAAAGCTTCCTAAGCCTGACCCAGACCTCAGAATGAATGAAGCTTAATGTTGGGGGGTGAAACTTTGGAACTCACTCCCACAGGAGGCAGTAAAGGCCACCAGTTTGGATGTCTTTCAAAGAGGATTAGACAAATTATTCGGCAGGTGGGTGGGAAGAGGGTGACCAATGGCTACTGGAATCAATGGCTTTCATCTGCCTCCACAGCCAGGGGCAGGAATGCTTCTGAATACCAGCTGCTGGAAACTGCAGGAGGGGAGAGTTGCCCTTGTGTTTGAGTCCTGCTTGCAGGCTTCCCTTTGGGGCATCTGGTTGTCCCATGAGGACAGGATGCTGGAACAGATGGGCCACAGGACTGATCCAGCAGGGTCTTCCTAGGTAGGATTCTCTCTGCACTAACTGGCAGTGGTTTCTCCAGGGTTTCAGCAAACCTGGGACCTAAGCTGTGGTCCTTCGTCAAAGTACCTTAAGGGTTTGTTTCCCGCTTCCTGTCGGCCAACAAGACCGTGAGCCACACCTCTAGGAATGTTTACACCACCACACTGCCTGCCCAGAGAAGGCCCAGCTTCCACACCAGCCTTGCAGGGCAGGATCCGCACTTCTGGTCAACGTCAAAACACTGGATGCCTCTGAGGCTGGTCAAAATGCCAATGCAGAACAGAGCCATCCAGATCTCCACCCCCACCCAGAGTTGATGGAGGGTGATCCAGTCCAACTCCTTGCAATGCAGGAATCTCAACTACGGTATCCATGACTGATGGCCATCCAACCTCCGCTTAAAAACTTCTAATGAAGAAGAGACCACAACTTCCCGAGGGAGACCGTTTCACTGCCCCAACAGCTCGGTCAGAAAGTTCATCCTTTGGAATCTCCTTTCTTGTAACTTGAAGCCACTGGTTTCAGCTCTACCCTCTGGAGCAGGAGAAAACAAGCTTGCTCCATCTTCCACGTGACAGCCCTTAAGACATGCGAAGATGGCTATCATATCTCCTCTCAGCCTCCTCTTTACCAGGCTAAACAGACCCAGCTCCTTCAACCAGGGTTAGTTTCCAGACCCCTCATCATCTTCAATGCCCTCCTCTGCACACGTTCCAAGTGGTCAACATCCTTCTTAAATCATGGCGACCAGAACCGGACACAGTATTCCAGGTGTGGTCTGACCAAAGCAGAATCGAGAAGTACCCTTACATATGCCTTCATTTTGTCCTGCCTCTTCATTCATGACAGCCTCCAGGACTTCTGCAAAGGAGGAGCATGGGCAGGTAGGGAAGGTGTACAGGAGCATGCATAAGCCCACCCCACTCCTTTCTGGGGCTGAAAATGTCACGCGTGTCAGCAATCTCGCGTGTCTTGCATGCACACAAAATGGGAGTTGCCTGTCTTCATCAAGCATTACTCAGCCAAAACGCCACGAAGAGAGGAGAACGTGCTTAGAATGGCTGCAGAACTGGGGCACATTTCATGATTAAAAGGTAAAGGTACCCCTGACCGTTAGGTCTAGTCGCGGATGACTCTGGGGTTGCGGCACTCATCTCGCTTTACTGGCCAAGGGAGCTGGCGTTTGTCTGCAGACAGCTTCCGGGTCATGTGGCCAGCATGACTACACCGCTTCTGGCGAACCAGAGCAGTGCCCGGAAACGCCGTTTACCTTCCCGCTGGAGCGGTACCTATTTATCTACTTGCACTTTGACATGCTTTTGAACTGCTAGGTGGGCAGGAGCTGGGACCGAGAAACGGGAGCTCACTCCGTCGTGGGGATTCAAACTGCTGACCTTCTGATTGGCAAGCCCTAGGCCTTGTGGTTTAACCCACAGTGCCACCCACGTCCCTTACATTTCATGATTACTATTTCCCAATTAATAAGCAAATAAAACCTTCCTTTTTTTGCAGTGGCTCCCCCGATTTTGCTGAACGCCGTAGCTGTGGGATCACTGAACCGCATGGCCCTATTTCCTGACGCAAAGGCTCACGCAGGTTTCAAAGCCATGCTCGCTGACCCAGAAGGCTCTGGCCCCGGGCATCATTTGGATGACTCGGAGGTGGGGGCATTCTGTACCTCTTCAGAGGCACTCTTGTTCTTGGCTTTACAGAAGTTCATAAAACTAATGCACGGCGTGAAAAGAGCAGGCAGAGAAAGTTTTTTCTCCTGCCCTCGTAACGCTAGAACTTGTGGACGTTTAACGAAGCTGAATGTGGGAAGATTCAGCACAGCTGAAAGCCCTTTGTCATGCACCGCATAGTTAAAACTGTGGAACTTATTAAAGTGTGCTTATGAAAACATGCTGGCTTGCCAACGCACCATACGAGAATCCTGGGCATCGTAGTTTGTTAAGGGTGCTGGAAATTGCAACTCTGCAAGCTACAGTTCCCTCTTCCGGGGGAGGGAGAGAAAATGTGTTTGAAATGTATGAAGCACAGAGGCATCTTTCCAACTTGGCACCCTTCACTTGCTTTCTGCAAAGCCCACCCCCCTCTCAAAGTCCAGGTAGGGAGAGCTTTTCTATTGATCTTTTTCAAAACCTTCCAGCCACTCTGAAGCCAGTTCCTTCACAGTTACCGTATTTTTCATTCTATAAGACGCACCAGACCACAAGACGCGCCTAGTTTTTGGAGGAGGAAAACAAGAAGAAAAAAATTCTGAATCTCAGGAGCCAGAACAGCAAGAGGGATCGCTGCGCAGTGAAAGCAGCAATCCCTCTTGCTGTTCTGGCTTCTGGGATAGCTGCGCAGCCTGCATTCGCTCCATAAGACGCACACACATTTCCCCTTACTTTTTAGGAGGGAAAAAGTGAGTCTTATAGAGCAAAAAATACGGTAAGTACATAAGAAAGACCCGCTTGGATCAGGCCAAATGGGGCCCATCTAATCCAGCCTCCTGTTCTCACAATGGCTAACCAGATGCCCTGGATGGGGGAAGCCCAAACAAGCAGCAGTCTCCCGTCCTACCCAGAGAGCTTTAAAAAAGATGCCACATGCTTCTCCATGGGGTGAATCCCACAGAGACTCCAGTTTGCTATTCGATCCTTCCTGCGGAGGAAATGCTTTGCTCCAGATTGCAGCACGGTTTTTATTTTATTTTATTTGAAGGAGGAAATCACCGCTCCCTGTCTCAAATTATTTCCCCCTTTCCTACTTCTCTGCCACTCCCAGAGCAATCGAAAACATCTTCCTTGCGTGCGCGCGCACACACACACACAGCATGACAATAAGACGAGCACATTTCGGATATTGGATCTGAAAATGCCAATTACAGAACGAGTCAACACAGCCTCCCGTCCAGGGAATCTGACAGTGTCACGCGGAAGAACAGGCCTAAGTGGAAGCAGATGTCGAGCTTCCAAACCTCAACACAAGCCAGAAGCACACACATTCTCCAGCATCTGGACCTGGAAACACTGTGGTGTTGTTTTTTGCAAAATAAAAAATAGTAGGTGCCAGTAGCAACATCTGAGGATTCTGGGACTCCACCACAACTGGTTAGAGTGTGGAACTGATAATGCCAAGGTGGCAGGTTCGATACCCATATGGGGCAGCTGCATACAGTGGTACCTCAGGTTAAGTACTTAATTCGTTCCGGAGGTCCATTCTTAACCTGAAACTGTTCTTAACCTGAAGCACCACTTTAGCTAATGGGGCCTCTCACTGCCACCGCGCCACCGCCACTGCACGATTTCTGATCTCATCCTGAAGCAAAGTTCTTAATCCGAGGTACTATTTCTGGGTTAGCAGAGTCTGTAACCTGAAGCGTCTGTAACCTGAAGCATCTGTAACCCGAGGTACCTCTGTATTCTTACAATGCAAGGGACTGGACAATCCACAGGGGCCCATCCAACTATACAACCTGCAAGGTGGGTAGTCACAATTTCCTTCTTGGCCCAAAGGAGGGATAAAGGGGCTGGCAGATGGATGCCCAGAAGAACAGAAGACGAGCCCTGAAGGTGGCTCAGGCCTGGCATCCCGTCCAGGGATTTGGGGGGCATTTACTGCCTCCCAACGGTGAGAGGAAGGAGAAGGTAGAGAGAGAAACTGAAGAACAAACACCAGGAAGAATGTTTGAGGGTAAGAGCTATTTGGCAGTGGATGGGACTCCCTTGGAAGGTGGTGGCATCTCCTTTGTTGAATGTCCATATCTCTTGGACTAAATGACCCTTGGCGCCCCAACTCTACATCTCTTATAGGGATGCGGGTGGCGCTGTGGTCTAAACCACTGAGCCTCTTGGGCTTCCCAATCGGAAGGTCAGCGGTTTGAATCCACACAACAGGGTGAGCACCTGTTGCTCTGTCCCAGCTTCTGCCAACCTAGCAGTTTGAAAGCACACAAGTGCAAGTAGATAAATAGGTAGAGGGAAGGTAAACGGCGTTTCTGTGCACTCTGGTTTCTGTCAGTGTTCAGTTGCGCCACAAGTGGTTTAGTCATGCTGGCCACATGACCCAGAAAGCTGCCTGTAGGCAAACGCCAGCTCCCATGGCCTGAAAGCAAGACGAGCCCATAGTCGCCTTTGACTGGTCTTAACTGTCCAGGTTCCTTAAATATTTTTCTTACCTTACGGCTCTTATTCTCTCTCTCTCTCTCTCTCTCTCGCACACACACACACACACACACACACACACACAGGATAAGGCCAGACGCACTAAAATTAATGGGCCTGACCGAGTTAGTTGTGGCCATTCATTTCAACATGTCTACCCATAAAGAAGGCTAATCGCCGAAGAATTGATGCTTTTGAATTATGGTGATGGAAACTCTTGAGAGTCCCATGGACTGTAAGAAGATCAAACCTATTCATTCTGAAGGAAATCAGCCCTGAGGATGGAAAGATGGAGGGCACAAGGAGAAGGGGACAACAGAGGACGAGATGGTTGGGCAGTGTTCTCAAAGCTACAAACATGAGTCTGACCAAACTGCGGGAGGCAGTGGAAGACAGGAGTGCCTGGCGTGCTCTGGTCCAGGGGGTCACAAAGAGTCGGACACGACTAAACAACAACAACAACTCTGAGTTAGGGCCAGCACTGGATGCAACCTCGATGAAAGAAAGAACAAAACCAGAGACAAAACAACAACTCCCACCCCCAAGTTCCCAGCCCCAATCCCTCGCAGGAATCACCTCTCCAACCACCTCTCCTCAATCCAGGGGCCCAGATGCTCTGTCCAGGAAAAAATAAATAAAAATAAAACCATCCACTTTGGGTGCGAGTGAAACCCTGGCGCAAGGGAAGGGCATTTTGCGCCAGCTCCTTGCACACCAAGAGGTGATCGCTTCTTGTCTGGAAGAGCCTGGGGTTGCATCCTGACATTCGGAGGGGTAAGAGGGGTAAGAGGAGCCGTGTCTCTGTTTGTGTGTTTGCATGCATCTTTAAAGCCCATCTGCTTGAGTTACATGAGCCAAAAGCAGGAACTGCTGTCTTGGGGAAGCCTTACAGGGAGCAGAAATCGGCTGTGGAGCCCAACGGCACAACCCCCACAAAACACACAGAGAGAGTACAGTACTCCAAACATGGCCTACACCAGGGGTAGGCAACCTAAGGCCCATGGACCACAAGCGGCCCACAGGGGTTGTTTAACCGGCCCACGAGCCGCCACTGAACCGAGCCACCTGCTCTGTGAGTCCCCGCGCTAAACCGGCACAGTACTGCGCAGGGACTCGCTTCCGCGGCGCCGGAAATTGTGCCTGCGCAGACGAAGATGCTGGAAATCACGTGCATGCACAATGCGGCCCATGGAGGGATCTCCGCTGGGGTGAACCAGCCCAGGCGAGGTAAACCTTGCCGACCCCTGGCCTACACCATAGATCTGTGTAATGGCATTATAATACTGGCACTTTTATTTTCAATTTGTTTCCTAATGGCCCCTAGCACGTAATTTGTTTCTTCACAGCTGCCGCACACCCCATGAGCTTATACAGGAAATCAGCGGCTTTTTGCGCCGCATCAAGGGACAAATGTCTTTCACATCAAGTTCTTTCCCTGCGGCCTCGGGTCAGGCAGAAAGGGAGAGTTATTTTGCACGGCAGTGGAACAAATGCGGTCACATGCGTGGAAGCCGGCGGAGGAGAGAAACCAGCCCCAGATGTCTGAAACCGTGCAGTTGACACAGTTGACAAGAGGAGATAGAAGGTGAAGTAGAAGAATCCGCGCTGTTTCTTCAGAAAGGATGGTTTCACCCCTGGCACTTGGGATTTTCTCCACAAAGTCCCCAGAATTAGGGGAAGCCTTTTCACACCTAACGGGGGATCCCCCGCCCCTGCAAATCCACCACTCAAGGAACAAACATCAGAAAGAACTTCTGGAAGGTGGTAAGCTCTCATCTGTTGCAAGTTTCCAAACAGAGGCTGGATGGCTGTCTGTCATGAATTCTTCAGCTGAGATTCCTGCACTTGCGGGGGGTGGACCAGATGAGCCTCAGGGGTCCCTTCCAATTCTACGATCCAAAGGATAAACCCAGCTTTGTCTCCTGCGCGCCAGCAGCCAAATGGATACAGCAGGCCGTGCCCTTTCAACGTTTTCTGTTTTGTTTTGAGCCAGTTCCAGTACAGTGGTACCTCGGATTAAGTACTTAATTCGTTCTGGAGGTCTGTTCTTAACCTGAAACTGTTCTTAACCTGAGGTACCACTTTAGCTAATGGGACCTCCTGCTGCCGCTGCGCCGCCGGAACCCGATTTCTGTTCTTATCCCGAAGCAAAGTTCTTAACCTGAAGCACTATTTCTGGGTTAGCGGAGTGTGTAACCTGAAGCGTATGTAACCTGAAGCGTCTGTAACCCGAGGCACCACTGTATCTCCAAAAGACCCCTGGAGACTAGTACAGTAGTACTCTTTGTTTTTTTCAAAGCCCCTGTTTTGGTGAAGGTGCAAAGTTCTGTGTGCAATTCAAACAAATTTTGCCGACACAGTCCTGACAATAGAAAGCGAAGGCAAGCTCAGTCTTGCTGCATTCCATCCTTCCCAAACTGCAACTTCCATCAGCCCCAGGCAGCACAACAGAAGCAGCTACAGCCCCAAGCATTGGTAGGGCATCAGACTGCAGGAGGCTCTATTGTATTCAAGCAGCTTCCCTGTGGCTTCTGCCGATTTCTCCTACCACACCCCCCATTTAGCACAAGAATCAGCATGCTTAGCATGTTGGACTAGGACCTGGGGGGGGCAAGGGTTCAAATCCCCACTTGGTCACATGAAGCTCAAGGGGTGATGACCTGGGGGGCTAGTCGCTGCCTCTCAGCCTAACCTACCTCCCAAGGTTGTTGTGCGGATTAAACGAGTGGGGAGAACTGTGTTTTGTTGGAATCTCCTTTCTGGAATCCAATGTCCTCTTGCAGCCCTCATCGAGAAGCCTTGAGGATTCCCCAAATCTAGTTCCAAAGTATTGCTGGGGAAGGGTAAAGTCGGGGGGGTGGGGTGGGGCACAGTGCAAATGTGTTTGGATCAAGGAGAGAGAAGGGGGTCACCAGCGTTAGAAATTAGCTAGGCGCCAGGCGCATTTTGCAACTAGCGCAGGTCCAATTGCGAACAGGTGGAGATTTCTGGCTGCCTACGTTGGTGACTGACATCTCCATCTGGCTGATCCCTCCAGCTTTCCTAAGCAGGTAAGAGCTTATTCACTGCGTTTATATCCCACCTTTTTCTCCAATGAGGCCATGGTTCTCCCCCACCCCCTCAGTTAAACCCTACAACGACCCTGTGAGGTAGGTTAACAGGCTGTGACTGGCCTGAGGTCACCCAGTGATCTTCATGACTGAGTGGGGATTTGAACCCTGATCTCCCAGGTCCTAGTCCGTCACTCTAACCACTGCACCACACAAGCTTCCTAGAGTAATTCTGCTATGGGGCAGGTAGGTAAATAAATACAGTGGTACCTCAGGTTAAGTACTTAATTCGTTCTGGAGGTCTGTTCTTAACCTGAAACTGTTCTTAACCTGAAGCACCACTTTAGCTAATGGGGCCTCCTGCTGCTGCTGCGCCACTGGAGCACAATTTCTGTTCTCATCCTGAAGCAAAGTTCTTAACCCAAGGTACTATTTCTGGGTTAGCGGAGTCTGTAACCTGAAGCGCCTGTAACCCGAGGTACCACTGTACAAGGAAAGCAAAATGTCCACTTAAGAGTAGGATCTGAAATATTTTCCTTGAATCTTTAATTTGTTTTATTCTGGATTGTTTGATTTGATATTTTCAAGTGCTTTGAAGGTTGCTTTTTTAATATGAAGCAGTATAGAAATAAAATGAAATGAATAACAATAAATGTGACTGTAGAAGGAAAAATGACGTCCAGACATTCTGTTGTGGTGACCTTAACCAAGGTTTAAGGTGCCATTTGGTGATTAGCTTATATATCTGAGTTTCTAACACTGAACATCCATTGACATTTCCCCACCACTTGTTCCCTTCTTATATTTGGAGGTCTCCGAGGTGTTCCTACAAGCCCCCCAACAGCGCACTGTGTTAACAGCACCAACACAATGAGTTCAGCTTTGCCTCCCCTGGCTGGCAGAAGCTCTCCAGGGTTCAGAGAACCTGAGCTCCAGGTCAACTCCCAAAGAGAAGAGCTTCACGATGCAAAAACACTGCAGTTGCAATGCATGGGTGACAACTATCAAGAGGGTGGCACCAAGGTGACAAAGTCCACCATGCTTGTTTCGGAACAAAGGAGAAATAAAAAACGACCTATGTATCACCATTTCTGAGACGCAAGCCAACCAACAGGAAGCAACAGACTGGCTATTAATATACAGGTTGTGGATAGGAAAAGTGAGGTGGAGGCTGCCTGGACAGGAGTTAAGTAGGCGTTAAAATGTTCTTTTATCCAGAAGCGATTAACAGGCAGGCTGGGCCTGGTTATGCTCAGTCGAGGGCTCAGGCGCTCAACCTGGGAGGAGGTTGCCACAGGCAGGGCCTCAGAGTCTCTGGGGCCGCCCTCCTCCAGCTACAAATAAGCCCCAATACAAACATGATGGCTCAATCCAAGGGGCATTGGGGGGGGCGGGCACCCCGCCTTTTTAGAAATCTGGCATAAGGAGAACAAGTTTGTACAAGCGTATCTGTCTCTAACAACTTCCTTTGCACAGGGGAGGAAAAAAACAGTTCTAAACAAAACTTTCTCCTATTATTTTTTTTTTAAAAAAAAACCCACACAAATGCATTCCAAGTCTTTTCTCTGCCGCCTCGGAAAAAAGGAAAATGGGGAAACCCTGCTCACCTCGTTCGTTAGCCCAGCCCGTGAGAAAGACCAGCAGATCTGGGGGGATTTGTGGGACCCTCTCTCTCCTTCTCGCACCCCAAAATCACAGACGTCAAGAGAGCCTGGGATAGTTCAGAGTCCCCGGCAGCGACTGCAGGGCTGCCTCTTCCTAGTCCAGAGCTCACAGTCAGAGGGAAACGGTGCGAAAGGGAGATAAAGGCAGGCTTTGCCATTCCCAGGCCAGTGAATCACTTCCCCTGCCGGGATTTCGCAGTCTTTGCTGGAACCGGAGACACTGCCCACCCACAGCACTACCCTTATTAATCTCTTCCTCTCTGAGCTGGCTGGCTCCACACTTGTGGCTCTGGTGAAGGGGGGGGGGGAGAAAGCACCCCTTGCAACCTGCGGGAAAGAGGGAAATTGGCTAATGGCATTCCACTCTCAGGCTCCGTCCCACAGAAGGCAGGCGTTGCAAGTGCAGATGGGGCTGCCTGCTTGGGGAAGCACTGTAAGCTGAGCAGCTGCTTGGCGTGCAGAAGGCCCCTGCTTCAATCCCCAATGGCTGCATCTCCAGGCAGGGCCGGGAAAAGATTCCCTGCCTGAAATCCTGGAGAGTCTTCACTGCCCGTTAGCGTAGGCGTTGAGCCGACTCTGTGCAAGGCAGCTTCCAGGAACATCCATGGAAACTTGTACAGGACAGGAGCTGGCAGTGCCAGCCAGCCTCTAGGCCTCGCCTACCTCGCAGGGTTGCTGGAAAGACGTTATACAGTGGTATCTTGGGATAATAATAATAATAATAATAATAATAATAATAATGTATTATTTGTACCCCGCCCATCTGGCTGGATATCCCCAGCCACTCTGGGCGGCTTCCATAGAAACCAAAAATACACTAAAATATCACAGATTAAAAACTTCCCTGAACAGGGCTGCCTGAAGATGTCTTCTGAATGTCAGGTAGTTATTTATCGCTTTGACATCTGATGGGAGGGCATTCCACAGGGCGGGCGCCACTGTAGCTGGTTCCCTGTAGCTTTGCTTCTCGCAATGAGGGAACTGCCAGAAGGCCCTCGGCACTGGACCTCAGTGTCCGGGCAGAATGATGGGGGTGGAGACGCTCCTTCAGGTATACTGGGCTGAGGCCGTTTAGGGCTTTAAAGGTCAGCACCAACACTTTGAATTGTGCTTGGAAACGTACTGGGAGCCAATATAGGTCTTTCAGGACCGGTGTTATATGGTCTCGGTGGCCGCCCCCAGTCACCATTCTAGCTGCCGCATTCTGGATTAGTTGTAGTTTCTGAGTCACCTTCAAAGGTAGCCCCACGGAGAGCGCATTGCAGTAGTCCAAGCGGGAGATAACTAGAGCATGCACCACTCTGGCGAGACAGTCCGCGGGCAGGTAGGGTCTCAGCCTGCGTACCAGGTGGAGTTGGTAGACAGCTGCCCTGAATACAGAATTGACCTGCGCCTCCATGGACAGCTGTGAGTCCAAAATGACTCCCAGGCTGCGCACCTGGTCCTTCAGGGGCACAGTTACCCTATTCAGGACCAGGGAGTCCTCCACACCAGCCCGCCCCCTGTCCCCCAAAAACAGTACTTCTGTCTTGTCAGGATTCAACTTCAACTTGCAAACAGGATCCATTCCGGAGCCCTGTTCGCATCCTGAATAGAACGTAAGACGCTTCTGCGCATGCGTGTGATGTCATTTTGACTGTCTGCGCATGCATGAGTGGTGAAACCCAGAAGTAACGCGCAACCCGAAAATACTGATCCTGAAGCATATTTATCCCTAGGTATGACTGTATATGGTTGTAGCTTTATTTGTGTGGCCCCTGATACTCCAAAATCTGAAACTGACATACACAGTATTTTTGTATTTTTTTAAATAAAACAAACATAGGAGGGATCACATGCTTTGACTCCTGCCCCTTCCCACATCAAGCAGTGTATAATTTTACATGAAATAAATAAGTGAAATTATAAAGCAGCAAAGGGGTAAAAACCATCCACTGCCATTGAGCGAGCGGGAGACAGATATAATCAATTTTAAAATGCTTGGTTGTCTTAGCCTGACACTTAAAAGACGTGATGCTCAGGGCAGAAGGAGGGGTGGGGGAGGTCACAGACGGAGCAAAGGTGGGATATAAATGTAGGAATAATTTTTAAAAAAGAAATAAGCTGCCCCACTGGTCTTTCTAGCCACTGGCGCTCTCTCAAAATATTAGAATTTACAAAGTGGCGTAATGGGAACCTGGTGGAATGGAGAGAACTGGTGGAATGTGGTTTTCTCCAGATACAGGGATAGGGAAGGATGTAGCTCAGGTCAGTGGATCAGACCAGTGGCCGATTTGATCCAGAATCCTGCTCTCACAGTGGCCAACCAGACACCTGCGGGAAACCTGCAATTGGAGCACAACATCCCTCTCCCCTCCTGCGGCTTCCAGCAGCCGATTCAGAAGCACCACACTCTCCAACTGTGGAGGGCCTGTGCTAGAAACTCAGATACGCAAGCTAGACCCCAAACTGCTCCACAATCCTAGATTGCAGGTGCCAAAATGGGATGTCTAGTTGCCATTTGGGGACGAGATGGCTCTAAAAGTCTTATTTTCCAAGCGATGGACTGGCTGTGATTGATTCTCAGTTAAAACAACTTGCTAAATCAGACGGCGATCTTGAGCTAGGTTAAAAGCTTTCAGAACTGAAAGAAGAAAAATCACTCGATCCAAGGGCAGTCCCACATATATACTCTCCTATTCCGACCTCTTTTTTCTTAATGGTGACACGGACCATTAAAAATGTAAGACTATTCTTCACAACTGTGAGCAGGGCAGTCGGGTGGGTTAGGGGAAGTGAAGACAGGCTACAACCAGTGCTTTCCCCCCCAAGGGGTACTCAAGTGTACGCAGCATCGGCACCTATTTTTCGGGGGGGGGGGGGGAGTGCTGGCTGCAACAATTAACTATAACATTGTTCACTGCTCCTGCTCAGGCTGCACAGAAGAGGCATTCAGGTTCCTGAAACTCATTCTGATAGATTTCTACAGGATGTGGTGTTAAGTGTGTGAAGGCAGTCCAGATCCAAGGTGTGAAGGCACCTCCAGATGGAGATATCAGGCTCCATTCTGCTGCCCAGGTATCTTCACTTGGCTGCAAGTGGCCAATAGGTAAAGGGGTAAAGGGACCCCTGGCCATTTATTAGGTCCAGTTGCGGACGACTCTGGGGTTGTGGCGCTCATCTCGCTTTACTGGCCGAGGGAGCCGGCGTACAGCTTCTGGGTCACGTGGCCAGCATGACTAAGCCGCTTCTGGCGAACCAGAGCAGCGCACGGAAACGCCGTTTACCTTCCCGCCAGAGCGGTACCTATTTATCTACTTGCGCTTTGAGGTGCTTTCGAACTGCTAGGTTGGCAGGAGCAGGGACTGAGCAAGGGGAGCTCACCGCTGACCTTCTGATCAGCAAGAAGAAGAAGAAGAAGAAGAGTTTGGATTTGATATCCCGCCTTTCACTCCCCTTCAGGAGTCTCAAAGCGGCTAACATTCTCCTTTTCCCTTCCTCCCCCACAACAAACACTCTGTAAGGTGAGAGGGGCTGAGAGACTTCAGAGAAGTGTGACGAGCCCAAGGTCACCCAGCAGCTGCATGTGGAGGAGCGGAGACGCGAACCCGGTTCCCCAGATTACAAGACTACCGCTCTTAACCACTACACCACACTGGCAAGCCCTAGGGCTCTGTGGTTTAACCCACAGCACCACCTGCAGCCAGGTGCAAAATGCGCCTGGCAAATTTCGAACACGGGACTGGAGGCAGAGCATAGCCACTGTGGCTAGTAGGCCTCAATTGTCCTCTCTTCAATGAATGTCCTTGTCCTCCATGATGTAACAGCCAATGGCCCATCTAGTCCAGACTCCTGTTCTCTTAGTGGCCAACCAAATGCCCATCATGGAAAACCTGCAATTGGATTCAGAAGGATAACTGCCTCCATCCAGCTGCTGTTTCTAGGAGTCTCATCTTCTATACATCCTCTTGGCTTGGAGAGGGAGAGGAGGTGCATAGTGCCATTTGCAACGAAGCAACAACTTTGCTGCAGGGAAGCTGTCCCCATCACCAAAACCTCCCCCCTAAGCACACCCAACAAGGCTCTAGCTCAGTGGTGCCCTGCGTGCAGAAGGTTGCAGCTTCAATCCCCCAGCAGAATCTCGAGGTAAGGCTGAGAAAGGCCCTCCCACAATCTGAAACTCTGGAGAGCTGCTGCCAGTCAGTGTAGACCACACTGAGCTAGAGGGACCAAGGATCTGGTGGCAGCTGAGAAGGGAGCTTTCTGTGTCCCACCACAACTTGTCTCTTTGTTGTTGTTCCCTTGAAAACAACTGAAAAATAGCCTGCCTGAGGGGTTTGGTATCTAAAGCAGCTGCCTCGAGCAAAACTTCCGCCTCTCCTGAGCCTTACCTGATGGACCAAGGGGAAAAGAGAGCGTGCATGCAAGGCGTCCTCCCTCCTCTCCCCACCTCTTGGATCGGTGCCCCAGAAGCTTGGCTCTGAGCGCCAGCCGCCTTGGCTCAGGCAAAGAGCTTTTGCCACCTGCCAGGCTCATTACACAGACTTACGGACTTACGGCTGTGCGTGGAGATGCCCAGCCAAAACATCTCCCCCCACCCTTGCTGCCAAACACACACACACACACACACACACACACACACACACACTTAATCAGGTCGCAGCCAGCCAGGAGGAAGTCAGCCTCTGGAACAGCCAAGGCAAGCCAGGGCTGGTTGGGTAGTGAGGAGGGACTCCGGCGAATGGAACAAAGAGATCCCCAGATTCCTAGAAGATAAAGTGTCCTCTCTGAGCTTTGGCGTGGGGAAGAGGAGTCTAAGGAAGTTTACGCAGCAGTTCCTCCACTGGCAGTCTGCAAAGCCACATTGGGGGCTCCACTGACCCACACTGAAAACACATCCCCCTGCCTCAAGCACATCTTCTAAAGGGAAAATGGGATGTAAGGGAGCAGAAATTTCCATCCTGTTCTGTGCTCATTCCAACCCACAGTGTCTCCCTTCTGCTACGGTTCGGCAAAACCTACACTGTTGTTCGCAACGAATGTGATGAACTACTTAGCCTAATTCAGTGCATCTCAGCGGAAAGGGAAAAATGACACAGAAAACTTTACGTAAAGTTCGTGGGCTAGGAAACAACAGCAGCAAATTTTGCTCCAGAACTTCCAGCGAAAATGCCAATCACAGCAATCTCCACTCCTGTTTCCATTCCTGGCAGAATTCTCCAACATTGCTAGAAGCCAGGCGTGGGACATTGTCGGGAGGGCAAGCCTAGATCAGAAGGAAGAGGAAATAGTCCTCCCCCAAGGCACTGAACAGGGCTTGTGGATTTCGTAAGGAACCTCAAAACCCTCAGACATGGGAAAAGCCAATGTCAGACAAAAGGGCAATGTGGTTCCTGTGCAAACCCTAAAGCTGTGCACTTTTGCAACACAAACTTCTCTCCCCACCTCCCGTCCTGCCTGTGTAAACTTAGACCCAAACAATGAAAGAGATCCCATCTCAGCTCATTCTTGCCATTTTCAATTCTACTAATGTTTGTTTATTCTCCTTTTCTGGACACTTCTCTGGGTACCTATTGTTGAAGAGCAGGATATGAACACTGGGGGGAAAAAACAACACTTTCCCAAGCGCCACCTAACGTTTGTTCAGCATCTGCAAGGAGCTCCTCTTTCAGGACAGAAAGCTTTGGAACTCCCTGCCTCTTGACATCAAGTAATACTCGTTTAAAGTGCCTGCTTTAAAACTCTGGGCTGTATCAATTAATTTCAACGAGTCTACTCCAAGTAGGACTGATTCTGGGTACAAGCCTTCAGGGCATATTCAATGCTAGTCCTAAACAGAGCAGGCCTTCGTTGGATTCAGCCCTTTGCTTCAGCAAGCCAGCCCAAGCAAATCACCTCTAACTGATATTATCTGTATTTTTTATAAACATTTTACCCTGCTTCATGCAAAGTGCTTCCTTATTGCTATTACTGCGCAGTCTCCAAATTTTGTTAAACAATTGATTCCAGGGAAATGCAGAAGCTTCCAGTTCTAAGCTTGACATGCTAGATGGCCAGGTGAAAGCCAGCAAGTCCGAGTCTTGCTGAACACTCTGGGCTTGTGGCAGAGCCTGGTTCCCCAAAAACCATACACTTCTGGGGTGGCCTCCCCTGTCATTGGAGTTTTTTTAGCGGAGTTTGGGAGGCCACTGTCATGAGATCATTTCAGTTGTGATTCTTGCATTGTAGGGAGTTTGATTAGATGAACCTTGGGGGTTCCTTCCAACTCTACAATTCAGAGTCTATGATTCTTGGAAACTCATTCCCAACACCCTGTTTCCTGGGGAAAGGCACTCCCTCCTGCTGAAAAATTCTGGACAGGAAGCAGGGTTTTTTTGGGAGGGGGAAGAGGCAGGGACTGAGGAGAGAGGGAAGCAGCACGCACACTAAGGCACATATAAAACTCCCTTCTCTTCCTCCCTCCAAAATCCTGGGAACTGTAGCAAACCCCCCTCATGGAGCTATAATTCCCAGCACCCTCAAACTACAGTTCCCTGTATTCCTTAGGGGGAAATAATGTGCCGAGTCCCTTCTGACTGCTCCCATAGCTGCACCAGTGGAGAGGTTCCCATCCACAGCTTACAGAGCATGTTTTAAGCTTGCCCTGAAGAGAGGGAGGTGTTACACCGAAGGATTTCCCTAAGCTGGCAAAGAGAGGCGGCTTGGCTCCAGGGCTTTTGTTTTTGGATCCCTGAATCCTTACTGCACCTTCTGCTTTTGCCAAACACGAAAGAGTTGGGTGGGGAAGGAAATGCCTAAGCCAACAAGGCTTTGGAGACGGTTCTTTATCCCGGTTTTGCAAATTGTTTTTGAACTGCTTGTCCCAAATTATGGAAGGAGGCAGGGGTGGGTGGACACCCGCAACTTGACCAATGAAGGATTTCAGAGTACTTTCTCAAGGGCCTGTTAGGGCTGCACCCTCCCACAATTTGGAAGACGCTGACCACCCACTCCCCAAAGCCAGCTGGATTCAGCTCATGTTTGCCCTCATCAGCTTAGGGCAGCCTTCAAAAAGTGCAAGGCTACCAGAGGACCCCAAATTGCCTTTCTCCGCGGAACGTCCCCCGCCAAAATCCATGGCTCCCTTAAAAGCAACTCATGTTCCTCACCCACCCCAAAGGAACAATCCAACTGACTGCAAAAAAGAGGAATGCAGGGAGCGGTCAGTCTGTGGCTAATCCCCTTCTCCTTAAAGAAATCCTGTAAAGCAGAACCAGTGAATTGCCCTGCTCAGTTCCTCTATACCTGAAAAGGTGTTTCAAGCGTCACGCTAGGAAGGGTGCCACGCCGCCTCTCTTGCCCCCTCCCGCCCCCGACAACCCACAAAGCAAGGGGACAGAGAGAGACAGTGTGGTGCAGTGGTTAAAGCACTGGACTAAGACCTGGGAGAGACCAGGGTTCAAGCACCTGCTCAGCTGGGTGAGATAGTGGACCAGTCACTGCCTCTCAGCCCAACCTACCTCACAGGGTTGTTGCGGGGTAAACAGTGTTAGAGATTCAGATAAATAATCTAATAGCCAAATGGCACCTTAAACCTGGGCTACAGTTGCCACAATGGAATGTCTAGGAGTCGTTCCCCCTGTTGATTGTTGTTGTTTTGTATACCACTTTATATTTTAGAGAACAAATCTCAAAGCAGTTTACAAAACATTAAAACATCAAAGAAAACAATCCAGCATAAAAATAATTCAAGCGCCAATGGAAATATTTCAGATCCACCTCTAATAAATAATAATAATAATAATAATAATAATAATAATAATTATGACATTTTGCTTTCCATTAAATTTCTGACTAATTTCAAACACTGGGGAAAATGTGGGGGTATATGGAATAAAATAAAAATAAAAATGAATGGGCACAGCTAAGTTAGGGCTACTGATTTAGATGGGACCGCTTGATTTATTGCATTGGCACCCCAGGTTTGTCCTCCAGGGGGCTTAAGGCAGTGTGTGTGGTTCTTCCCCTGCTCAGTTAATTCCCACAACAACCTTGCAAGGTAGGTTAGGCCGAGAGAACGCAGTGAGTGGCCCAGTGTTACGCAGCGAGCTTCATAGCTGAGTGGAGGGTGGATGGATTTGAGCCCTGGTCTCTCCCCGGCTGACACTCTAAACCAGGGATCAGCAACCTTTTTCAGCCGTGGGCCGGTCCACCGTCCCTCAGACCATGTGGTGGAAAAAAAACACAGTATGAACGAATTCCTATGCCCCACAAATAACCCAGAGATGCATTTTAAATAAAAGCATACATTCTACTCATGTAAAAACACGCTGATTCTCATACTGCCCGTGGGCTGGATTTAAAAGGCGATTGGGCCACATCCGACCCCCAGGCCTTAGGTTGCCTACCCCTGCTCTAAACACTAGGCCACAATGGTGTTGTTCTGATGTTGGATTCAGCACGTGCTCTTGGGCTGGGGGAAAAGACCGCAGGGGACGGCGACTCATGACGCTAGGGAGACGGGTGCCGCCTTTTCAAAGGGCCAGGCAAGCCCTGGCACACAGGGCACTCACTGATGCTTCTTGGCCCAGGCACAAGAGCACCAGAGCCCAGCTCTGCAAACAGTAGCCCATTATCGCCCATGCAAATGCGCCCATCTCCTGTCAATAGCTCCTTATCAGGGAGAGTTAGATAATTGTCATCCACCCACTTGCTTGCTGTTTGTTCTCAACCTGGCTTGGCTCCCTTCTCCATCATGGACTCAAAGATTTGTAGAGTTGGAAGGCACCCCAGGGCTCATCTAGTCCAATGCTGGAAGCTCGAACCCACATACCAGGCTCTACTAACCTTTTTTAAAAGATAAAAAATAAAAAATATTAACACGTTTTCATAATACAGTAAGATAAAAATAAACTAAACTAAAACACACAGAGAAAGAGAAAATCAGCAAAAGGAAGCCATCCTTTCCCATCCTTTCTGATGGAAGCCTCTGCAAACCTCCCAGAGCCACTGGGGCTGAGCCAGCATCACAACTGGGGCCAGATCCCTTCTCCTTCTCTGAAAATAAAACTGCCGAAATCATAATGCCACTATACAAATCTATGCTGCAACCGCACTTGGAGTTCTGGTAGGCTCGCCTCAAAAAGCATACTGCAGAGTTGGAAAAGGTTCAGAAAAGGAGACTGAAAGGAGATATGATAGCTGTCTTCAAATACCTTAAGCTAGGGGTCAGCAACCTTTTTCAGCCATGGGCCGGTCCACCGTCCCTCAGACCATGTGGTGGGCCGGACTATATTTTTTGGGGGGGGGGGGAATAAACGAATTCCTATGCCCCACAAATAACCCAGAGATGCATTTTAAATAAAAGCACACATTCTTCTCACGTAAAAACACCAGGCAGACCCCACAAATAAAGCAGAGGTGCATTTTAAATAAAAGGATATATTCTACTCATGTAAAAACACGCTGATTCCCAGACTGTCCGCGGGCCGGATTTAGAAGGCGATTGGGCTGGATCTGGCCCCCGGACCTTAGTTTGCCCACCCCTGCCTTAAGGGCTGTCACATGGAAGATGGATCAAACTTTATCTTCTCCTGCTCCAGAGGGGAAGACCCGAACCAATGGATTCAAGTTACAAGAAAGGGGATTCCGACTCAACATCAGGAAGAACGTTCTGACAGTCAGAGCACCCTCAGAAGGTGGTGCTCTCCTTCACTGGAGGTTTTTGAGCAGGGACTGGATGGCCATCTGTCCTGGATGCTTTAGTTGTGATTCCTGCATTGTAGGGGGTTGGACTAGATGACCCATGGGGTCCCTTCCAACTCTAGGATTCTAAGCCTTTCCAGAAAGTTGAGTTTTGATCTGTTTCACATCTACTGTCACTTCAACTTTTCAGATGCTTTATTGGGGTTAGTTTTTATCGGCAACTATTCTATTTTTATTTTGTTGTTTTTTTGCAGAACAGCTTTGAGGGCTTTTTAAAGCCGTCAAGCGGTGTACAAATTTCAAAGACGTAAAGATACAAAAGAAATGCAGCGAGTCTGCTCTGAGCAGGACAAACCCCTTTATCTTAGGGAGCCCCTGGAAAGACAAGCCATGGGAAGTGACGTTTCCAAGAGATACAGAGAAGCCCTGGAAGGCCCTTTTTTTTGCAGTTCAGGAGGAAAGCTCTGCACAGACTGAGCTACGAAATTTGCAGGCAACTACTGAGCAGCAGCCCCAGATGTCAGGCTCTGAGTCTGCCCCCCCCCCACTGCATGCAAACCCCACCACTGTTTGGTTTCTCCTTGGCACAATACAAACCCACGTCAACAAACTGCGTCAGAGCTCAAGGGTTGGGGGGTGGGGGTTGCTGATCTTTCCCTCCTGCTTCTCCACCCACCCTTTCCTCGCAAAACTAACTCATCCAACTTCAATCCGGGGGCGCGATAGGCAGGCGACTCTTTCTTGGAAAAGCAGGCCGCAAAAGTGGCCTCGCCGGGGGCTGGACAACAAAAGGGCCTCTGCCCTGCATCTGCAAAACAGCCTCCCTTGCGAGGAGCAAAGGTCACCAGGCAGACAGGCAAGCAAGCAGGCAGGCAGGCAGGCAGGCAGGCTCTCCACCACCACCACAGAGAGGGGGCAGCCTGAGCAACAGCCGCCATTCCTGGGGGTCTCTGCTTGCAAGGAGTGTCAGCAGCCAGCCGAGCCCACAAACCTGAGAAATGTTCCTGGGACACACAAATGCACGCACCGCAGGACTCCACTCTGACGCATGGGTGGGAAGGCAGATTTACAGCTGCCTGCTCGTTTTTTATAAACAGCTGCTCTGACTTTTTTTCATTCGTTTCTCTTTTAAAATAAATTCGTTTTTAAAATGTCACGGTTACTGAGAGGCTGCTCCTGCTGTTTCAGGAGATTTACAAGAAGAGAATCTCAAGAGCGATTTGATTTTTTTTTTTTATTCTTACTCCAGTATTTTAAACTCTTCCTTCCTTGCAATCCCTTTGCAAACTCTCCTCTACCCTGTCTCAAAATAGCTTCCTGAGTTGCCTTCAAAGGAGGAAAGTTAGAATATAAAGCTGGGAGCCTTCAAGGCCCTCTCCTTCCTCGGTTCCTGTCACTTGGAGGGCCTTCCACGGCGAAGATCAATGAGAATAGAAGGTCCAGGGAATCACATGCCCATTTATAGAAAGGTATCCCTGGAGGTTCTTCATCATATTCATACCCCAACTTTTCTCCATGCTCAAAGCAGTATATCTGTAGCCACAGCAAACCTGAAAGGCCATAGTCCAATACTAACACTCCAGAACCTGGTGCCTTCCAGATGTTTCAAACTACAGCTCCCATCAACCTAAGCCATCTAGGCCTATGGCTGTGCTCTCTAGGAACTGTAGTTCAAATTTACCTGGAGGGGACCGAGTTGAGGAAGGCAGTACCTTCCTCAACAACTGCAAAACCTCTACATTTGTCAGAAAGCTACAACAACATGCCACTTTAAAAAGACAAAAAATGCCATTGTTTCTCAGCGAGAATTAACCTAATTGGTTTCTGTCATCAGGCTAAGCCTCAAAACGCTTTATGATTGCAAGTGTCCTTTGTTGCCGTCCTAAGCAAAAAGCGGAACGCTTTAAAAATCCTCGATCCGTCAAAACACCTGAGTCTACTCTCTGCAAGGCTATTCAAAACCTTTCATGCAGACTCACAAGTGCTATTTCCCTCCCAATCTTACAAATGTGACATTTTTGCACAGGGCATGCGGCTGGTCCCAAGGCCGGACTTCGAGACTGCGGCAGGCGGGACTGCCCAGAACTTCCAACATCCTGGCTGCTTCTGTCTCAACAGATGTTAGGACATGGTCTTGAGGGTGTAAGAGCAGCCCTGCTGGATCAGGCCAAAGGCCTATCAGTTTCACCCAGAAGTCAATATGGACAGCTGCATATCCCTGCATTGCAGTGGGTTGGACTAGATGATGCTCAGAGCCCCTTCCAACTCTTATGGTTCTATGGTGCCCATCACCATCACAGCACCCGTAACCCCGAGGTTCCTGATGACTAGGGCTGGGCAATATCTGGCTTTCAACACTGTGATATATCACCAGCTAAACATCGCAATATACTGATATGTCACGATGCCTGAAATAAGGATGGAGATCTATAGAGGAATTGGCTGGCTTCACCGTTTTCCCCACATTGTGATTTTTGCAGAGCACACACATCATGTTTCGTGACATATCACCAAGTCAAAAATTATGAAACTAGTATCCCAATATGGACTTCAAACCAGTACAGGATGCTTTATTGCCCAGCCTTACTGACCATCCTAAACTATCTTGTCTTCTGGGGAGAGGGGGGGGGCTCCTTTTTTGTCTGCACTTTTGCTCATTGGGGGGGGGCAGTATCTCAGCACTAGCAGCTTTTCCTTCTGCAAAAATGGGTATTTTGGGGCATGCATGACATTTGGAAATCTTTTTCCAAATGTGCTCCCTGGGTTCCCCCCAAAACAGTTTGGGGTGCCTCGAAGGACACTGACAAACTGGAACGCGTCCAGAGGAGGGCAACCAAAATGGTCAAAGGCCTGGAAACGATGCCTTATGAGGAACGGCTAAGGGAGCTGGGCATGTTTAGCCTGGAGGAGAGGAGGTTAAGGGGTGATATGATAGCCATGTTCCAATATATAAAAGGATGTCACATAGAGGAGGGAGAAAGGTTGTTTTCCGCTGCTCCAGAGAAGCGGACACGGAGTAATGGATCCAAACTACAAGAAAGAAATTCCACCTAAACATTAGGAAGAACTTCCTGACAGTAAGAGCTGTTCGACAGTGGAATTTGCTGCCAAGGAGTGTGGTGGAGTCTCCTTCTTTGGAGGTCTTGATTCTACGATTCTATGATTTCCAATTCCATGCACACATATATTCAAGGGCCAGACGACCCGACAAGGGGCAGTGACGGGTGGGAGCAGGGCCATCTTATTCATAGGTGCTAGGGGTGCGAGGCACCCAGGCGCTAGGCTCTCAGGGGACCTGGCCGTGAGTCTGGTGCCCGAGAATTGAGTCCAGGGAAGAGCCCGCCTGTCAGTCAGAGCCCCGCAGTGGGATCTTCTGCTGCGGGCGGCTCTGCACCATGAGTTTGGGGGTGACCAAGCCAGCGAGATGCTGAGGCAGCCGGCTGGCTCTGCCCTCCTGCGTGCCTGGGACTGGGCAACCTGGGATGGGGGCGTGCATCTTTGCACCCCGGCGCCGCATACTCGGATGGGAGACACGGCAAGAGGGGAGTCGGGTCACCGGGTATAGAACCTTATAAAGTTGAAGAGCATATATTTAAAGAAGATGAAGAAATGAGCAAATTAAGTTAATAAGGATATGCAGCTGATATTAAAAATAAACTCAAGGAACTGCAGAAAAAGGGGGAAGGAAGTCAAGTTTCGAAATCTCAAAACGATTGTAAAATTAGTGAAACGTACAAACCTTCAAAGCATAATTGATTTGAGTCGGGAGGGACCCAAGGGTCATCCAGTCCAACCCTCTGCCATGCAGGAAACGTCCTACAACCAACCTGAGGGCCGCAGAGACCTGGATGCGGTCCCTCTCAGCGGTTCTCAAGCTGTGGGTCCCCCAGATGTTGTTGGACTACAACTCCCATCATCCCTGAGCTCTGGCCTTGCTAGCTAGGGGTGATGGGAGTTGTAGTTCAGCAACATCTGGGGACCCACAGCTTGAGAAAGGCTGCAAAGCGGCAAGTGGGATGCGGAAGCCTCCTCCTTTTAGGAGCTCCTCAGGCATTCAGAGATAGACTGCTCCTGCACCTGGAGGCTCTCTCTCCGCGCAGGCTTTGCTAGGCCGTCTCCCTTCTCGCCACCCGGAGGCTCCTTCTCCGCCTGGGCGCGCTGAGGACTAGCCGTGTGCCTGGCGCTCTCTCGGGCTGCCTGCCCGAGCTCGGGCGTCCGGCCCCGACCGAGGCCTCGCGGCGGTCTGGCCCGGCGCCCTCTCTCCACCCCGCGCCCGGACTCACCATGGCGGCTGCGCGGCGCTCGCCTCCCGTCCCCTCGTCGGCCTGGCCGGGCAGCAGCTGCGCGCCAACTGAGCGCCGCCGCCGCCGCTGCTGCGGCGCCTCAGCCCGGCCGGAGGAGCGGCGTGCCGACGGTCCAATGGCGGCCGGACGGGAGGGCGCACCTGGCTCCGCGCAGCCAATCCGCGCCCGGGGTTGGGGGCGGCGTGGGCGGGATTTCCTAGCCCGGGAATTAACCCTTTTCTCGTGCCCAGGTGCGCCTCTGCAGGGAGGGAGGATGCCGCTGGGCTCCCGACTCCCATCACTGCCGTTTTAGTACGCAGTATATCAGCTCCTGGATATCTGATAGAATCGTAGGGTTGGAAGGGACCCCCGCAATGCAAGAATATGCAGCTGTCCCTTGCGGGGATCGAACCTGCAACCTTGGCGTTGCTAGCGCGACGCTCTAACCTACAGAGCTAAAGTATTTTAAGCTATTCCATTGCTCTTTTAAAATGCGCTGGGGGGGGGATTATTGGGTTCTTGTTTTTGTTTTTATTATGTGTTTTGTGTTTTTATAGTGAGATTTTATGTTGTGAAGCATCCTGAGACCTGTGTTTATGGACTGGTATACTATATTATTATTATTATTATTATTATTATTATTATTATTATTATTGTCATCATCATTATCATTAATACTTGAGCTAAAAGGTTTTAAAGTACATTACAGTATTGTAATTATTTCTTGATTTTTTTTGTAAGCCATTTCAGGTTTGCTGCTGTTGTTTTACGGCAGTTAAGCTGTATATAAATGTTATGAGATAAATCAATCAATCATCCCTGACCCCTGGCTGGGCTGACAGGAGTTGGAGAGATAGGAACTACAACTCCCATCATTATCCCGGCTGGCTACGGCTCCCCCATCTCTGAACGTGACCCTCACTTGCCTGTACCACTTGGGCTACCTCCATTGCAGTCCTTGGCTTCTTCTAACACTGGGATGGGAAACATCTGGCCCACCACATGTTAGGACTACAACTCCCCTCCTTATCCCTCACCCATTGGCCATGCTGGTTGAGCCAGACGGGTGTCAGAGTCCAAAAATGCATCTGGAGGAACGCAGATGTTCCCCATCCCTGTTTTAATCCCAGAGTGGAGAACACCTGCGGCTTTGCAGATGCCCCTGAATTTCCCATCACTATCCCTGCCTATTAGTCATACTGGCTGCTGTGGATCATGGAAGCAGGACTCCAAAAACTTCTGCATAGCCACAAATATTCTCCATCACAGCCATGCCCTCTCCCCCCCCCTTTTTAAATAATAATAATAATAATAATAATAATAACAATAGCTTTTTTCAGCACACAGAATCAAGCTGTATCTTCCTCACAGGGGTTGTGTTGCTATGAAGATAAAGAAGGGAGATATTTCACACTTCTTTCATCTTGAGCCCCTTAGAGTGACAATATCTTCCATGAATTTGCCAAAGCTTGGGATTATTATTATTATTATTGAAACGAAAGAAAGTCTGAAGAAAGGATTGCAGTGAATGTTTTCTGTTTGAATGTTTTCTCTTCAGTTGCAATACACTGGTTAACTTTGGATAATTCATTTGACCGCTTTATCGAGAAGTGCTGGGTGGAGTTGTGCAAATTCCACATGGGGGGTGGCGGTTTGAAGTTGGGATGGAGAGGTGTTTCTCTCCTCTCAGAATCCTAGCTGGGCTCATAAGCTGTCCTGAGAAGACACAGGACGGGGACAGAAGGTAGGACTTCTCCACAAATCACAGTTAACTCTCTAGGGATGTAATGGCCACCGGCCGCCAATTGGGACGGCTTTAAAGGAGGCCTAGAAAAATTAATGAAGGAGAAGGCTGGGGGAGGGGGGGCTGTGTTTCTTCATCTACCACTGGAAGCACTAAGTGCTTTTGAATACAGGCGACTGGAAACAGCAGGAGGGGAGAGTTGCACTGGCAGCGGTTCTTGTATCTGGTTGGCCAACCCTGCAATTTCATGATTCTGTGAACAGGATGCTGGACCAGTTGGGCCACCTATCTCATAGTGACTACGTTGACTGGCAGCAATGGTTCTTCAGGGCATGGGTCTCTACCTAGCCCTACCTGGGTGTGAAGTTATTTCCTTAAATATTTCTTTTCTTTAATCTCTTCCTTCTAATAGTGATAGGTTTGGAGAGGTCCGGAGGGTAGCACATGAGAACAGGGCCTTCTCTGCAGTGGCTCCCCGTCTGTGGAATGCTCTCCCCAGGGAAGTTCACCTGGCGCCTTCATTACACAGCTTTAGGCGTCAGGCAAAAACATTCCTTTTTAACCAGGCCTTTGGTTGACCTGATCGACAGGTCAACCAACCCTTTTAAAACATGGCTCTTTTTTTGGGGGGGGGCTATTATTGGGTTGGGATGTGGGTGGTGCTGTGGGTTAAACCACAGAGCCTAGGGCTTGCCGATCAGAAAGTCAGCGGTTCGATTCCCGCGACAGGGTGAGCTCCCGTTGCTTGGTCCCTGCTCCTGCCAACCTAGCAGTTCGAAAGCACGTCAAAGTGCAAGTAGATAAATAGGTACCGCTCCGGCGGGAAGGTAAACGGTGTTTCCGTGCGCTGCTCTGGTTCGCCAGAAGCGGCTTAGTCATGCTGGCCACATGACCCGGAAGCTGTACGCCGGCTCCCTCGGCCAATAAAGCGAGATGAGCGCCGCAACCCCAGAGTCAACCACAACTGGACCTAATGGTCAGGCGTCCCTTTACCTTTATTATTGGGTTATTGTTTTTATTTTGAATTTATATGTTGTGATCTTTTTTGTGAACCGCCCTGAGACCTCTGGGTATAGGGCAGTATATAAATTCAAATAATAATAATAATAATAATAATAATAATAATATTGCAGGGGGTTGGGCTAGATGACCCTTGGGTCCCTTCCAACTCTCTATGATTCTACGATTCTGTTCTTGTTGCAAAATAACCCCAAACAAACAAACAAACAAACAAAAAACCTTGTGTGTGATTTTAACTATAATTATAAAACTGGAATAAAGTGAAGGGGGAAACAAAGAGGGGGAGATCCTAGCAACACGATGGCCAATTGCTTTCGGTGTTGACGCAATGCACCTTGTTTACAGAGAAGAGACAGATGCAACTCTGCCTCTTTCCCCTTTTGCTTCCTCCTGGAACACGCCCCCACCCTCACTTGGTGGTTTCTGGTTTCTCTGGTAATCAAATCAGTCTAAGCCCGTTCTGTTTGCAGAATGGAAACTGCTCTCTTTCCGTTACAGATAGCAACAGGCATTGTGGTACCACACCACTTTGAACGCAGAGCAGCCCTGCTAGGACCTTTGCCCACAGTTACCCTGATAGTGTCACTCCCCCCCAACCCCCAATTTATGACATGATTTTATTTCTTATACAAATACTGAGACACACCGTCGCTCCCTGCCATCGGTATCTGCAAATGTCTGGCTCGTGTAAGACTACATAGAACCTTCATTCTCAATCATGACAGAACTCACAGGTGGAAAATACTTTTATTTTTACAAATCTTCATTATTTGCCAAGGGAGCCTTTGTATGAGTGAATACTTTTAATATCCCTTTGGAGCTGCACTGGATCTTGGTACTTTTGTCCTTCCGAGATGTGACATTTTGTGCTTTAATTTTTTGACGCTTTGTTTTCCTTTTTGCTATTTTTGCACCTTTTGCCGATGTTAATATACCAGTTTTTTAAATAAAAAACCCACAATGAAATGAAACCTGCTGTTCGATCCGCATTGAGTAACAACTTCTGTGCAAATCTGATACCGAAGCAAAAAAGGGGGTCAGAAAACCTACAAGGGCACACCGCCCCCTTTCTTTTGGGGGGGCAAGCCTGCCAAGGAGATGTTCTTGTGGGGACTGTACCACTGCTTCCCCACCCCACTGCAATTCGTAAGCATCTCCAGCTCGTCCTATAAATAACCCTTGGGTTTTAAAACTGGTTGACACAAGACGTGCAAACAGTTTAATGACTTGGTTGGCTTGTGAATGTCAATATTAAGACTGACTGTGGAGTCAAGGTGGGCTTGTGATGGTTCGGTCGAAGCTGGGACTTCCCTCATGGCCTGTGCCCAGCGTGGAACCTGACTGAGATTTTGGGAAGAGGTTGGGCTGGGGGAATGAGAGATAGACTAGAGAGAGGAGGAGAGATGGCGGGCAGCCAGCCCAAAGATGCCCTCCAGATGTTTTAAACTCCTAAAAGGAGGAGGCAGCGATACTTCTGAATCCCAGTGGCTGGAAACTTTAGGAGGGGAGAGTTGGTCTTTTGCTCAGGTCCTGTTTTCGGGTTTCTGGTTGGCCCCTGTGAAAACAGGATGCTGGACCCGATGGGCCCCCTTTGGCCTGATCCTCGGTCCAGTATACCTGAAGGAGCGTCTCCACCTCCATCTTTCTGCGCGGACACTGAGGTCCAGCACCGAGGGCCTTCTGGCGGTTCCCTTCTGCGAGAAGCCAAATTACAAGGAACCAGGCAGAGGGCCTTCTCGGTGGTGGCACCCGCCCTGTGGAACGCCCTCCCACCAGATGTCAAAGAGAAAAACAACTACCAAACTTTTAGAAGACATCTGAAGGCAGCCCTGTTTAAGGAAGCTTTTAATGTTTAATAGGTTATTGTATTTTAGTGTTTTGTTGGAAGCCGCCCAGAGTGGCTGGGGAAACCCAGCCAGATGGGTGGAGTATAAATAAATTATTATTATTATTATTCTGCAATGCTTTTCTTATGGACTGGTGGGAGATGTAGACCAAAACATCTGGAGGGCATCACATCAGAGAAGTCTGCTCTGGGGAGGAAAATGGAGGCAATAAAGACCCGGTTGCACTTATCAGCTCAGGGAGTCCCAGAATCTGCAAGGAGAGCAGAGAAGCTTTGAGCAAATCCCAGCCCTTCCTCCACCCAGTTTCCTTCTCTCTTTCTCTTTCTATCTCTCTCCTGCTGTAATCAAAACCAGACCACCATCATTACAAGCCACATTACCCCTCTCCGGTTTAAAGGAAGGACCAATCTGAACAACAATTGAGGAACAACAGGGAAGCCACAGTATTTTTGTCGCAGAAAATTTAGCTTTGACACAAGTTCAGGATGAGTTGGTGGACGTCCAAGCAGAACGGTCTTGCGTCTGCAGAAGTCCCGGGTTCACAAATATTTAGCCACCTACCCAACCGCCCTGCCCCCACAGGACCATTGTCAAACCTCCTTCAGCAAGCCCCTTCAAGGTTAACAACAGGGCGACTTTAAAAGCTGCCCGGACAGCTGGAAGATCCAGATTTAGAGCAGCGAGGGAGGGGGAGAGAGAAAGGAGTTTATTTGTGCCAAGGTTTAATTCCACACCACTTTTTTTTTAAGTGTCAGAACACAATCATGGAACTTGTGAAAAAAAGAAGAAAAGAGGGCTTCTAGTCATGTGCAGAGTGCACCCCAACTGATTAGCCACAGCCCAGCCCAGTCTGGTGTTGTGCATAAGAATGTTGGCGTAGGACCTGGGAGAGCCGGGTTCGAATTCCTATTCAGCCAGAGAGTTCACTGGGTGGCCTTGGGCCAGTTACTGTCTTTCAGCCTAGCCTACCTCCCAGGGTTGTTCTGTGGATAGACTGGCAACTGTTATTAGAAGTATCTGGGGCATTTTCAAGGGTCTTTTGCAGCAGCTGCATCCAACTCCAGCTGTTTTCTCCCCGAATCTCTCTCGGCAACCCCTATGGAATGCTCCCTACACCCAAATAGGTAGAAAACAAGGTACAGCAGGGCTGCCTCTGGTGGTCCTTTGCACCGTACTGGCTGAGGCTGATGGGAATTGTAGTCCAAAACCTTTGGAGGGCAGATCTGGAGCAGGAAAATGTCACTCATTGGAGCGTTCTAGGAGCAGGGCAGATCAGGAAATGGGCTTTGGGCTTTTCAAACAGAAGCGGCTTGCCCTGTCTTTTCAAGGGTGGTTATGGAAGAAGCCCAGGGAGTTTTAAAATGACACCCTTGTATATTTTCACACCCACTAGGCGTGCGTGTGCGTTTCCAGCCTTGCATGCAGCTTGGCTCACTGGCGCGAGTGACCCAGAGCTGTTTGCAAGTACCACTCTGGTTCTGCTCTGGGACGAGACCAGCCCTATATATTTTGCTGCCTGAGGGAAATGGAGAAGGGGTGGCACCGTTCGACGCTGGTGATGAACGCAGCCAAAAGAGAACTTTAGGGGACCCAGGAGAGGCCACGGGGCAGTAGAGGGACGTGGCTGGAGGGCTCAGGATGAACAGCTGGGGGTTGCTGTTGCAGTCTCCTCCACCACACCCCTGGATCTGTGAGGATGCTGGACTGGATAGGCAATTGGCCTGATCCAGAAGTGCTCTACTTATATTATCATGGCACCTCAGCCAACTCCTCCCTATTTTTAAAAATATTTCTTTTGCAGCCCCAGAGAGAAGAGACCGACAGCGCTAGGAGGTGGGGGAACGTTCATTTGCCAACACTGCAGCCTGCTGGCCAATGCTTGGAACTGCAAGAGAGAGAGAGAGAGAGAGAGAGAGAGAGAGAGAGAGAGAGAGAGAGAGAGAGAGAGCGAGAGCCTAGCAGAAGCTGTGTGTGTGTGTTGTGTTGTGTTGTGCTGTGCTGTGTGTGTTGGCCCTTGACACCTGCAGTTTTTAGAATTCCTCACATAAAAAAATATATTTTTAAACTGCTGCCCGGTGAACTGTTGGAAATCTTTTAAAGTCAAACAACGGATGAATCGGCTAATGTCTCAGCAGCCCTGCTAATTATTATATTTTTCTCACCATGAGAAGCCGCTGCTGTTTTCGTCGGAACTAAAATTCCTTGCGCCTTCTTGCCAGCAGGGAGCAAGCTGTGAAGGTTCTCTGTTAATTAGTTACTCAGTTGCTGTTTTGCTTGAGGTTTATCTACCTTAATGTTTGATCCCAGCTTTTTGATTCATTAGTTATGCTGCTTGGTTATGCCTTGAACTTTAAAAAAAAAAATTTGGAAAAGGCTGGGATATAATTGTTTCAGATAAAGAGGACATGGAATTCTCTGTCTGGCCCTCTTTGTAGATATAAAATGCATTCTGCTGGACTGGTTACAATCTGTTTTATGCCATGAATGCACCTCTCAAGTTCTTAATGCCCACAGGTGTACACACAGAGAGCGCTTTCTCAGGTTACCTGTGATTGGGGGCACACCCACCAATCCTGTAGAGCTGCCCCCCCCCCAATTTAACTAGTCTGTGAATGAAATAGGCAAAATCAGAAGTGGTACAGTGATTGAGATACTGCTCTGTATACCATATTTTAAAAAGAGTATTGTTATATTTAACTTTTCAAAGGTGGGGAACTAAAATTGAATCAAATAGTCATTGCTTTTTTTTTGTATTCATGCTAAACAAATATACATTTGGAATATGGTTTGGTATTTGTCAGTTTAATGACAAAACCAAATTATTGCTGTTGGTTTTTCGTATTGAGAATTTTGTCATTTTATCTTTTATTTGTAAACCGATTTGAGGTTTGTTTGTTTGTTACAGTCAAGTAGTGCACATAAATGTTTATGAGGTGAATAAATAATAAATATATATCCTCTGTATATCAGCACATCAGTTCTCAGCCCCTCTCTTTTGAAATAATGTCACACGCGCGCACACACAATTTTACATGTATACTGCATTGCCACAGTTCAGATCGTGCTCAAGGCAGCTTGCAACATGAAAAAAAAAATACACAACTACAATATAACAAAGATAATCACAAACAATAAATAAACATTATCTAATTACTAGGAGCTGATGGAGTCTCCTTCCATGGAGGTTTTTAAGCAGAGGCCGAAGGGCCTACCTGTCAGGGAGGGTTTAGCTAATAATAATAATAATAATAATAATAATAATAATGTTTTATTTATACTTCGCCCTCCCCGCCCTCAGGGCAGCTAACACCAGTAAAATTACAATTACAAATAAAATATAAAATAAACCAATTTAAAATTCAGGTTAAAATATAGTTTTAAATGCAGCCTCATTTTAATAGTAGCCCATAGATCAAAACCATAAGGGGAGGGAAACATAAGGGTCAGACTGAGTCCAAACCAAAGGCCAGGCGGAACAGCTCTGTCTTGCAGGCCCTGTGGAAAGATGTCAAGTCCCGCAGGGCCCTAGTCTCTTGTGACAGAGCATTCCACCAAGTTGGGGCCAGTACTGAAAAGGCCCTGACCCTAGTTGAGACCAATCTAACCACCGTGCGACCTGGGACCTCCGAGGAGTTGTCATTTGTGGACCTTAAGGTCCTCCGCGGACGAAGACGGGGGAAAGAACACCAACAGCTGAAACTGATGGACTATGCAGAATTAGATAAACTAACAGGAAGAATTCGAAACCAGAGATTCACAGAAGACTGGTGTAAATTTACGGACTATTTGAAATGTAATTGTGATGATCAGATTACGTTTGTAGGTTTGCAAGAAGTTTTGTGAGGTGAATTATTTGAATTATTGCAAAAATTGGTAAAGAGGAGAATTGTTAGTTAAGATAATTAAAGGCAATATGAATTTAAGAAATGCAGAGAAGTGATAAGAATGGTGGATCATCAGAGGAGCTGATGGAAGTCCAAAAAGATTGTATAAGAAGTGAAGTTTTGTTGTATGTATGATAAGTAATATGTTAAAATCAATAAAAAATTATTTAAATAAAACAACAACAACAACACCCACAGCAACAACACTCTGTCGGGGCCTGGGGACGCTGCCTTTGGGGTCTGAGCTCGGCGCCTTCTGAATGCCAAGCAGCTGCTCCGACGCTCAGCCCCGCTGGAGACAGAGGAAAGGAGCTGCCTTTTCGTTCCCGCCCGGCAGAGGGCAGCAGAATCCCGCCTGGCTCTTGCGATGGGGCAGCAGCCCAGTCCCTTTTCCTTCCCAGCCGAGAGGGAGGGCGGGGGTCCAGTGACTGACACTCCCTGTCCCCCTCCCTCCCTCTCCCCCTTTAAAAAGGCCCGCGGGGCCCTCCGGCGATGCCCGCGCTGCAGGCAGATGGTGCCGGCGCAGTGAACGAGGGCAGCGGCTGGAGGAGGAGGCGACGCGCATCAGAGCTGGAGGTAAGGCTATGGGGACAGGCGCCCCCCAGGGAATCTCCCCTCCTCCGGCCCCCTTATTCATCCTCCGGACAAGGGGACGCTTTTCTCTCCCTCTCCCTCTTCTCTCTCTCCCTCTCCCCCCTTCCTCTTCTTTCTTTCTTTCTTTCTTTCTTTCTTTCTTTCTTTCTTTCTTTCTTTCTTTCTTTCTTTCTTCCTCTCTCTCTCTCTCTCTCTCTCCCGGGAAGCAGCAGAGCCGCTCCTCTCCCGAGCTCCTTTCCCGGACCACACACCCCCTGCCCATGTGCAGAGTGCCTTAGCTGCGGACTCCCTGGTTTCAGCGCGTCGGGAGAAGAGGGGAAGGGGAGGCGAGAGAGATGATCTTTCGCTCCCCCGCGAGGGGTGGTCCTCGGTGGAGACAGGTGGACAACGGGGGTGGCCAAGCCCCCCTTCAGCTTCCTCTTGCTGCCAGCCGGGATGGGAGTTTCTGAAACGGATCCGAAAGAAAGGGCTGTGGGCAACACTGGGGGGGGGGGGGGCAAAAAGAAATAAATTACAAGGAGGCAGCTTTAAGGGGGGGTCAGAACGCAGCCGGAGCTCTTACTGTGGATTGAAGGGAGCTCCGGGTGAGCCCAGCCAGGGGGTCTTGGCTCTGCTGGAGTGCAGTTCTGCACGGGGTCCGGTGGAGAAGATTCCTTCCACACGGTCTGCTTCAGGTGGAGATGCCTTTTTTGCGCCTGGGACCTCCTTCCTGCAACGCTGGTGCTCTCCCACTGAGCTATGCTCCTTGTAAAAGATTCTAGTCCTCATGGTTCCAAAGGAATTTGAAGAGGAGCGCAGGGAGCTGCCTGGTGCGGATTCAGTGTCGTCTGCACTGGCTGGCAGCGGCTCTCGGGCAATGGTCCCTCTCAGCCCTAACTGGAGATGCCTTTTAGGATTCAACCGGGGGTGTGCAAAGCTGGGGATCTGCCGCTGGGGCACAGCCTCCTTGCCCCCACCCACTTTCTCCCCAAGCGCCTCTGTGGGGCAGAGAGATTTCTGGCATGGTGGCTGCTCCTTCAGTCCCTCCAACAGGTCATTTGCGTCCAGCTAGCAAAGGCAGGGGCTGCTTCCTCCCTCCACCATTCCCCCAAAGTCAGCAACCGTTCCCCCTCCCCCTCCCCATCTGCGATGCATTAGGAAATTTATTCCTGCACCAGACATTGCCTTCCACAATATTCCTGCACTGCATTTTTGGCTTTCAATAGCACCTACACCCAGCAATGTGGTTTCCAAGAACGACTGAAAAGTTTTTGCAAAGGTACCGTCCAGTGGCGTAGCGTGGGTTGTCAGCACCCGGGGCAAGGCAAGTAATTTGCGCCCCCTAACCCGTGGATTTTAGCAGGGGGCAGAGAGCTGCGAGTGCGAGCGCCCCCCCCCAGATGTTGCGCCCGGTGCGGCCGGCCCCCCCCGCACCCCCCACGCTACGCCACTGGTACCGTCTCCTTCGTGGTGGCAATTTCATTGCCTCAGCTGTTTGGGGTTGGGTTTTTTTGGGGGGGGACGCCCCATTCTTTGCAGGAGTTTCCTTGCATGGGGCTCTGTCAGGTGACCTTATAACCCAGGCCAGGCAGCAAGACTTGAACCCAGGTCTCACTGCGAGAGGAAGAGAGGCGTGAGATTCAAGAAACAGAAGCAATGCGAAACGAAAGAGTAAAGCATGCTGTGAACATGAAACAAGGTGAAAAATTGCCCCCAAACTGAAAATAAATAAATGAGGGACTCACAGCAGGGAAGAATATCCTCAAACATTTCAGTTTAGCCGTCTGTCATGAATGCTTGATCTGAAGTTCCTGCATTGCAGGGGGTTGGACTAGATGACCATTGGGGAGCCCTTACAACTCTAAGATTCTATGAAAAGGCAAGTAAGAGGGGGCACAACAGAAGTGTATAAAATTCAGGACGGCGTGGAGAAAGTGAAGGAAGCAAAGTTTCCCTCTCTGTCTCCTTGACACTAAAGAACTCCAATGGAATGTTTGCAGATTCAGGACAGATGCAAAAGAGTCCTTCACTCAGCACATAGCTGAAGTATGGAACTCACTGCTGCAGGAGGCAGTGATGACTGCCAAGGTGGATGGCTTTAAAAGAAGATTGGGCAAATGTCTAGGGAGGAGAGGGCTATAACTGGGATGGCTTTGCTCTGCCTCCATAGCTGGATTCAGGAATGCTTCTCAATCCCAGTTGCTGGAAAGCACAGAATAATTAGAACCACATCCCCCACAGCCTGTCCTTAGATGTGGTGTGTGGGCAAAACTGAAGAATTGGTGGCGGCGGGATGGGGGGGAGGAGGAGAGGCAGGGGGAGAAGCCCATTTACAAAATGTGTCAAGTTCAAATGGGGGGAGGGGGAACCCAGCAATTTAGCAAACGCATAATAAATTCAAAGTCATGAAAGAAAGCAGGCAGAATGAGGCAGCCGCCTCTGCTGGCCAATCAGGTTATTGATGGCTAATTCTCTCTTTCCCCAAATCTTATAAGACCTTTGCAACTGGAGTGCCTGATGGAGTGTGTTTCATCTGGCAGTTGCCACTAGCCTTATAAACCCAGGAGATGTCAGGCATGGAATGCAGTTCCCAAGTGCTTAAATTCGCTCTCTCCATTGTCGCTGCAACCCGCCTGTAGAGACATAGGAAGCTGCTCTTATTTCGAGTCAGACCAGCGGGTCCATCTAGCTCAGGGTTGCCTACACTGACTGGCAGCAGCACCCTGGGGGTTCAGATTCAGGGGTCTCTCCCAGCCTGGAAATGGCATTGGGGAACTGAACGTAAGATATTCCTGCCTGCAGGGCAGGGTCCTCTGACGCACAGCTCTGATCCTTCCCTGATATGTTAAAATCATTTCGGTGCACACAAACATCCCCTTCTAATATAGTCTAGCACTCAAAGCAAGTAAGAGATCTTAGAATTGTAGAGTCGGAAGGGACCCTGAAGACCATCTAGTCCAGGGGTCAGCAAACCTTTTCATCAGGGGACTGGCCCACTGCCGCTCAGACCTTGTGGGGGGCCGGACTATATTTTGAAAAATAAAAATACCCTGCGAGCTGGTCCCACAGCTGCCTCTGGAGGAATGCACTCTGCACGCGCTCAGGAGTGCATCTCGGCGCTGCCCGCTCACCAGCATTGTTGACGGGCAGCAGCTGCTCCATTGGCCGATCCCCGCAGAGCTCCCAGGCGCCCTGCACCATGCGCTGCGGCCCGTCGTCCAAGGCCCGGTTGGTGGGCAGGCCGTGCACGCAGAGCACCAGGCAGGTGGCGCGCAGCTCACCCTCCAGTTGCTCCAGCACGGCCTCCAGCAGCAGCACCGAGCTGGGCACCAGGTGTGGGGCCAGCAGGCACGCCAAGCTCCGGCTGAAGCCCCACGATGTGCCTGTCATGATGCTCAGACCCACTGCCTGCCCGCCGGCCTCTCCATCCATGGGTTTACCTCAGTGCGCGGGTTTAGCTGCCCAGTTGCACCTGCGGTTTCCTGCAGCCAATCCGAAGCCATGCCAGCATTGCAGAAGTCAGTCCCTGCACAGCAAGGCGTCCGCAGCTTCTTTTCAAGGAAACGCCGTGCTGCGCCGGTTTAGCTCAGTGCAGGGACTAACTGAGTGGGCAGCAGGGTCTGCAGGCCGGATTTACAAGCCCGGTGGGCCGCATCTGGCCCCTGGACCGTAGTTTGCCGACCCCTGATCTGGTCTAACCCCCTGCAATGCAGGAACTCGCAGCTGACCCATACGGGGATCGAACCCACAACCTTCGCATTATCAGCACCATGCTCTAACCAGCTGAGCTAAGCTGTGCTATATGATTCCGAGGCAGCATAGGCTTTACTTGGTAAATCAGGCCAGGGGGCAGGGAAGGTTCTTAGCAAGCCAGGAGTTGCCTGATGATGCCGTGTGATTACAGGGTTTTAAAAACAGGGTTTTACTGTAGACTCCTTGCCAATATGTTCAGGCTTATCTGTACCTTGCAGTTTTGCGAGCGTCCCTTGCCTTCCTGATCTCATCACACTGCAGCCACAGGACCCCTTGATATAATATCTCAGTTCGCAAATGTATAACTAGCTGCCTGGACTTGATATAACATTTCTGCTCTGTCATCCACCCATGCCCTGTCTTATAGCCTTAAAGCGCATAGGTAAAGGGACCCCTGACCATTAGGTCCAGTCGTGGATGACTCTGGGGTTGCGCGCTCATCTCGCTCTATAGGCCAAGGGAGCTGGTGTACAGCTTCCGGGTCATGCGGCCAACATGACTAAGCCGCTTGTGGCGAACCAGAGCAGCTCACGGAAACGTTGCTTACCTTCCCGCTGGAGTGGTACCTATTTATCTACTTGCACTTTTGATGTGCTTTCGAACTGCTAGGTTGGCAGGAGCTGGGACCGAGCAACAGGAGCTCACCCAGTCGTGGGGATTCAAATCGCCGACCTTCTGATTGGCAAGCCCTAGGCTCCGTGATTTAACCCACAGCGCCACCCACATCCCTTAAAGCGCATAGCTTCCCACAAAGAATCCTGGGCACTGCATTTAGGAATTGTAAGCCCATGAGGGGTGAGCTACAGTTCTGGGAATTATTTGGGGCAAGCTGTGTTCTTAGTTGTTGCATGGTGTGTGCGTGCAGCCAGTTGATACTATAACTCACTTAATACCTTCATATCCCTCATATGGTGGGTTGCAGTGGCTCTGGCGAGAAGCCAGCAGCAGTTTCCCCACAGTGTATACACTTTACGGAGCTAACACTCTCTTCTTTTGCATGTCAAGGAGAAGGATGAGGTTATTGCAAGGCTTTAGATACGCCAGATTTCTCTCTCCCCAGGCCCAACACCTGTGCTGATTTTCAGATGGTCTTGACTTTTATACTCGATGCTGGAATTATCTTTGTAATCCCATCCCCTTGACGGGCGATCATGCAGCTATGCTATTGCATGTTTCGTTGAACTTGGTAATAGGAAGGGCTGTCCCGTGGAAGAGCTTGTTTTCTGCTGCTCGACAGGACTCAAGCCAGTAGATTAAAAGGACAATAAAAGAGATTCCAATTAAACTAAATATTGTGCTGAGAGTTCTATATCCCATTATAATTCTCTTCTCAGTGGAATAGGGATGCTGGTGGCGCTGTGGTCTAAACCACTGAGTCTCTTGGGCTTGCCGACCAGAAGGTCAGGGGTTCGAATCCCCGCGATGGGATGAGCTCCCGTTGCTTGGTCCCTGCTTCTGCCCACCTAGCAATTCGAAAGTACACCAGTGCAAGTAGATAAATAGGTACCGCTGCGGCGGGAAGGTAAATGGCATTTCCATGTGCTCAGGTTTCCATCATGGTGTTCTCTTGCGCCAGAAGCAGTTTAGTCCTGCTGGCCACATGACCCGGAAAGCTGTCTGTGGACAAACGCCGGCTCCCTTGGTCTGAAAGCGAACTGAGCACTGCAACCCCATAGTCGCCTTTGATTGGACTTAACTGTCCAGGGGTCATTTAAGATATGAGAGGAGCCAGAGGCCCTTTCTCACAGAGCACAATGTTGGGGGGAGTCCTCTTTCCAAGCTCTGTCTCGCACCCAGTTCCTCCTAAGCTAGCCTCGTGCTGCCTTCAGGGACGGTGGAGAATCTTGCCCCCATTCCCAGGGCTGCCCTAAGATTCAGCTGTCCATCCGGTTGGATTCTGCCTGTGGAATTGGGAGTGGGGAGGATGGTGAAATCCTGCCCTTTTGCCTCAGTCAGCAAAATGTGTTGGGCAGGCCCTGATTCTCCCGTGCTCGAAGTTAAGGCTGCAGCCCCTGTGCATACGGCTGTATAGCATGGGGCTTACTTCTAAGTCAACCTGGATTGGGTTGGGCTGTGACTCAGCTGCAGCGATCACAACTGAAACATGTCGGGATTCCTTCTGTGTCCTTTTGGAGCCAGATCAGTGATGAACGAGAGCGAGCGAGAGACCCGGGAAGGGCACATGGATGGCTCGCAGTGCACTCTCCCGATCAATGCAATGTAATTAAAATGTTAAAGCGTGTGTGTGTGCTCTTGCATGCAAGAATTATTCAGGCTGCCCTCTGTCACTCCTTCACCCCTTTGGCACTGAGTGACGTCCTGCTGGCCATGTGCAGCAAGGTCTGCCGATGCCTCCAGGGGCCTCTTCCAGTGATTATGGATTTAAAATAAAAATAAAAAGAGAGAGGGGCTGGGCTGTGCCCCTATCCAGACAGGGACAGCCTATTGTCTATGCTCTGGTAACCAGAGCCGTCTTTCCCATTGGTGATAGTGGTTCATTGCACCAGGGCACCTACCTCTCAGGGGCGAGTGAGGGAGCTGCGCGGCTTTGCTGGCAGCCTTCCCTTTCCCAACACATTTTCCTGCTTGATCGCCTCCACCACGCCAGGGATCAGGGCTGTGGGGGAGGCAGAGGACATTTTCCACCGCCTCCTCCCTTGTTTTGGAGTTGCTGGGGTGGGGCGCACCAGAGGGATCTTTGCACTACGTTGCCGGATATGCTTAAGACGGCCCTGCTGGCAAACCTCTAGGTTAGATTACTGCAATGCGTTATAACATGGGGTTGCCTCTGAAGATGCGTCAAAAACTTCAGCTGGTGCAGAATTTGGCAGCCAGGTTGCAATCCATGGCAAGACGGTTTGAGAATATGACATCAACCCTGGCCCAAATGTTCAGGGCTGCCGATTAGTTCCTGTGCCCAATTCAAAGTGCTAGGTTTTGACCTATAAAGCCTTAAATGGCTCAGGACCGCAATACCTCAAGGGCTTCCTCTCCCCATATGAACTGACCCAGACCTTGCAATCATCATTTGAGGCCCTTCTTTGTGTGCCTCTGTGAGGTTTGGACAGTAGCAACATGAGAATGGGCCTTTTCTGTGGTGGCCCCCCATTTGTGGAATGCTCTCCCCAGGGAGGCTCTCCTGGTGCCTTCACTGAATATCTTTAGGCACCAGGCAAAAGCATTCCTTTGGCTGATTCAACAATCTACAGCCTTTCAAACCGTGTGTGTCTGTGTTTAAGGGGGATGCTATTGTTTTGCTTTGTGATTACAGTATGCATTTTTGTGTTTTCCTATTGTAAACCACCTTCTGGTCTTCAGATGAAGGCTGGTATAGAGATTTAATCAATATAATTATTAATAATTATTTGGGGATGGGAAGGCATGTGCACCTTACCTCCTTATTCAGGCTACTCACCCACCTCTGTATCAAATCATGAACTTTCAGAAACAACTTCAGCCTTATGAGCAAACCAGGGAAAGTCCATTCTTTCATATTCCCTGGAACATGTGAGTTTAGCCCAGTTCCTCTCTCAGCCCAACCCTTCTCACAGGGCTGTCCTGTGAGACAAAAGGATCAGAACTATGAGGAACTATCTGACTGCGAGAGGTACTTATGGTTGCACAAATTGCATGGATATGTGCCAGTGGAAAAACGCGAAGGAGGCCCCAGATGTCCTTCAAAAGAGAGAGAGAATGATATCATTTCTCTTCGACCTGCCCAAGTTCACGAGCAATTTGCCAAATCATAGTGAGGTTTTGCCGTCCATCCACGCCCTCCTCAAGGGGCACAGTCAGTGCCAGATGAGGTTGGCACAGTTCTAGGCAGTGGAGGGTGGAGGCCCTGCTCAGAGCTTGCGGGAAACCTCTCTGGGCTTTCCTGGTTCTTTCATAGGCTGTCACCAGGGTTGTCCACAGAGGCGGGGGAAGAGTGTGCATCACGGGGGAAAACCTTGGGCAAGAGAGGAAGGCCATGGCTTCCTTGGGCTTCTGCATTATATAATAAGATATTATTATTATTATTATTATTATTATTATTATTATTATTATTATTTATACCCCGCCCATCTGGCTGGGCTTCCCCAGCCACTCTGGGTGGCTTCCAACAAAATATTAAAATACAGTAATGCATCAAATATTAAAAGCTTCCCTAAACAGGGCTGCTAGGACTTGCTGATCAGAAGGTCGGCGGTTCAAATCCCCGCGACGGGGTGAGCTCCCGTTGCTCGGTCCCTGCTCCTGCCAACCTAGCAGTTCGAAATCACCTCAAAGTGCATGTAGATAAATAGGTACCGCTCCGGAGGGAAGGTAAATGGCATTTCCGTGCGCTGCTCTGGTTCGCCAGAAGCGGCTTAGTCATGCTGGCCACATGACCCGGAAGCTGTACGCCAGCTCCCTCGGCCAATAAAGCGAGATGAGCGCCGCAACCCCAGAGTCGGCCACGACTGGACCTAATGGTCAGGGGTCCCTTTACCTTTACCTTTAATGCATCAAACATTAAAAGCTTCCCTAAACAGGGCTCCCTTCAGATGTCTCATTCAAGGGCAGAAGCAGCCGTTTGTGGAACGGGGAAGTTCTGCTTAATCTAAGGTTACCAGATTTTTCCCCCAATGAATCTGGGGACACTTTTCAACTTCAGTTGATTTTGTATGGGGACTGATTTGTAAATCCGGGGACTGTCCCCAGGAAACGAGGACGTCTGGTAACCTTAGCTTAATCCTCCTCTCCAGGATCACCTCCCCCACCCCCCCGCCGACGTCTTTGTTGCGAACTTCTCAAGGAAGTGCCAAAGTTTTGTGGTGGTTGGCAGCCGGTGCTGGGTGTGTTGAGGGCAAAGCCTCTGCTTTGCATGCCTTCACATTTCCAGTTGAAATGTGGGTCTCTGGTCTGATGAGCTCTGGCTGATGGTCAGCGTAGACTCGGGTGGCTTTAAAGGGTGGCTGGGAGGAAGAGGCTACTAGCCCCAATGGCTGGGCTCTGCAGCGTAATGCTGGTGGTCAGCAAAAGAGGTTTAAAGACTCTCTCAGGGGAAATCTTTAAAAATGTAGGATAAACACCGACAACTGGGAAACACTGGCCTGCGACCACTCCAATTGGAGAACAGCCTTTACCAAAGGTGTTATGGCTTTGAAGACACTCGAACTCAGGACGCAAGGGAGAAATGTGCTAAGAGGAAGGCACGCTTGGCAAACCTTCACCGTGATCAACTCCTGCCCGGAAACCTATGTCCCCACTGTGGAAGGACGTGTGGTCTCCACAGTCACTTATAGACTCACTGTTAAGACCAGGCTTCCTCAACCTCGGCTCTCCAGATGTTTTGGGCCTACAACTCCCATGATCCCTAGCTAGCAGGACCAGTGGTCAGGGATGATGGGAATTGTAGTCTCAAAACATCTGGAGGGCCAAAGTTGAGGAAGCCTGGTTAAGACCTTGTTTATGGAAGATGATCTTACTTGGCTAGGAGGGATCGCAGAAGAAGAAGAAGAAGAAGAAGAAGAAGAAGAAGAAGAAGAAGAAGAAGAAGAAGATGTCTCCGCAGTCAGTCAGCGATGCACCCGACTGCCAGTTGCTGGAAGCCGCTGGAGGGAAGAGTTGCTCTCATGGCTGGGTCCTTACTTGTGGGCTCCCCAATGGGGCATCTGATTGGTCAGGGCTGGATCCAGCAGCCAGACTCTTCTTAGGATCTTTCCCTGACCTGATGCCTTCCAGTTGTTTTTTGGACTACAGCTCCCATCAGCCTCAATGGAATTTTGCGTTTCTTCAAACAAAATGTGCATGCTGCTTAATTGTAAGCAACGGGCTGTGCGCAACTGAGTCCTACTCAGAGTAGGCCCATCGAAATTAACAGGCCCAAGTTAGCCATGCCCATTAACTTCAATGGGTCTACTCATTGCGTAACAAACCCATTTCCTCTAAGCCAGGCTTCCTCAAACTCGGCCTTCCAGATGTTTTTGGCCTACAACACCCATGATCCCTAACTAGCAGGACCATCGGTCAGGGATGATGGGAACTGTAGTCTCAAAACATCTGGAGGGGCGAGTTTGAGGAAGCCTGCTCTAAGCCAGCCTTTATCAAGCTGTGGGTCCCCAGATGTTGTTGAACTACAACTCCCATCACCCCTAGCTAGCAAGGCCAGAGCTCAGGGATGATGGGAGTTGTAGTCCAACAACATCTGGGGACCCACAAGTTGAGAACCACTGCGTTGCAAAGAATATAAAACATACCTTGAAGCTGTCAATAAGAATCAAAGTTAAAGGAGCTTGGAAAAAAAGCTAAGCACATAAATTATTCGCTGGGGAAAGGACCGATTAAAAGACGTCAACTCCTACGCATCTGCCTAGGCAGAAAAGATTTTAGCAAAAAGAATATGGTGAAGATCAATGGGCGGGGAGTTCCGATGTGCAGGAGCTGTTACACTAAAAAAATAAGGAGAGAGAGCTACGATTCATACAGTTGTGGTGTCCTAGGAGTTGTAATCCAAAACTTCTGAAGGGCACCAGTTTAGGGAAGGCTGGGATAGGTTGTAATTGTTATTGAGGTTTTTTTTTTTGGGGGGGGGGGAGAGATCTGTTGTGGGGATGCCAAGGAACCTGAGAACCAGTGCGAAGCGATAGCAAGAATGTAAGAGAGACTTGGCTTCAGACCCCTGCTCACTCAGGAATAACTTTGCCTCAGTCGCCGTGATACCGCCTGACTCGCTCCACAGGCTCATTGTGAAGAAGATAATCTTAGCCCAGGCACTGCCAAGCTCTGAGCTGCTGGGAGGAAGAAAAGTTGGGAGTTAACTTTTCCAGCCAAAAGGAGAGAACAAAAAGCAGCCTTCGGAATCTCCAAGGCAAGGGAGAAGGAGCTGTATTGAGAGGATGGGGCCCTTCTGCCCATTTTACAGCTATTACTGAGGCAGCCCATTAAAGCAATTTTAAAATGCCTGTGAAGCCAGGAATAATGGGCCGCCGCTCAATGACAGAAGTCCTGCCTTGCATGTTGAAGGTCCCTGCTCTGTTTGGGTGACCCTCCCTGCCTGAAACTCCGCAGGGATGCTGCCAGCCAGTGTAAACAATGTTGAGCTAGAGAGACCAATGGTCTGGTTCAGTACAAGGCAGCTTCCTAGGATCCAGACAGACCAGGAGAAGATGCCAGAGGTAAAACATAATCACAAACAAAGGAGACTTTGCTGCCCACCCCCAACACAAGTCTTTCTTGCCAGAAGCGTTTCTGGCAAGAGATTTTGAGGAAAAGCCACAAAGGAACTTGATTCACAATTGCTAGTTCCTTGTTGCTTCCCCCCCCTCTAAAGTGTGAGGCGAAAGCCCAAATATCCCCGCCTCCTGCTCAGGCAGCTGCTTCTCTAAAGAAGTTAGACAGGATGCAACAGAAGGAAATAAAAGGGTGGGCAATGGGCACTGTGGTAAACAGGGTGTTTGCATCCTGGGGTGAGGACACCCTGGATCTGCTAATGCTCTGTGAGCGCTAACAAAACTTTGCAGGACTTTGCAATACCCAGTATCGCTGCAGAAAGCCACAGAGCTCTAAGGCTGAATATAAACAGATGTAAAAAACCCCCCCAAACCGCTGTCAAAATGCCTAAATATATATATATATATATATAATGTAAAAATATATGTGGAATTTGCCATTGGCTCATCAGCGCCATCTAGTGTCACATTTGTAAAAAGGTAAAGGTAAAGGGACCCCTGACCATTAGGTCCAGTTGTGGACGACTCTGGGGTTGTGGCACTCATCTCGCTTTACTGGCTGAGGGAGCCGGCGTACAGCTTCCAGGTCATGACTAAGCCGCTTCTGGCAAACCAGAGCAGCGCACGGAAACGCCGTTTACCTTCCCGCCGGAGCGGTACCTATTTATCTACTTGCACTGGTGTGCCTTTGAACTGCTAGGTTGGCAGAAGCTGGGACCGAGCAATGGGAGCTCACCCCATCACGGGGATTCGAACCGCCGACCTTCTGATCAGCAAGTCCTAGGCTCTGTGGTTTAACCCACAGCGCCACCCGCCTCCCTGTCACATTTGTACAATGCACTTAAAACGCACTTGTATTTGCAGCTGAGTCCTAAAAGAGGATTGGACAAATTGATGGAGGGAGGACTATAAATGACTGCTAGCTATAACTGCTATGCCCTGCTGCCACAGCTGGAGGCAGCTATGCTTCTGAATGGAAGATGCAGAAGAGAGGGTTCTGATTCTCAAATCCTCCTTGTACTTTGGGTTACACTTTGGGGCTAATGTGCGAACAGGATGCTGGACTAAGGGGGCCACTGGCTTGACCCAGCTGAAGACTCTGCTCATGTTCTTATGTAAAGTTGTCTTCTTCTTTGGTGATCACTTGTAGCCGAGTAAAATTGTCTTCCGTAAACACGGTTTTAAAAATGAGTCCGTAAGTGACTGTGGATCCACATGTCCTTCCACAGTGGGGACAGAGGTTTCCGGGCAGGAGTTGATCACGGTGAGGGTTTGCCTAGCGTGCCTTCCTCTTAGCATGTTTCTCCCTTGGGTTCTGAGTTCGAGTGTCTTCAAAACCCATAACACCATTGGTAAAGGCTGTTCTCCAACTGGAGTACACACAGGCCAGTGTTTCCCAGTTGTCGGTGTTTATACTACATTTTTTAATATTTGCCTTGAGACACTCTTTAAACCTCTTTTGTTGACCACCAGCCTTACGCTTTCCATTTTAAAGTTCAGAATAGAGTTGTTGCTTTGGAAGAAGGTAACAGGCATGGACTGCTTAGTTAACATGAGGCACATTAAAACATCAATCGCCTCCTCTATCCTGCTCCCTTCCACCTTCTGCACCAAAAAAATCTTTATATATTTTTTTTTAAATGATATTTATTGAAATTTTTTTTTAAAATTACAGAAAAAGACAAAGCAGAGAAAGAAAAAAGAAAAAACAACAACAACAAAAAACCAAGCCACATCCAACAATACAAATTCAAAAAACAAAAATACACCACAAACAGATAAAAATAAAACCATCATTCTCAAATCTTCAACTTTCATTACCTTCTTTCTTTGACCTCCTCCTCCTCCCTTTTTTTGGTATCCCAGTTAATAATTATCGCAGCAAATCCTTTCCATATTTCATAATATTCTGTCATTACATTACCTTAATCTATTTTCATCTTATCTTATAAAAAACCTTAAAACTTAAAGCTTAAATCTTTTTTTTACCCACTTCTCATAACCATAATATTCTTGCCTAATTCTTTAAACATTTTTGCTAGAGCCAAGTAATTTCGTTCCAACATTTTCCTAACAGTCATCAATTTTATAAAACAATCCTAGTGATAAAAAAAAGAAATAGAAACAATCCAATCTTCATCTACCGTCCCTTCCTCCTGGTCCCGGGTTTTGTCAGTCCTTTTATCCCATCGATCTAGCGCATTAACCTGGTAACCTTATATCCGAGGCCCTTAAGTCCCTTCCGCAGCTCTTTGCACCAAAAAAACCTTTAAGGCACTATTTTTTGTTGGGTTTGGCTTTCATCATGCTCTATCCCACCCAAAGCAGGTCAGCTTTAAGTTCTGCAAAAGTGGAAGTTAAAATGCACGAGTTATTTTTTAAGAAGTATGCATGAATTATTCCCTTAGGTCCAGGCAAGAACAATGGTTCCTCTAAGTCCAAAGGACAATCCTGAGGCCCAAGTCTTTTATAAAAGTGGTTCCTGGAACTGGAAGTTTGACCTGTCCTCTCAGGTCAGCAAAGCAACGTATGTTAGAGCAGGCCATTTAAAAACAACGGGATGTACAGTTTCAAAAAGGTTAAGATGTTTTGAGACGCGAAAGGTTGCACCCTGCATTTTAGTTGGTCCAAATAAAGGTTATGTATTTTCATGCCCTGTGGCTCCTGAGACTTTCTTCCTTTCTTTCGAAAACCGTATCGCCTGTGCCAGAAGTCATTAGTCTGTTTTTCTCTTAAATTGTTTCAACACAAGACAGTTGACCGTTTTCCTGTCGCAAGAACAATGCTGGGCCTTGAGCCTTCTCAAACAAGTTCTTGGCACTGAACCTTCAACCTGTGCCTTTCCTCGGGTCTCCTCAATCTTCGGAGGAGCCACCACTGTTGCTCTTTTGCATTCCTCAGTCGGCTGAAGTTTCTTCCGTAAAGGCAGGGACGCAGGTGGCGCTGTGGTCTAAACCACTGAGCCACTTGGGCTTGCCGATCAGAAGGTCGGCCAACCTAGCAGTTCGAAAGCACACCAGTGCAAGTAGATAAATAGGTACCGCTGTGGCAGGAAGGTAAACAGCATTTCTGTGCGCTCTGGCTTTCATCACGGTGTCCCGTTGTGCCAGAAGTGGTTTAGTCCTGCTGGCCACATGACCCAAAAAGCTGTCTGTGGACAAATGCCGGCTCCCTCAGCCTGAAGGTCAGTGGTTCGAATCCCCACGATGGGGTGAGCTCCTGTTGCTCGGTCCCAGCTCCTGCCAACCTAGCAGTTCGAAAGCACATCAAAGTGCAAGTAGATAAATAGGTACCACTCCAGCGGGAAGGTAAATGGCATTTCCATGTGCTCTGGTTTCTGTCATGGTGTTTCTTTGCGCCAGAAGCAGTTTAGTCCTGCTGGCCACATGACCCGGAAAGCTGTCTGCGGACAAACGCCGGCTCCCTCGGCCTGAAAGCGAGATAAATGCCGCAACCCCATAGTCGTCTTTGACAGGAGACCTTTACCTTTTGTTACCTTCTTCCTTAAAGAGCCTCTGCATTTGATGCTGGTGAGATTTCATTGCTTGTGTTCTTTGCGAGGGAAAGAAGGATGCATTTTTTTTTAAATGAGAAGAGCCAAGAGGGGCCCATTGAGTCCACCCTTACCTGGGCCAACCAGATGCCCCCAAGGGAAGCCCACAAGCAGAACTCTGCCCACTTGGGAGTCCCAATAACTGGGATTTGCAGGTAGACTTCCTCTGAATAGGGAGGCTCCATCTGTTCCCCATAGCAGATCAGGGGTCAGCAACCTTTTTCAGCCGTGGGCTGGTCCACCGTCCCTCAGACCATGTGGTGGGCTGGACTATATTTTTGGGGGGGGAGGGGGAAATGAATGAATTCCTATGCCCCACAAATAACCCAGAGATGCATTTTAAATAAAAGCACACATTCTACTCATGTAACAACACGCTGATTCCTGGACGGTCCGCAGGCTGGATTGAGAAGGCGATTGGGCCGCATCTTGCCCTTGGGCCTTAGGCTGCCTACCCCTGCAGTAGATCACAGAATTGTAGAGTTGGCAGGGACCCTGAGGATCATCTAGTCCAACCCCCTGCAAGGTAGGAATATGCCGCTGTCCTAAGCAGGGATCGAACCTGCCACCTTGGCTCTAACCAGCTGAGCTTTCCAGTGCTGTAGATGTGTTTAAGAATTTCAGAAGAGCCAGGCTGTGGGTAGATCAGGCCAAATGTCCACCTCAGTTCAGCATCTTGTCCTCTCTTTGGCTAACCTGATGTCTCTTCTGCAAGCAGGAACCTGAGCACGGGAGCAGACTCTGACCTCCTGTGTCTTCCAGCAACCGGGATTCAGGAGCCTTGCTGCCTCCAACTGCAACTATCGTAGCAGCCGGTTGCCAGAAACCTCAGGAAGGAAGAGCCCTCTTGTGCCCAGGTTCTGCTAGCCAGTTTCCCAGAGACACTCAGTGCGCCCCGTGGGAATAGGATTCTGGACCAAGATCATACCTTCCAACATTTCTCCGATGAAAATAGGGACGTCCTAAGGAAACGGCGTTTCCGTGCGCTGCTCTGGTTTTGCCAGAAGCGGCTAAGTCATGCTGGCCACATGACCCAGAAGCTGTCTGTGGACAAACGCCAGCTCCCTCGGCCTATAGAGCAAGATGAGCGCGCAACCCCAGAGTTGTCTGTGACTGGAGCTAACGGTCAGGGGTACTTTTACCTTTAAGGAAAGGCAGGACATTCCAGGATCAAATCAGAAACTGGGATGGCTTATGTCAATCCAGGATTGACCCTGGACACTTGGAGAGTCTGCTACATGGACCATGGGCCTGATCCAGCAAGCTATTTACTGTTCTTAAGCCCCTGCTCTTGGCCCACATCCACAGCAGAGGCAGCCGGCAGGGTTGGCCCACCCATGAGGTTGTTGGGATACTGCCAGGGAGACAAAGGCCATCATGCCTCCACGTCGATTCTGGATGATCCATCGATCTCCCGTAGATACAGTATCAGTCAATTAGCGACACAAGCCTCAGAAACATCTGTCCACAGATTGACAGAGGTGACCTGCTTCAGGTGGCGAGATCCCCAGGGGCAGCAGACCCGGCCGACAAGGAATGTATCACCTGCTGCTGCAGTGGCAGGACAGCAGCAACTGTGGTGAGCTCCCTGGAGGCCAGATCTAGCGCCTCCTCAGCACACCCACCCATGCCACTTCTACAGTGGCCTCTTGGCACCACTGGTCTCCTCCCACCCTTGTTCCTGATGGAGATCTTTGCGCCTCAGCCGAGGCTTCTTCATGCTCCGTGTGCACTGTCTGTGCAACGGGGTCCCAGGGCAAGGCCAGGGTGCAGCGGTTGCTGCTGCCAGTTGAGCATGCTAGGCTTTCTTGGGAAACCCCTCTGCCTGGTGCTTTCCTTCTCTCCTACCCCCTCTGACCGGCATCTACCTGGTGGCTTTTGGCCAAGCTGCTGGCTGGCTGGGCCCCTGCCAAGGCTCCATGCGTCTCTCTTAAGAACATTTGCCGGTATCGCTTGCGCTCAGCGGGAGTAATCCCAGAGAATTAGCTACAGCCCAGAGGCTTATCCTTAAAGCTGCTGCCACTGTTGCTGTTACAGCAGCGTTTGGAGTCAGTTGTGGCGATGAAGTTGTGGACTGGGCAGGTTGCAGTGGGCTGCCCTAAGATCCTGCCTGTCCAAGCCCTGTTTGCACAGTAGCCCGATGAAAAGCCAGGCTCGCCATCCAGCCCACATGCGACGGAGGCAACGGGCGGAGAAAATAGGTTGTGAGCTGTAGGTCACCCAGCCATGCATTAAAAGGACAACAAACAATACAAGCAACACGAAGACCAGTCTACTAGATAGCGCTGCAATTCTTATTCATGGTGCCGAAGTAGTAAGTGAAGAACAACGTAGGACAGTGATCCTGGATAATCTGACTGTTTCGCTGGAATCTTCTTCAGCACAACTACAAAAGAATTCAAATATAAAACAATGACCTGTGTACATTATATAAACTTCACACATTACAACTTACTACTTCAGCACCATGAACGCCTAAAAAAGTTTTACCGCTTAGCCCACAGGGTAGCATCTATTACTTTGTTTCAACCATAGACTTATACTTCTACGGACTTTCAAAGATTGCCAGACGTGTGTTCATTTGCTTTCAAATATATTAGAGAATTCACAAGTGTACACATTTTGATTTTTGTTGTACTAAATCATGCATATTATGCAATAAGAATTGCAGTGCTATCTAGTAAACCGGTCTTAGTGTTGCTTGTATTGTTTGTTGTGCTAAGTTTGCAACACGGGTTTGTTGTTCTGTATTGGTGACGCATTGAAAGGAGTCAGAGTTGCTATGAAGGTTGTTAAAGGACAGTAAAGGCAAGTGACGGTCTAGTTCACTGCACTCCTAGCTACTGCCAATGAAACTGTGCCTCCTTTTAATGGATGGATAAGGAACCTGTGTGGTCCTCCAGGTGTTGCTGTACTACAACTCCCATCCTCCCTGACCACTGGCCATGCTGAGTGCGATTGATGGGAGCTGGAAGTTTAGCAATATCTGGAGGGCCAGTGGTTCCCCATCTCTGAATTAGACCATCGCTTGCCTTTACTGCCCCTGGTTTCCTGCGTCGCAATTCTGTGTTGTCACAGTTGGAAAACCCAACTCTTGGTTGAGTTTTCATACTTGCTCTTCTTCTCTACCCCCCCCTCCCCAATTTACGCAGTAACTCAAACTTCCTCTGGTGCATAGCCCGCGGACACTGCCTGCTGGTCTTCAACGTGCCCCTGCTTCCTGCCACCCAGGACGACGTCACTATGAGAGTGCTGCTTTTTGCCTTCCTGATCGAAGTGTCCCTCTCCTCTTTGGTTCCAGGTAAGTGAGTTTGGAGCGAAGCCAATTGGCCCATCCCCGCGTGCAAGAACTGCACCGCTCTGAGCACTTTGGGGGTCTTCCTAAGGAACTTCGGAAGGTCGCAGGTTCAGTCCCTGCATGGGACAGCTGCATATTGCTGCATTGCAGTGGGTTGGACTAGATGATCCTTGAGGTCCCTTCCAACACTACAATTCTACGATAAATGTTTGCTCACTTCTGGCCTGGCAGCCATTCTCCCACCCAGCTCTTTGGCTGAGCAGCGAGTGAAGTCAAGGAGCCATTTGTAAACACTCAGGTGAGGAGGAAAGATGTCAACACCAGGCAGAGCTTTGGAAGAGGACTTTTTAAAAGTGCCGGCGACTGAGTGCTGCTGTTATAAGAATATTGTTTTTAATACTAGGCCACACATAGGCATGTCTGTTATTGGCGCATAGTAATTTCGTTATGAGTGGTTAGCTCTCCGCCTTCATCCAGACAGATTAAGCTAAGGGATTAGTCCTTCTCTCACAAATTGTATGGGGGGAGGGGAAATTATTTGGACCACCCAGGGGGTTAAAATGCACCTGGAAAGAATTGGAGAGGCCCATCTTCCTGGCACAGCTGCCCAGCAACCAGCCGGTTCCTGCAATCAAGACCATGTGCAAAGCAGACAGACAGCAGGCGCTGTTGTGAAAACAGTTGTGAGCAATTCTTGTGAGCATGCCAGGCTACACACGCCGCACATTTAAAGCGCATGACTTTTCCCACCGCAAAGAATTCCGGGAACTGTAGTTTACTCACTACAGGGCTACGGCACCCAGTGGCCTTAAAAAACTACAGTTCCCAGGATTCTACGGGGAACTAGGTTGTGTGCTTTAAATGTGCGGTGTGCACACAGCCCCTCTTGATCTGCGGTGCAGAGCTCCTGAGGACGAATGTGGACTCCGCCTGCAATCTTTACGCAAGCCCTGGAGGCGACAGGGCGCCCTACGGCCTCCAGTCACCCTTGTCTTCTTTCCTCCCAATTGCAGAGAAGGAGAAGAACCCCCGGTTCTGGCGAGAGCAGGCCCAGGAGACGCTGCGGAGGGCCCTGAGCTTGCAGGAGCTCAACACGAATGTGGCCAAGAATGTCATCCTCTTCCTCGGGGACGGTGAGATCTGGGGCATGGAGCGGTGGAAGTCTGTGGGATGGGAAAGGGGGCAATAGAGGGCTTCAGACACAAAGGAGGAGGGCAGGACTTGAAGTCTCCCCAGACTGCTGCTCCCTGTTAGACCCAGATATGCTTTCTCTATAGAAGGGAATACACCCCTCCACATATTTGTTGCTGGGGTCTGTATACGTGAAGTAGCGTCTCTAGCCCCATCATTTAGCCCGTACACTGAGGTCCAGCTCCGAGGGCCTTCTGGTGTTTCCCTCACTGCAAGAAGTGAAGCTACAGGGAACCAGGCAGAGGGCCTTCTCGGTGGTGGCTCCTGCCCTAGATACCAAACTGATAAACAACAAATTGACTTTTAGAAGACATTTGAAGGCTTCAGCAAAGTTTTTAATAGTGGATGTTTTAAATATTTTGTTGGCAACCCAGTCAGATGGGCAGCATATCAATAATAAAATTATTACTATTATTATTATTATTGCTATAATCAAATATCATCCATTTTTTCCCCAAGGTTACTTTCACAAATGTGTTCACCTTTATGCAAGCTTTCCCCTCAAATAGGCTTCTTTGGGTTTTGGTGCACACAGTGTTTGCTGGGAGAAGTGCATTGCAAAATTCTGAAAAGTTCAAATGTGGAAGGATAAATCTCCTTCGGTTCACATTTTGTTCAGGAAAGTGTGAGCTGGCTTGTGCCTCCTCGCCCTGATCCCGAGTTCTTCCCTTTTATTCTTACATGAATCATGAGAATGGAAAGCTTGAGTCAGCTTTTTTGCTCTCCCTGTCCCTATTTGGGGCCAGATTGCCTGTCATTACCTGGCACTGGGTGGAACAGGGACTTTTCCCACGGGTCACAGTTGGCACAGGGGTGAATCCATCCAGCCTGGTTTTCCTGAATTTCTCATTTTCCCATTCTGCCTGGTTCTGAGTTCAGCCCTCCACATTTCCACATCAGTTTTACGTCTACAGCCTCCCTTCCTCCCTGATACGCACTTTTTGCGCAAAGCAGTTTCTGTTGGGATACTGCCGGGGAGACGGGGCATCAGGCAGGCCCCCAGCTGGCTCCGGACGATCACCGGTCTCCCGTGGAACAGCAGCAGTCAGCCAGCGACAATGAGCCTCAGATACGTTTAGAGACCCGTGCACAGCAGAGTGTGTAAATCTCCACAACGGAAGAGGCAAACAGAGATGTGCAAGCATAACGTACAGGATTTTATTCAGCATAGCTCAGGAACAAAGGAAAACATGTCTGCTTGCCTTCGTTTCCAGCAAAAACAAAACAGCAGTATAGCAAAAGCAAAATACAACGGAAGTTCCCAGCAGACTGTGCTGGGAGTAAACAGGCATGTGATACACAAACGTCATGCCTGTACCCTTTTAAGGTGGAATGGAACTATATCCTAACATCCTCCCCCCTTCCATGTAACCTGTAGTACCTGTGGTTCAACCCAATTGCAACCTCTGTACCTAAATCTTAACTTGTTCTCTGTTAACAACCTTAGGCAACAGATCTGCAGGAATTTCGTTTCCTGGCATGTAGGACACTTGAATGAGTCCCTTCTGAATACACTCTTCTGCACGATGTAACTATATAGCCTAACAGTTTCCACTAATGTAATGCCCTTTCGATATGTTGCTTTTCACCTATTATATGTGTTTATATGCACGCTTAACATTCCGGTGTATTAATTTCTGCACACATTTCAGGGAACTGGGGAACTGCATTGCATAATTCAGAAAAGTGCAAATTCCCAAGGTCGGCTGGGTTTTGGTTTGAGTGCAGTTTCACCAACTGCGGGTATTAGGCAGGTTCAACTTTACATGCCAACTGGATGTAAAGGCCTTTCCCAACCTTTCTCACGTGTGGTTCTTTTGACTGTAGGCATGGGAGTCCCCACGGTGACAGCGGCTCGCATCCTGAAGGGGCAGCTGAGCAACAACAATGGGGAAGAGACAGTCCTGGAAATGGACCGGTTCCCCTTTGTGGCTTTGTCCAAGGTAAGGAGACCTCTCCAGCCCTGCCTCTACTCCCATTCTCTTCTTTTTGATGGCCATCACAAAGGCTGTGGTCCTTCTTTACTCGGGTGAAGATAAGACAGAAGGTCTGCTACCCTGTGATTCTTTTAAAAAATAAAAAAGATAAAAATAAAAACCCCTTTCTTTAAAACATGTGGAGCCTCACCCTTTGATTCCAGCAAACGTATGTGGAAACTCGTAGTTAACAGATTCATGCACGCTTAATCTCTGCGCTTTTACTCAGAGGTACGTCCCATCATCGACTTCTGATGTTCGAGTTGTTTTAAGTGATGTTGTTTCAAGCTGCCAAAATGGCAACGCCCACTGCTCAGGAGTGAACAAACCTCGAGGTTTATAAAACAGCACCAAAATATATTCTTCTTCTTTGGCGATCCCTCGTAGCAGAGTAAGATTGTCTTCCATGAACACGGTCTTAACAGTGAGTCTGTAAGTGGCTGTGGAGGCCAATTCTGGATCCACATGTCCTTCCACAGAGGGGACACTGGTTTTCGGGCGGGAGTTGATCACAGTGAGGGTTTGCCAAACATGCCTTCCTCTTAGCACATTTCTCCCTTGCGTTCTGAGTTTGAGCATCTTCAAAGCCCATGACACCTTTGGTAAAGGCTGTTCTCCAACTGGAGCGCTTGCAGGCCAGTGTTTCCCCATTGTCGGTGTTTATACTACATTTTTAAGATTTGCCTTGAGAGTCTTTAAACTCTTTTGTTGACCACCAGCCTTACGCTTTCCATTTTTAAGTTTGGACTAGAGTAGTTGCTTTGGAAGATGATAATCAGGCATCCACACAACATGACCAGTCCAACAAAGTTGATGTTGAAGAACCATTGCTTCGACACTGGTGATTTTTGCATTAGTTTGCCTGCCTTCCCAAGTGATGTGTACAATTTTTTGGAGACACCATTGACAGAAACTTTCAAGGAGTCGGAGATGGCGTTTATAAGTGGTCCATGTTTCACAAGCATACAGTAAGGTTGGTAGTACAATAGCTTTGCAAACAAGCGTTTTGGTTTCCCTGCGAATGTCGCAGTCCTCAAACACTCTGCACTGCAACTGGGAGAAAGCTGCACTTGCCGAGCTCAGGCGATGCTGGATTTTGGCACCAAAATATATTAAATGGTGGAAGGAAACACCCGAAGCATCCCAGTGAAGAATGGTAGTGCTCTGTGGCCATGGAACGCTGACCAACTTCTGCAGGAAATCTAGGAACAAAAACAAGACCCTTGGTCCATCTAGCCCAGCCATGCCTACACTGACTGGCAGAAGCTCTCTCCAAGGTTTCATTTTTTTTTAAATGATATTTATTAAAATTTCAAAAAAAATACAAGAATTACACAAAAACAGAAAATAAAAAATACAAGAAAATACAAGATACAGAAAAAAGAATAACAAAACCCTTATTAAGTACCAAATTAGACTTTCCCCCCCTTTTGAATCCAATTTAATCCTACTCACGGGTAGTTGCTTTCAAAGTCCAATTGTCCCAGAAAAAAGGCAGCGCTCTCCGGTAACAGCTTCGCGGCTTCGCTCCATGGAAGAAGCACTTAGCTCACAGCACCACGCCACCCCCGCTCCGCTCCAGAGCCCGTTGCCGAGCTCCTTTTGCAATTGGGGGGGCGCAAACGGTGCCCGCTGAGTCCCACGGTCACAGGCTTCACCCGCCTGTGATTTTTGGAGGGTCCCTGCTGCGCCGTAGCGGTACAGACCCAATTTCCGTAGAGCCGGTTCCCTCCGAATCAGAGGGAAGCAGCCATTACCGATGGCGCCACCCCGGAAGTCCACTCTCGCCAAGGTTTCAAGCAGAGAGCCTTTGCCCACTCCTGCCTGTTAGGGACTGAACCTTGGAAATGCAAAGCGGTTGCTCCATCGCTGAGGAGGGTGCCAGGTGGTCTGAGGCTGATTTAAATGATCAAGCCGGTCCTTCAAGAGGGGCTGTGATGCCAAGAGACATACTGATGGGGATACTGTAAAACAAAATTCACAGTGCTTTGCTGAGCCTGGGTGTAGCCTGAATCCAGTGCCCAGGCTGGCAAACTGGTACGCAGAGCAGATTCACGTGGCAAGAGCAATGTGGGGCATTCTCCCCTTGCCCCATTTCTAGGGATGTAGGGATGCAGGTGGCGTTGTGGGTTATACCACAGAGCCTTGGGCTTGCTGATCAGAAGGTCGGCGGTTCGAATCCCCACGACGGGGTGAGCTCCTGTTGCTCGGTCCCTGCTCCTGCCAACCTAGCAGTTCAAAAGCACGTCAAAGTGCAAGTAGATAAATAGGTACCACTCTGGCAGGAAGGTAAATGGCGTTTCCGTGCGCTGCTCTGGTTTGCCAGAAGCGGCTTAGTCATGCTGGCCACATGACCTGGAAGCTGTACACCGGCTCCCTCGGCCAATAAAGCAAGATGAGCGCCCCAACCCCAGAGTCGGTCACGACTGGACCCTTTAACTTTACCTTTTAAGGAGGCAGCAATTTCCTTTTTTTCTGAAGTTGTTTTTATTAAGTTTTCCAAAATTTCACACATAATAAAAACTCCCTTCCCTGACTTCCCAGCCCCTTTTCATGGTGTTTCTAGTTTTCTCCCTCTAAACCTTAACAAAACTACTATAATATTTAACCCCTCCTGTTGCCCATCATTCAAATCCTGCTCACGGGTCCAGCCCCCGGACAGCTCCCCCCCCCAGACGACATCTGGAAGCTGGCCCTTTCCAGAGCAACTCCTTAAGTGCCTCGCTGTGACAAAAACAAACCAACCCCAACCTCTCTCACCACCAAAGGAACACAAGTGAACAACACAAGCAACGCTGACACCAAACTCTACATACATTAAACATAATAGAAACACCGCCACCCGACCCCACCCCATCCATCTTCCCTCTCTCCACCCCCCCTTTCTTTTTTCTTTCTTTTTTTCTTCTCCCCCTAATGCCTCAACAAATGAAACGGATTTGTAAAAATGTTACATGAAGAAAAGAAAAAATACGAGGCACTACACTTCTGTAAAACAAGAAAATCCTTAATAAAATATTTAAATATTTAAAAAACAACAACAACAGAGCAAATTCCTCCCTGCCCCAGCTTGGAATCTGCCTTCTGTTTTGGCTGGTCTTGTGGCGGATGCATTCACATGTTTGGTAGACCACCCCTTGTGCCCTGGCGGGGTGACTCTGGGTCAACCGGCTGCGAGTTCTTCTTAAAAAAGAAAGAAAGAAGAAACACAAGAACAAATTGCACAGGATTCCCTGCCCTGATGCTATTCCAGGTTCTTCTTAATGGGATTCTCAAGTAATTTGTGAGCATTAAAGAAGAAAACAAAGTAGGGATATCACCCCTGCCAGTCAGTGCAGGCAGTACTGAGATAGATTGGGCAGAGGTGCTGATCCATCAGCTTCCTAGAGTAAGCTACAGTACTGGTGCCAGCAGCTAGATGCAGGCAAGCGGTTTGTGTGCTCCCCTAAAACACGTTTATTAGGAAGAGAGCCCTGTGGATCACAACAGGACCTACAGTGGTACCTCGGGTTAAGTACTTAATTCGTTCTGGAGGTCCGTTCTTAACCTGCAACTGTTCTTAACCTGAAGAACCACTTTAGCTAATGGGGCCTCCTGCTGCCGCCGCGCCACCGGAGCACGATTTCTGTTCTCATCCTGATGCAAAGTTCTTAACCTGAAGCACTATTTCTGGGTTAGCGGAGTGTGTAACCTGAAGCATCTGTAAGCTGAAGTGTATGTAACCCGAGGTACCACTGTACTTCTGAGCGAGTGTGCCCAGGATCTCACAACTGGGCCCTTTTCACAGCCCCCTGCTAAGGGACCGTCCCAACCGCCTGCAGCAAGGAGCCCCTTCAGCAAATTTGTGGGCTGCATCAAGAAAACATTCTGTTTGCACAGACCCAGAGTCAATATGTTTTCCTGGACGAACGCTGCGTTCCAGTGTTCTGAGAGGCTGGACGGCATTCTTCCTCCCAGACTCAAGAAACTCTGTTTATTCCCCACCCCACCCCCTGATCATCACCAGTTATCTTCATTTTCCTATTCAGGAAGTTTAAAAAGGTCCCTCCCAAGTAAGATGCTCTGTCCGGTCAACTTGTTTTTGTCATCCTCAGCCTGCTCTGGGCCAAGTGGGGGAAAGTCCAAACTTCATATGGGCAGGCCTCCAAGGGATAATTTGTCAGGGGCCACCAGAAGACCAGAAGCTTTTCTCTCTCACACAGTTTTTGCTACCCTCCTTTCTCTCTGTCACCCCCCTTTTTCATTCTCTTTTTCGGCCACTCTCTTTCTTTCCTTCTATCTGTTGATCTACCTGTCAGGTGCTGGTTTGGTTGCTCGAGAGCAAACAGGGAAGACTCCAACTTGTCTTTTCCAGGCTTTATTATCCGTACAAACTATTTACAGTGCAGAGCGTCACAAGCCTATGTCTGCTCAGTCGCTGGCAGAATCTGGGAGTGGGCGGTCCTTATACCTTCCCCAGCATAACAGTCGTGTGACCCCCATCCTTCTCCTCCCCTCTCTGCGCCCAAACCTACTGCGCAGAGTGGGCGCTGGCAAAGGGGGACTTGCCTCCCCTCCGCTTTGCTCAGGCTGGGTGCTGAGGCTCCCCCTAGCATCTTCTGATCCCTGCACCCCTTCCCCACTGGAGGCGGGGCTTCCCTCCTAGCCAGAGGAAGTACTGCTTCACAAGATATTCAGAAGCTCCTCTGGAACACAACTGCCCTTCCACCTCTCACCTCTGGGCTGATGGCAGTTCCCTGACGCTACCCATCTATTGATCTTCCTTTTTCTTTTTTTAAATATATTTTTAAATTAAGTTTTACATAACAAATTTAAATTCAAACACATCATTCACCTCTTCAATTAGGATTCTCTGAACCCCTTGACTTCCCTCTGCCTTTCCATGGTTACCATTATAAATCTTTCTTTCTTTTTTTTTTAAAATAAATTTTTATTAATTTTCCAAACATAAGATAAGAAAGCAAACAATACACAAAACACCGACATACAAACATATAAACATGTATAATTTCATAGCCATTTTTCATAAACCTTACTTTCCGGACTTCCCCATACCTCCCCTTTTCTGCATCCTTGTTTTATATTTCTTCAGCAACTCCTCAATCAACTAATTATTCAGTTCAATTTCTTTTAAGTTCTTCTAATATTATTAATTACAGCTGCAGTTCTCTGTTTCCCAACCCCTTGACATTTTAACATTCCTGAATTTTGCAACAAGTTCTAAGATAAACTTTAAATTTCTTCCAATCTTCTTCCACTGTCTCTTTCCCCTGGTCACGGATTCTGCCAGTCAATTCGGCCAGTCCCATATAGTCGATCACCTTCGTCTGCCATTCTTCCAGTGTGGGTAGTTGTTGTGTCTTCCAATACTTTGCTAGAAGAATCCTTGCTGCTGTTGTCGCATACATAAAAACGTCCTGTCCTTCCTTCTCACCAATTGGCCGACAATGCCCAAGAGAAAAGCCTCTGGTTTTTAGGGAAGGTCCATTTAAGAACCTTCTTAATTTCATTATAGATCATTTCCCAAAAAGCTTTTATCCTCGGGCAGGTCCACCAAAGGTGATAAAAAGTACCTTCAGTCTCATTACATTTCCAACATTTGTTATTGGGCAGATGATAAATTTTTGCAAGCTTGACTGGGGTCATGTACCACCTATACATCATTTTCATAATGTTTTCTCTTAAGGCATTACATGCCGTAAATTTAATACCGGTGGTCCACAACTGTTCCCAGTCAGCAAACATAATGTTATGACCGATATCTTGTGCCCATTTTATCATAGCTGATTTCACCGTTTCATCCTGTGTGTTCCATTTCAACAGCAGATTATACATTCTCGACAGATTCTTAGTATTGGGTTCTAACAGTTCTGTTTCCAATTTTGACCTCTCCATCTGGAAACCTATTTTCCTGTCCTGTTTAAATGTCTCGTTTATCTGAAGGTAGTGCAACCAATCTCGCACTTTGGACTTTAATTTCTCATAGCTCTGTAATTTAACTTTTCCCCATCTTGTTCTAGAATTTCACAATATTTTGGCCATTTAGACTCCATATTAAGTTTTTTCACCTCTTTAGCTTCCATTGGTGACAACCACCTGGGAGTTTTACTTTCCAATAGATCTTTATACCGCATCCAAACATTGTATAATGCTTTCCTAACAATATGGTTTTTGAAACCTTTATGCTGTTTTACCTTATCATACCATATATATGCATGCCAACCAAATCTATTATCAAACCCTTCTAGATCCAAAATATCTGTATTCTCAAGAAGTAGCCACTGTTTCAACCAGCAGAAAGCCGCCGATTCATAGTAGAGTCTTAAGTCCGGCAGGGCAAACCCCCCTCTATCTTTAGCATCAGTTAGATTCTTAAATTTTATTCTGGGCTTTTTGCCCTGCCAGACAAATTTAGATATATCTTTCTGCCACTTCTTGAAACAGTCCATCTTGTCCAAAATCTGCAATGTCTGGAATAAAAACAACATTCTAGGCAATACATTCATCTTGATAACAGCAATTCGGCCTAACAAAGAAAGTTTCAACCTTGACCATATTTCTAGATCCTTCTTTACCTCTGTCCAACATTTATCATAATTGTCCTTAAATAAATTCACATTCTTAGATGTTAAGTTTACCCCCAGGTACTTTACTTTTTCGTTATCACTAGTCCTGTTTCATTCTGAAACTTCTCTTTTCGGCCAATGTTAAATTTTTATCCAACACTTTCGTTTTCTGTTTGTTCAGTTTAAATCCTGCTACTTGACCAAATATCTCAATTAGTTCTAATACTCTTTTAGTACTAGTATCTGGCTGTTGCAAGGTCAATACTAGGTCATCTGCAAATGCCCTTAACTTGTACTGTTTGGCTCCGACTTGTACTCCTTTAACCAACTGGTCTCCTCTAATCATATTTAACAAAACCTCCAGGACTAATATAAACAATAGAGGGGATATTGGGCACCCCTGTCGTGTACCTTTTTCTATAGGTATTTCTTCCGTTACCACATTGTTTACAATTAACTTTGCTTTTTGTTTAGAGTATATTGCACCTATACCATTTTCAAACCCTTGACCTACCCCCATCCCTTGGAGATTCTTCTTCATAAAACTCCAACCAATATTGTCAAAGGCTTTCTCCGCGTCCACAAAAATTAAAACAGCCTTCCTATTAATGTCCACTTCTAACAGTTCCAAAATGTCTATAATGTTCCTCACATTGTCCGACATATATCTCCCTGGAAGAAAGCCAGTTTGGTCTTTATGAATCTCCCCTACCAACACTCTCTTCAGTCTTTTTGCCATAATGTCCGTAAAATTTTGTAATCCACATTAAGTAATGATATAGGGCGGTAGTTTTTAACCTGGTTCTTTTCAGTCTCAGTTTTCGGTATAAGTGAGATAAATGCTTCTTTCCACGACTCTGGTGCCTTTTTCCCTCCAAAATTTCGTTACATACTTCCTTCAGTGGTTGTACTAACCATTCCTTCAACACTTTATAATATCTGGCGGTCAAACCATCTGGTCCTGGAGCTTTTCCCAATTGCATCTTCTGAATGGCACCCTCTATTTCTTGTCCTGTTATTTTCTCATTCAAATATAAATCTTTCTTTCTTCTGCTTTTATCTTATCTTCTCTAATTCATAATTCATTTTTCCAAAGTTTTTTGTACGTTACAAGCAATACAGTGGTACCCCTGGATACAAACGGGATCCGTTCCAGAGCCCCGTTCGCATCCAGAAGCAAACGTATTTCGCCGCTTCTGTGCATGCGCGTGACGTCATTTTGAGCGCATGCGCAAGCGGCGAAACCCGGAGGTAACGCACTCCATTACTTCCGGGTTGCCACGGAGCGCAACTCAAACGCGCTCAACCTGAAGCGCATTCAACCCAAGGTATGACTGTACTCAAATCCTGCCAAAGTTTTTCCATCTACATGTATTGATCTTTCAATCTATTGATCAGCTATCAATCTTCTTTCCTTCTTCCTTCCTTCCTTCCTTCCTTCCTTCCTTCCTTCCTTCCTCCCCCCTCTCTCCCTCCCACCCATTTTCCTTTCCCTTTCTGTCACCAACTTTCCCTCCTCCATCACCCCCCTCTTTCCATCTCTCCAGGCTGTCAAGGGAACAATCTGCATTGCTGCTGCCACAAAGGGCTGTACTGATTGCTTGCAGAGGGATTTTGAAATTAGGCCGGGGCCACATAAAACTAGGTCAATGTGCCGCAGGTCTCCCGCATGCCCCTTATATGGCACGGGTGCAGATTCCTCCCCAGCTTTTTTGCACCCATATTCCATCCCAATGCTCTAGGCAGCTTCATACCCCAGCCCAACTGCAGCCGAGGTTGCTACGATTCCTCAGGTATTTTTAATTTGCGCTACGACATTTTTAACTGGGCTGCCGCCAGTGTGAGGACTGAGGCAACAAACATCCCACCTGCATTCTATTCAATTGTTTTTTTGGTCTTCTCTCCTAACAAATTGGTCCTTTCCCCTCTATTTGACAGTGCTGGGTATTTTTAAAAATTGTTTTAGTGAGTTATAATGTATGTTTAACTCGTGTGTAATGTTTTATTATGTTTTTATATATGTTGGAAGCCGCCCACAGTGGCGTAGCGTGGGGGGTGCAGGGGGGGCCGGCCGCACCGGGCGCAACATCTGGGGGGGGAGCGCGCTCGCACTCGCAGCTCTCTGCCCCTACTAAAATCCACGGGTTAGGGGGCGCAAATTACTTGCCTTGCCCCGGGTGCTGACAACCCACGCTACGCCACTGGCCGCCCAGAGTGGCTGAGGCAACCCAGTCAGATGGGCGGGGTACAAACAAACAAACAAACAAAATTATTAAATCTATATGTTTGTTCTATTTATGCTTCATTGTTTTTTTAATGAGTTCTCTTTCCCCACCCCTGTCTCTACTTTTTAGCTGTCAGCCACCTTGAGTTCCTGTCAGGAAAAAAGCCAGGATATAAATGATGATGATAATAATAATAATAATAATAAAAATAAACAAAATAAAATAAAATAAAATAAAATAATATTGACAGACGCACCAGGGGGGAACTGAGGATGTTCGTGGGCTTTACTGCTGTGCAATGGGGAAGGGCTGCCAGCCATGGGGCTGATCCTGCCTCAGAGCCTTATTTCAGGCTTTCTCTCAGGGATTAGCTCACAGCTTGGGCAGCAGAGGCAGGAAAAATGTATGGGGGGCGGAGAGAAACTCATCCTCTCCATCACACCAAGTATCTGCCCTACCATGTTCAAACTCTTTATTATTATTATTATTTCATTAGGTAACAATTACACGCTGCTTGATTTTAAGCCCTCCTCAAAGCAGTTGGAAGGATAAACTCATCCATAAGAAAAACCAACAACGATCATTTAAAGCTTTTGAAAAGTTAAAATAACGATCGACTGAAAAAACAGATTAAAACTCGCGTCAACTTTCTAAACGTCTGGGTGGGCTCGTATAAACAAAAATCTTTTTAGCAAGCGCCAAAAAGAGCACAGCAAAGGGGCCTGCTAGATATCAAGGGGCAGGGAGTTCCAAAGTGCCCTTTTTTTTACTTTTCATTTTTACAAATGCGGAACGGGTTTATGTGGCCCCTGTAAAGGTAAAGGGACCCCTGACCATTAGGTCCAGTCGTGGCAGACTCTGGGGTTGCGGTGCTCATCTCGCTCTATAGGCTGAGGGAGCCGGCGTACAGCTTCCGGGTCATGTGTCCAGCATGACTAAGCCGCTTGTGGCGAACCAGAGCAGTGCACGGAAACGCCGTTTACCTTCCCGCCAGAGTGGTACCTATTTATCTACTTGCACTTCGTGCTTTCAAACTGCCCTTCTGCCATTGCTCCCCGCAGACGTACAACACGAACGCCCAGGTCCCAGATAGCGCTGGCACAGCCACGGCTTACCTGTGTGGGGTGAAGGCCAACGAGGGGACGCTGGGGGTCAGCGCGGCTGTGACGAGGTCCCAGTGCAACACCACGGCGGGGAACGAGGTGACCTCTATCCTCAAATGGGCAAAGGCGGCAGGTGAGTGGGACAACGGGTCCAAAATCAGGGGTGTCCAGTGGCTCCTTCCGACAGATAACTTTTACTGCCAGAGTTGGGTGAAAATTTATTTATTTATTTTAAAGCCACTTGCTGTTTGGAAGCAACGTTGTTTGTGTGCCCTCTGAATGCAAAAGTGAAAAGTTACTGGTGCTTTTCTGGGGGCAGGGATGCAACTCAGGGACAGAGCCTCTGTTTTGTAGGCAGCAGGTTGCAGGTTCAATCACGGGGGGCTAGATTCCCAGAGAGCAGCTGCTTGTCAATGTCAGAGAAACTGATCTAGATGAGTCAGTGGCCTGACTTGATCCAAGGCAGCTTCCTATGTTCCCAGACTCTCCAAGTCTGGGATTTTCCAGGGATTTTCCAGGGACAGTCCCGGATTTACAGAAGCCGTCCCGGTTTCTAATTTGATCCTGGAATGTCCCACTTTTCCTTAGGACATCCCTATTTTCATCAGAGAAATGTTGGTGGGTATGGAGTTACACGACCCCCGAGCCAAGGAGATGAGTAACTATACAGTGGTACCTTGGAAGTCGAATGGAATGCGTTCCGGAAGTCCGTTTGACTTCCAAAATGTTCGGAAACGAAGGCATGGCTTCTGATTGGCTGCAGGAAGCTCCTGCAGCCAATTGGAAGCCGCATCAGATGTTCGGGTTCCAAAGAACGTTCACAAACTGGAACACTCACGTGTTTGGGAGCTAAAACGTTTGAGTTGCAAGGCATTCGTCGACCAAGGTACGATTGTACAACCTTCAGAAGACAGCCCTGTATAGGCATTTTTTTTAATGTTTAAAGTTTTATCATGTTTTTATATATGTTGGAAGCCTCCCAGAGTGGCTGGGGCAACCCATTTAGATGGATGACGTATAAATATTATTGTTATTACGGCATAAAGGTAAAGGGACCCCTGACCATTGGGTCCAGTCGCAGCCGACTCTGGGGTTGCTCATCTCGCTTTCTTGGCTGAGGGAGCCGGCTTGCAGCTTCCAGGTCATGTGGCCAGCATGACAAAGCCGCTTCTGGCGAACCAGAGCAGCGCACGGAAACGCCGTTTACCTTCCCGCCAGAGCGATACCTATTTATCTACTTGCACTTTGACGTGCTTTTGAACTGGTAGGTTGGCAGGAGCAGGGACTGAGCAACGGGAGCTCACCCCGTCACGGGGATTCGAACCGCTGACCTTCTGATCGGCAAGTCCTAGGCTCTGTGGTTTAACCCACAGCGCCACCCGCGTCCCTATTACGGCATAGGATGTCCCTATTTTGATCGGAGAAATGTTGGAGGTTATGTGTTCCTGTTTAAGCCAGCCCTTCCTTCTGAACCATGAGGAGTAGAATTTTGATTTTTTTTTAAAGGAAGGACCGTAGCTCAGTAGGAGGAGGGACACAGTCCACAGTCTACATAAAGAGGCCTGGAAGATCACATCTGGTGATCTAAGGCTTCCCCACCCCTGTTGACATCCTAATAATAAATTTGGTTTATTACTCACCCTTCACCCTAAGGCCCCAGGGCAGGTCATAACAATTCAAAATGCACCAGCTTTGAAACACATTGCAAGAGTAAAGCTCACTGGTTGATAAGGCATTTTGAAAATCATGGGCTTTGAGAGATAAATGCTTGCTTATTATTCCGTTAACAGCACAATCAAGAGCAAGTACCTCCAAATTAAATGTGGCTTATTCCCAAGGGTACATAAGATGGCAGCTTAGGCTTTACCATCACTCAGCCTGTTATCTGCGCTTTTAAGACAAGGCCTGGCTTTTATCAATACTTTTTAAAAAATCCATTTGTTCAATATGGGGCTTCAGTGAAAAGTTGCTGGAATTTTCCACTTTTCTCCCCAAATGGGGGAAGCATTTTTATTTGTGGGTCTTTCCAGATCCAGAGCTGAACGTTGGGTTTTGCTCTCATTCTTGTGTGAAAATAGGTGGGCTTTTTTTTAACCGCCAAGCAAAAGTTTCCTCTTAAAACTTCACTTAGTAACAGATTGCAGATAGCTTTCTGGAAGGGTGTCAGAATACTTTAACCACAATAAGTGCATTGTCCGGGACAAGAGCTGGACTTGAGACTGGTTTGATACGCAAGCAAAACAGAATCTTCGTGTCCAAGTTTTCGCAGCATTGGAGAGAAGGGCTGTATTAAAAGCCCAGTGGCAAAGCACATCAATTTGCACATGGAAGGTACCTGGTTTAATCCCTAAAATTGCTTGATAGGCCTGGAAACGGCTATCTGGTTGCTACTAGCAGGTGGCGCTGTGGGTTAAACCACAGAGCCTAGGGCTTGTCGATCAGAAGGTCGGCAGTTCGAATCCCCGCGACGGGGTGAGCTCCCGTTGCTCAGTCCCTGCTCCTGCCAACCTAGCAGTTCGAAAACATGTCAAAGTGCAAGTAGATCAATAGGTACTGCTCCAGCGGGAAGGTAAACGGCGTTTCCGTGCGCTGCTCTGGTTCGCCAGAAGCGGCTCAGTCATGCTGGCCACATGACCCAGAAGCTGTATGCCAGCTCCCTCGGCCATTAAAGCAAGATGAGCACCGCAACCCCAGAGTCGGCCACGACTGGACCTAATGGTCAGGGGTCCTTTACTTTAACCAGGATGGCTAAGCTTTGCCTTTGTGGTTGGAGGCAGCCGTGCTTCCAAATACCAGTTTCTGCTGGAAGCCACAGGAGGAGAGAGGGCTCTTGTGCTCAGTTGGGTCCTGTTTGTTGGTTTCTCCTTGGGGCATCTGGGTGACCCCTCTGGGATCAGCACACTGGACTACATGAGCCATTGGCCAGATCCAGCAGCCAGGCTCCCCATTCATTCTTAACAGGAAGGAGCGTCTCCACCCCCATTGTTCTGCCCGGACACTGAGGTCCAGTGCCGAGGGCCTTCTGGCAGTTCCCCCAACAGGGAACCAGGCAGAGGGCCTTCTCGGTAGTGGCACCTGCCCTGTGGAACGCCCTCCCGCCAGATGTCAAAGAGAAAAACAACTACCAGACTTTCAGAAGACATCTGAAGGCAGCCCTCTTTAGGGAAGCTTTTAATGTTTAATAGGTTATTGTATTTTAATATTCTGTTGGGAGCCACCCAGAGTGGCTGGGGAAACCCAGCCAGATGGGCGGGGTATAAATAATAAATTATTATTGTTGTTGTTTAGTCGTTTAGTCGTGTCCGACTCTTCGTGACCCCATGGCCCAGAGCACGCCAGGCCCTCCTGTCTTCCACTGCCTCCTGCAGTTTGGTCAAACTCATGCTGGTAGCTTCGAGAACACTGTCCAACCATCTCGTCCTCTGTCATCCCCTTCTCCTTGTGCCCTCCATCTTTCCTAACATCAGGGTCTTTTCCAGGAGTCTTCTCTTCTCATGAGGTGGCCAAAGTATTGGAGCCTCAGCTTCAGGATCTGTCCTTCCAGTGAGCACTCAGGCCTGATTTCCTTCAGAATGGAGAGGTTTGATCTTCTTGCAGTCCATGGGACTCTCAACTGTCTCCTCCAGCACCATAATTCAAAAGCACCAATTCTTTGGCGATCAGCCTTCTTTATGGTCCAGCTTTATGGTCCAGCTTATTATATTATTATTATATTATTGTTATAACAGTCTAAGGCAGCTTCCAGCACCCCTGGACTGCATCCCCTGGTAAGTACCAGGAGCATCTGAGCAGATACAGGAGGGCCCTGGATTGACCCTCTCCAGGTGAGGCTGGGAACATCTCCTGCCTGAAATGAGCATAGCACAAGGTCTGAATCATAGAGTTGGAAGGGACCCTGACGATCATCTATCAGTGTTTCCCAAACTTGGGTCTCCAGCTGTTTTCGGACTACAATTCCCATCATCCCTGACCAGTGGTCTTGCTAGCTAGGAATGATGGGAGTTGTAGTCCAAAAAAACAGCCGGAGACCCAAGTTTGGGAAACGCTGAATTCCAGTCCACCCCCTGCAATGCAGGAATAGACAGCTGGCCCTTATGGGGATTGAACCTGCAACCTCTGCGTTACATCTGTTCATGATAGAAAATTTGTGTGATTATACATATATGAGAAAAATTCCACCAGGATATTTATAAAACGGGAAGCGCTAAGTCACGCTGCTCAAAGAAGCGGCCCTCTTTATCGTCGCCGCTGAAATGTTTTGGAGGAGCCAAAGGCTCTGATCCTTCCTGTTGTTGTTGTTGTTTTAAATGAATAAACAGATGGAAAATGCCAAGAAAACATTGCTTTTGAAAAATGCATTCTGTTGATGCTGAAAAAACAACAACCAATCCAACGTTTTGGACATGAGTCCATAGTTAAATGTCTGAAGAGAAACCTGTTTGATCGCTGTCCCTTCATGGCCCAGCTGGTTTGAGTGGCCTCGGTGGTCACACTGTGATTTTGGGGGTGTGGGCTGGAACGAAATCAGATCAAAGCCTGACATTTGCAGGTGCCCACACTCGGAACCTCTCTGCCCACTTTTTCTCTCTTTCTGCCAAACAGAGCGCCTCTTTCCATGGATCAGCTGGAAACCGCGATTAAAAATAAACCCTCGGGTTCCCCCTCGACCGGGGTGTGTGCCCCCAGCTCCAATTACAAAGGAGGCTTGTGCCTGGCCTTGCCTTTATCCATGCTGCCCCCATGGGGCTGGTGCAGAGAGACGGTGGGGGAGAAGGAAGGAAGTGCGAAAAGCGAAGGGATGATCTGGAGGAGACACAGAGCGCAGTTGTTCTGCTTGTTCTCCGTGGGCTCCGAGGGACAGGCGAGGAGAGCCAAAAATCACTCTCGGCAAGATGATTAACTCCGCAGAGCGGAACAATGTTTAACCGGCTGTGTCGATAGACAGAATAATGTGTTTTCAGCAGCACGGTTTGACCCCGTTGCATGCCCAAGATGTGAGAGGGGTCATTTAGCTTGGGAGAAGAGGGGAGGGAGTTTGGTGGCGTCTTGCCCAGAAGGGGTTTTTTTGAGCTTGGCTTCTGTGCCCGCTGAGTTTTGCCAAAGTTCATGCCGTCGGCCCTGGAAAGCCTCGGCCTCCAGGCCTCCAGGATGAAGAGCGCATCTTTGCCTTGACGGTGCGCTTCCTTTGCTTCTCTGGTCCCAGGCAAATCGGTGGGCATCGTCACGACAACGCGGGTCAACCATGCCACGCCGAGCGCGGCCTATGCTCACTCTGCCGACCGGGACTGGTACTCCGACAACGAGATGCCCCCTGAGGCCATCCAGCAAGGCTGCAAAGACATCGCACACCAGCTTTTCGAAAACATCCCAGACATTGAGGTGAGCGCGGGTCAGCCAAGAACAGCTGCGGGGCGGTTTTAATATAAGAGGGGAAGAAGGGCAATGAAGAGTGGACAGGGCGGAGGGGACCTGGATAGCTCTGTTGGTCAGAGCATGGTTCTGATAACTCCAAGGTTGCAGATTTGATCCCCATATGGGAGAGCTGCATATTTCTGTATTGCAGGGGATTGGATCCTTAACAGTGCTTTTTTGGGGGGGAGACATGGGGGTATGCATACCCCTAAACAATTTGTGAATCTACGTTTGGCCACATTGAGGGGCAGTATTTCAATATGAGTAGGAAAATGAGTAGGAAAATAGGGACGCGGGTGGCGCTGTGGGTTAAACCACTGAGCTTAGGGCTTGCCAATCAGAAGGCTGGTGGTTCGAATCCCCGCGACAGGGTGAGCTCCCGTTGCTCGGTCCCTGCTCCTGCCAACCTAGCAGTTCAAAAGCACGTCAAAGTGCAAGTAGATAAATAGGTACCGCTCTGGCAGGAAGGTAAATGGCGTTTCCGTGCGCTGTTCTGGTTTCGCCAGAAGCGGCTTAGTCATGCTGGCCACATGACCTGGAAGCTCCCTCGGCCAATAAAGCAAGATGAGCGCCACAACCCCAGAGTCGGCCACGACTGGACCTAACGGTCAGGGGTCCCTTTACCTTTACCTTTTTAGGAAAATGAGAGTACCCCTAAACATTTTTATTTTACTTTTTAAGAAAAAAGCACTGATCCTCAGGGTCCCTCTAGAATTCTATGATTCTATGGATACGAAAAGTGGGGAATATAAATGAAATCACAGCGTATTTGGGGTGATTCTATCTCTCTTTGATGAGCCAATGTAGTGGTTAAAGCAGGAGTCAGCAAACTTTTTCAGCAGGGGGCCGGTCCACTGTCCCTCAGACCTTGTGAGGGGCCGGACTATATTTTTTTGAGGGTGGGGATGAACAAATTCCTATGCCCCACAAATAACCCAGAGATGCATTTGAAATAAGAGGACACATTCTACTCATGCTGATACCCCAACCGTCCACGGGCCGGATTTAGAAGGCATCTAGTCCACCCCCTGCAACGCAGGAATCTCAGCTAAAGCATCCATATCAGATGGTTGTCCAACCTCTGCTTTAAAAACCTCCAAGGAAAAAGAGTCCATTACCTTCCGAGGGAGGCCGTGCCACTGTCAAACGGCTCTTAATGCCAGGAAGTTGATCCTTTTTTGTAACTTGAAGCCATTGGTTTGAGCCCTACCCTCCAGAGCAGGAGACCACAAACTCGCTCCATGTGACAACCTGTCAGATATTGGAAGACGGCTCTCCTATCTCCTCTCAGTCTTCTCTTCTCCAGGCTAAACATCCCCAGCTCCCTCAAACATTCCTCATAAGGCTTAGTTTCCGAACCCTCCACCATCCTGATCTCTTCCCCCTCAGATGTAGAGGTCCCTGGGTGAGACCTTGGGCCAGTCCCTGCCTCTCAGCCTAACCTACTTCGCAGGATGGCTGTTGCGGGGATTAAACAAGGAGAGGCAGAACGATATACAGTCATACCTCATGTTACGTTTGCTTCATGTGACGTTTTTTCAGGTTGCGTCCCGCGGTGACCTGGGTTACTTCCGGGTTTCACTGCTTGTGCATGCACAGTAGCGCTAAATCACGCTTCACGCATGCGCACAAGCACCAAATCACGCTGCTCACCTGTGCAGATACGGTGCTTCAGGTTGCGGGCTTTTCATGTTGCGAACGGGCCTCTGGAACGGATCCCGTTCGCAACCAGAGGTGCCACTGTACACCACTTGGAGCTCCTTGTTGGGAATAGACGGGCTGGAAATACAGCAAATGAAGGAATTTGGGCCCTTGGATTATTTTTTATTATTATTATTATTATTATTATTATTATTATTATTATTTTATTATTTATACCCCACCCATCTGGCTGGGTTTCCCCAGCCCTGTCCCTAGGGCCCACCCCTCAATGGTCTTCCCCCTGAATGTTTTTGCCTGACTGGTACCTGTCCCTGGACTCAGATAATGCCTCTTGCCTGCATGAATGGAGGTCAGAGAGGGATGCGTGGAAACTAGCTTACTGCGCGAAGGGAAAAATTCACATCAATTGCTCCACCTGCTTTTGCCCCACCCCTGGCATGTGCCAACCCCCCCAGAAGGCAATGCGTCCCTTGGGGTTTCTAATGGCTCCCCACCCCTGAGATGAGTGGTCCGTTTAGCTCCCAGCACTGTCTCCTGGGACTGCAGAACAGCTCAAGCTCTGCGGCAAGCCTAATAATTATTCTACTTTGTGCAGAATGTACTATGCCGTACGTGGGAAACCACGGCCCTTCCTCGGGCGTTACTCTCGCTCTCTGGTTTCGGTAGCAAGCAGTTATTTCGGAGAGCAAGGTGGGTGGGTGCGAGAGGGACACAAAAGGGAGGATCCAGCTCTGGGTGGATTTATTGCATTTTCAGTCCTGCTCCAAGGAGATCAGGGCGACTGAAAACGGCCTCCCTAACCCCATGTTATCCTCAGGCTAACCTTGTGAGGTTCAGGGGTCACATGACCTCGTGGGAAACCTTTCCAGGATCACATGACAGTGGTGCATAAGTGGGCGGAGCAATAGATGCGAATCTTACATTTGTACCCTTGGATGAGAAGCTCCCTAATGCGTACTTCTCAAAGCAATATTTGAAGCACAGCAGTCCTTCAAAATTCACACTTCACCAGATTTTGCAAGGCACTTCTACAAGCAAACAATAAGCACAACAAAATGCATCCTATTCTGGGGAAATTGCTTACAGAACCGTGTTTATTATTATGATTATGATTATACTGATGAATTTTCACAAAGATCGAAACAACAACAGCTCAAATTGCTGTGGAGATGTGGAGATCTGAATTGAAGACTGGAAAATTTAGAAAGCCAGGGAAGCGGAAAATTGACAGAATATTTAATCCCTGCCCCCAGCTCCCCTCAGATCTTTCATTTGGGGTGGGTGGGTGGGAAAAGCCTGCCTTCTTTCTCTCAACGCTTCATGGTGCATAGAACATATACAAATTGAAATTGGTTAAAGCATGAGGAGTCTTACAGCAACAACAAAAATCTTTCTTTTTTAAAAGGAAACACCTTAAATTAGAGATTGTGGGGTGAATTACCATCTAAAGACTTGGCTGGGTCTTGGGAGACAGACAGACCTCTCTGTCTGTCTTGCAATGAGCTGAAAAACGGGTGGGATGAATGAAACAGAATCACCCATCCCACAACATTCACAGAAAAACCTCCTGTTTCTTTCAGGCAAATGTGGTTCTCTCTTCTTCTTCTTCTTCTTCTTCTTCTTCTTCTTCTTCCTCCTCCTCCTCCTCCTCCTCTTCCTCTTCCTCTTCCTCTTCCTCTTCCTCTTCCTCTTCCCTTCTTCCCTTCTTGCCTTGCATTGCAACTTTCTTTGCAAATCTTGGAAGTTAAACCAAGAAGCGGTTTGTCTCCCTGTGAGTCACAGTGTTTCCTTGGTTGTGCATAAAGGATCATCTTTCTGCCCTTGAATCCTGCTCTTGTGGAAGATACACTACTGCTGTCCTGATTTGATTCCCTTTTATTGAAAGCTAAAATCTCTAGCCCAGATGGCTAGAGGGGTGGGCTGTATAAAAGTTGAGGAATCAGGTGACAGCCCTATGTTTTATCAGTTGCACAGATATTTCATCTGGAAGGGGGGTGGGAAAGGAATTTGGTTCGGGATCTGTACTTCCCGAAAGAATAAACACACCTAATCGCAGCTACTCTTCAAAAGCCCCACTTCTCTGAATTTTGCAATGCCAAATGTTCCTGATGGATAAAAGTTTATATTGAAGGGAAATGCATTAGTGGAAAGGACATATCAAAATCTGCTGGCAAACCTTAGGGGTAATTGCATGGGGGGAAAACGTAGCCTAGAAGAAATTTGCATTCGGATACTGGCAAAATTTTCCGGGGACGTTAACGAGAAACTGCAAAGCGGTGTGAGAATTTGGAGAAGTAGAGATTGGAAAAATGAGGAAAACCCAAAATGGGTGACTTCATCTATTCCTTGCCTGGAACAACAGCCAGGCTCTTGGCTGGCTGAGAAGGATAGACAAAGGTTAGAAGCTTTTGGCGTTTCCCAAGCAGCTGATTTAACTATATGCAGATCAGCTCAAAGAAAGCTTTCAGAGCTGCGAGTGGAAAAGTTGTGCGAATCGGCGGCTCTGAGGGGGGCGAGAGGGGAGGCCCTTAAGAATGCAACCCAAGAAAGTCTCCGGCAGTGCAGACCCTTCCTCCTCCTCCTTCACGCCGGACCAGAGAGTCTGAATTGTGTCTCTGTTTCCCACAACAGCTGTTCTCGTCCTCTGCCTTGCAACCCAAAGAGGCGAGAGAATGCGAGTGAGCAGGGTGGCCTCTTCCCAGTCCCTGCCTGCACCTGGCACTCGGGCAACGAGCCCCTGTTGCTATTCAGGCCCACTCTCTCGAGGACCCAGCCAGCAGCCCCCACCTCCCAGGCCCGTTTCCCCCAAACACAGGAAGCTGGCAAGGGCGAGAGAATGCCAGGAGGCCAGAGGGCACCTCTCTGCAGATGCACTCCGCGTTCAGGGCGAAGAGAAGCTTGAAAGATGCGCCGTGGTGCCGTGCGTTAATCTTTTATCTGGGCCATTGTAGCAGAGCGCATCGGTTGCATCGTCACAGCAGGGCACCCAATGCCAGCTGGCACAGCTTGCCCAAAAGCACAATCAATGCCCATTGTCTCAGGCAGTGGGTACAGCAGGAGGGGACACAGCTCCCCCTGGTGGTGGAATGATGCCAGCAGCGCCTAGAGGCGATGCTGATGTCTCTGTGGGCCGATGTTCGCACGGGAGGTTCTGCGGGCAGCAATGGAGGTGTTGGATGACGGGCTGTAGCTGGGCACCCATTTGGTGCCTTGTGTGGCTGGTCTGGTCTGAAATGCAGGAATCTTAACCAAAGTGTCCATGATAGACGGCTATCTTAAAAAACTCAAAGAAAGGGGAGTCCATAACCTTCCGAAGGAGACCGTTCCCACTTAGTCAGAATCTCTTTTCTTGTAATAATAATAATAATAATAATAATAATAATAATAATAATAATATATTATTTATACCCCGCCCATCTGGCTGGGTTTCCCCAGCCACTCTGGGTGGCTTCCAACAAAGTATTAAAATACAGTAATGCGTTAAACATTAAAAGCTTCCCGAAAGAGGGCTGCCTTCAGATGTCTTCTAAATGTCTGGTAGTTGTTTTTCTCTTTGACATCTTGATGGGAGGGTGTTCCACAGGGCGTGTGCCACCACCGAGAAGGCCCTCTGCCTGGTTCCCTGTAACTTGGCTTCTCGCAATGAGGGAACTGCCAGAAGGCCCTCGGCGCTGGACCTCAGTGTCCGGGCAGAACGATGGAGGTGGAGACGCTCCTTCAGGTATACTGGACCGAGGCTATTTAGGGCTTTAAAGGTCAGCACAGACACTTTGAATTGTGCTTGGAAACATACTGAGAGCCAATGTAGGTCTTTGGAGCCATTAGTTTGAGTCCTACCCTCCAGAGCAGGAGAAAACAAGCATGTTCCCTCTTCCACACTACAGCCCTCAAAATGCAGAGAATAGTCACCCAGAGGTGGATTTAGGGGGACGCGACCATTTTGGTTGCATCGGGTGCAGAGCAGTGCTGCAACTATGATGTAGAATGGAAGGCTTGAGGCAGGGTGGGGACGCCAAATTTTGGCGTTGCCCAGGGCGCCGCTGAAATTTGAGACCCCAAGATCTGCCATTGTCAAAGACCTTCTCTTCCTCCATGAATTTGTCTAATCCTCTTTTAAAGTCATCCTAGTGTGTGGTCATCGCTGCTTTCTGCCGCTGGGAGTTCCATAGTTTTAACCACGCACTACATGAAGAAGTCCTTTCTTTTATAGGTCTTCAGTCTTCCAGCAGCCAGCTTCTTTGGATAGCCACGAGTTCTAGTGCTGCTCTCTGTGCCGCTCATAATTGTATAAACTTTCCTGTTGCCTCTGACTTATCTTTTCTCTAAACTTTTGCTCCCCAACAGCTCGCAATTCAGAGGTTTCGGGGACACGAGTGACGCTGTGGTCTAAGCCACTGTGCTTCTTGGGTTTGCTGATCGGAAGGTTCAGGCATAGGCAAACTTGGCCCTCCAGATGTTTTGGAACTACAACTCCCATCATCCCTGACCGCTGAGCCTGTTAGCTAGGGATGATGGGAGTTGTAGTCCCAAAACATCTGGAGGGCAGAGTTTGCCTATGCCTGATTCAGGGGTACCCTTTCCCTCTGCCATACCTGATGAAGCAACCACCAGACATCTTTTAAAGACACAAACTTTCCTCTTAACTTCCCTGCCTGAAACCCTGAGGATCCACTACTGCCGGTCAGTGTAGACAACACTGAGTTAGACAGGCCAAGGGTCTGACTCAGTATAATGCAGAGTCTTTTGGGTTTTTTAAACTCTTCAGCCTTTAAAAGTAATCAATATGCAATCAGGATCTTCCTAGTGCCCATGAACCTGGTGGCATGGCATTTTCCGGATGAAGAAGCAGGGCTTTTTCCACGCTCCTCGGAGGACTTTAATCTAACAAATGCAGAATGAAATATATACCCCCAGGGCAAAAAATTTCCAGCTGAAACAGGAGAGAAAAAGGGGGAGAGTTGAGGGGGAGGAAAGGCCTGTTTCAATGCGGTGCTGGCCGCTCGCTGTGGCATTCATTCCTCTGGGTGAAGAGGCGTTTTGCAGTGCACAGGCAAAGGAAGCCAGTTATTAGAAGCCACTAATGTTATGCAAGCACATGGGGGCTCCTGGGTTGCCCAGAGGAGGCTGAGCCAGGCAGCTCAGAAACTCATCTGGCTTCCCACTCCCAGTTTTCTGAGGCCTTGCCATGGAATTAGATTTCTCACCGGGCAAAACCGTGCGCTCTCCTGGCAGGTTGCGGAAGGCGCTGGGTCCCCGTGCGGCTGGTGGAGGAGGAAGGGCAGCAGTGAGGCACGAGTGCGAAACATAGATTTGTGCAAGAGAGGTGCTGGGGCCCAGAAGATTGGGCAGGGCCAGCCGCACCCTGCCACAAACCCCACAGAATGCTCTTCCCCCACCACAAAGGTCTGGCTAAGCCAGGCATGACCTCGCATTCCTGCTGCCTGCGGGCGCCTGGAGCGCTGCTGGGCGCCCTCCAAACAGCACTGGCCCAGGAACAGCCGGCGATGCCAGGGGCAATGTTAGCTTGGTTGCAGCAGCCGTGGCAGTGCAAACAGGCTGCCCCAGCGGCCCCAGCCACCCTATGGTTTGAGCGACAGAGGTCAGTCTCCGGGCTCCTTTCACCGCTCGTATCGTCCGATGGAACCCGGCACCGCATTTCCCCCCGGGGTAAATAAATAGGGGTGGGTGTGTCTCTCTACTTCAAATAAACCCATGGCAAAAATAAAGCAAAAAGCTGAACCTGTTATTTAAGCAGCTTAATATGTCCATTAAAAAAAAAGAAGATAATAATTTTAACTTTCTTCTGCAATAATTACATGTTGGGCGAGCCAATTCGGTTGGGTGTGTAATTAAATATTCCCCTTCAAATCTCTTTCCCCCCACCCCACAACCTGGCCCAGTTCTGCTGCACTGGATGATTCACCTTCTAAGACCCTAAATCGAAGGAGGTTGGAGTGCCAGCAAAGAAACGTAATTGTGGTCAAATAAACAGGCTCTCCGTCGCAGGCCTTCTCAGATGCAGCCCAGCTGAATTAAGCTCCTATTGGGCTGGGCAGAGAGCCTGCAAAGGACAGACTGCAGGAAGAGAGACAGTTGGGAAGCATCTCTTTTAAACTTGCAGAGGTTTATGAACCAGATGTAGGACTTTCCTTAGACTTTTTCCTTCCCTTTCAAAATGTTTCTAGTGCATAGCTGTCAACCGTCCCTTATTTGGCGGGAAACTCCCTTATCCCAGCACCGTGTTCCGCTGCTGTCCCTTATTGATGATGTCCCTTAAATTTCCTGGGTTTCAAAGGAAGCAGCTCCTTTCCCTCCCTCCCTGCTGGCCAGGGAAGAGGGAGGCTTCAACTGTGTTGCTTGGCTGCCCAGCCCGGCCCCCTCCAGCCTCCTCTCACCAGCCTCGGCCCCCGGGAGCCTTGAGAGGAGAGTGAGGGCAACCATAGAGAAAGCAGTTCAGAGAGAGGAGGCGGAGGCGCAGGCAGGTGTTCCAAGGGCTAACCATAGAGGGGGGAAAGCGGAGGAAGGACCGCAAGCGCTTCTCCCATAGATTTGTAGTGGTAGGCTAGCATAGATGGTCTGATCTGCGGGTTTGCTTCGGGCGCTATTTCCCCCCCTCCTCCCACCCCGCCTGATGGAACTGAGAGCTGCAGATGGAGCATGAGAGAAAAGATACAGAACTGCAGCAGCATCTTCGTAGCTTGGGCTTCATTTTGCACGAAAAGTGGTTGCTGCTTGTAGTTATTTAATTGCAGCGTTTCATCAGCTGGTGTCTTGAGCAGCAACCTCTGGAAACGAAGGGCTAAAAACCAGCGCTGCTCTCCCAAATTATCTGGTCCCTTTTAACTTCGTATTTCAGCTGGTTGACTGAAATCCCTTATTTTGGCTGCTGATCCCTTATTTTCGAGGCTGCTGGTCCCTTATTTTCAAATCTGCAACTTGACAGCTATGCTCTAGTGCCTGCTCAGCAATTCCCTTCTTGGGCCAAGTTTTCTATTAACATTCTAACACTCCACCTTTTTTATTCTGTCTGAACCGGTGCAAAGTGGAAACTGAGCAGAATGAGAGAGGAGGTTCTTTGAAACCTCATTTTGGGAAGTTTGTTTATCCACGTCTTACAACCACAATTCCTGCAGTTTTCCCACAAAACTGGAGCCAAGGTGTTCTCGTTCGTCCCAGAGTCAAAGTGGCATGATAAAATGTCCAGAACATGGAAAGGTCCTTAGATACACCCTGCTGAGTCAGACGGTGTTCTGTTTACACTGGAACAAACTGTCCACCTTGACTTGCATTCCCGGTTGCTCGCCTGCCTTATCGCGGGAGCCCGTCGGGCGCTGCAGTAGACACAGTGCCAGAACTGGGCAGGACGCAGATGCCCTAAGCTGCTTTGTTGCCCATCAGGCTCAGGACCTGCTGCTCTGGCTGGCAGCAGCTTTGCAGGGTCTTGGGCAGAGAAGCAGCACTCCAGCCAGCCTGCTCTGTAACTAGGGAGGCAGGTGGCGCTGTGGTCTAAACCACTGAGCCTCTTGGGCTTGCCAATCGGAAGGTGGGCGGTTCAAATCCCCGCGACGGGGTGAGCTCCTGTTGCTCTGTCCCAGCTCCTGCCAACCTAGCAGTTCAAAAGCACACCAGTGCAAGTAGATAAATAGGTACCGCTGCAGCGGGAAAGTAAATGGCGTTTCTGTGCACTCTGTTTTCCGTCACGGTGTCACATTGCACCAGAAGCAATTTAGTCATGCTGGCTACATGACCTGGAAAGCTGTCTGTGGACAAACACCGGCTCCCTTGGCCTGAAAGCGAGGGAACCCCATAGTTGCTTTGACTGGACTTAGCAGTCCAGGGGTCATTTACCTTTTTTTTTTTTTTTACCTGCTCTGTAACTCTCTGCCAGGGATTGAACCTGATGCAACACGTTGGCGACTGATACACTCACAATAATTACCAAAATAATTATACATTCTTTATCCATCTTCTGAGAAAAATACAAAACCTTGTGCAAAGCCTAAAAAGATAAAGAAAACAAAAGCATTTGAAAAATCCATTGAAACCAGACGTTATAAGCTCATCTTAGGTTGGGTAGTTCGTAAGTCTCTGTGGCTTTGCACAAGGTTTTGTATTTTTCTCAGAAGGTTGATAAAGAATGTATAATTATTTTGGTAATTCTTGTGTGTATATTAGTCGCCAACGTGTTGCGTGAGTCGTACTACTTCTATCAACAGCAGAGGTTGCATTTTTCTAGGGATTGAACCTGAGGCTTTCCTCACGTGTCTCACCACTGGCCTGTGTCCCTGCACCAAAGCCTTGCCCAGTCAGGAGGCAGGATGGCCTTGGCTCAGCCACTGGTATCTTTTTTCTCAGCTGAGCACATCGTCCTCTTCCAACTGCAGCCTCAAGCTTTGCAAGCCGCTCTGAAAGTCTTTTCGATCCAAGCGATACTGTGATGTCCATGCTCACCTTGCATGCCAGGTAGAAACAGACTCCTTTCCTTGCCTTCTGCTCAGGTGATTATGGGAGGGGGTCGGAAGTACATGTTCCCCAAGAACACCAGCGATGTGGAATATCCGAATGAGGAGAAGTTCAGGGGGACTCGGCTGGATGGCAGGAACCTCATTGAGGCATGGAGGAAGACAAAACCAAAGGATAAGGTAAATGGGACGTTTTTGGAACCCTCCCGGTGAAGTCTGGAGTGGCGATTATGATTGCAATGATGTTCCACCCCACCCCAATCTCGAGCAGCCAGGGGCTTTCCCAGAGTTTGATTTCCTTGGGGTGAAGGTTGGCAGAGGCTGCGGTGTCTGTAGAATATACGGTTTGATTCACACAAATATCCAACCTGAGCATGAGATGCTCACGGCATTGACGCCCCAACAGATCTTGCGTCTCCATCAGTTGCTCCTTGGGCTTCAGCACAGAGCAAGCAGGTCTTTGGTCTTCCAGCTTCCAACCTGTTTCCGGCTCCGCTCTCTGTCTCTTGTTCTCCTACCTAGCAGCAAGGAGAGTGGGGTCCATGAGCCTGGAGGGAACCATCTATCAGTTGTAGCTCTTGTGGCTCATTCTTCTGGGATGCTGATCAGGACACTTATATGGACAGCTAAGGTCAATGACTTACAAAGAAACCTGTCTAACCAGTTCAGCAACAGAATCTTCTCTTAGATCCTAACCCTCACTGGATATAAGACCTCATGGCACTGTAGTCTAAACCACTGAGCCTCTTGGGCTTGCCGATCAGAAGGTTGGTGGTTCAAATCCCCATGGCGGGGTGAGCTCTCGTTGCTCTGTCCCAGCTCCTGCCAACGTAGCAATTCGAAAGCACACCAGCACAAGTAGATAAATAGGTACCGCTGTGGCGGGAAGGTAAATGGTGTTTTCGTGTGCTCTGGTCACGGTGTTCTGTTGTGCCAGAAGCGGTTTGGTCATGCTGGCCGCATGACCCGGAAAGCTGTCTGTGGACAAACGACAGCTCCCTCAGCCTGAAAAGCAAGATTTGAGTGCCGCAACCCCATAGTCGCCTTTGACTGGACTTAACCGTCCAGGGGTCCTTTATCTTTTTTACCTTTTATAGGACCCCAAGAACTGGAAAGGACTGGGGGCATCACCCAGACTGATCCCCCCAAACCCACAACAATAATGGCAATCCCAGTTGGGGATCTGTTTGGTCCCAGTTCTCCTCCTGGTCATCCTCACACTCTACTATACTCATGAAAACAAGCCCAGTGGCCTTGATGAGAGGGGCACAATCCATACAGTCCCTTGGAAGTACTGCTATTGCACCTCATCACTGCACCAGTTTAGTAGACGACCACCAAAGGTGCTCCTCAGTGGCAAATTGATTCTTCTCTCTCTCTCTCTCTCTCTCTCTCTCTCTCTCTCCCCCCCAGAACGCCTTTTATGTGTGGAATCGGACAGAACTGATGAAGCTTGACCTGAACAAGGTGGACTATTTAATGGGTGAGTTTCTAGTTCATGAGGGGTGATCCAGAATTTTGGATTATGTTGTCAGCAATAGGCTGATGGCACTCAGCTCTATTTCTCCTTTACATCTGCAGGTGAGGCAGTGGAAGTCCTGGACCACTGCCTTGCCTCAGTAATGGACTGGATGAGAGCCAACAAACTGAAGCTCAATCCAGATAAGACAGAGGCAATCTTAGTGGGTGGTTTCCTAGACTAAATAGATGGGAGGCTGACTGCTCTTGAGGGAGTTACACTTCCTCTGAAGGAGTGGGTATGTAGCTTGGGGGTCCTCCTGGATCCTTTGCTGTCTCCCAAGGCTCAGGTGGCTTCAGTGGCCCCGAGTGCCTTCCATCAGCTTCGGCTGGTGGCCCAGGTGCACCCCTGTCTGGACAGAGACAACCTAACTACTGTTGTCTATGCGTTGGTAACTGTTAGAATTCCTGCTCCATGATTGCAGTCATGGGATTGTTGTCTATAACATGACGGTATACGTTTTGACTCCACAGAGTGGAAAGTGATAGAGCCAAGATGTTTGTGTTACTGAGTTCTGTGAAGGGGGACTATTGTCCTTTGTCCTTCCTTTTTGTTGTCTGATGCTAGAGAGAGAGGGAGCCATGTTGCAGTGCTCCGTGTGTGCTTATATGTAAATAAAGTAGATTAGCCAAAATGCTGAGTTGCTGAGGTCTGTTACGCAAGCTGCACAAACTCTGCGGATCCCTAAGTGTGCCGATGTCTGTTGGCATCGGTCGCTGTGATTTTCGGGCTGAAGAAAGCTTCTGCAGCTCCCAAACAACCGACCAGGAGGCTTAGATTACTGCAATACATGGGGCAGCCTCTGAAGATGGCTCAGAAACTTCAGCTGGTGCAGAATTTGGCGGCTGGGTTGCCATGGCAAGGCAGTTTGAGCATATTGCACTGGCTGCCAATTAGTTTCTGGGCCCAATTCAAAGAACTGTTTTTTACCTATAAGCCCTTAAACGGCTCAGGACTGCAATACCTCCTCACCCCATATAAACCAACTTGGACTCTATGTCCATCATTTGAGGTCCTTCTTCATGTATCTAGAATCCTAGAATCCTAGAATCATAGAGTTGGAAGAGACCACAAGGGCCATCGAGTCCAACCCCCTGCCAAGCAGGAAACACCATCAGAGCACTCCTGACATATGGTTGTCAAGCCTCTGCTTAAAGACCTCCAAAGAAGGAGACTCCACCACACTCCTTGGCAGCAAATTCCACTGTCGAACAGCTCTTACTGTCAGGAAGTTCTTCCTAATGTTTAGGTGGAATCTTCTTTCTTGTAGTTTGGATCCATTGCTCTGTGTCCGCTTCTCTGGAGCAGCAGAAAACAACCTTTCTCCCTCCTCTATGTGACATCCTTTTATATATTTGAACATGGCTATCATATCACCCCTTAACCTCCTCTTCTCCAGGCTAAACATGCCCAGCTCCCTTAGCCGTTCCTCATAAGGCATTGTTTCCAGGCCTTTGCCCATTTTGGTTGCCCTCCTCTGGACACGTTCCAGTTTGTCAGTGTCCTTCTTGAACTGTGGTGCCCAGAACTGGACACAGTACTCCAGGTGAGGTCTGACCAGAGCAGAATACAGTGGCACTATTACTTCCCTCCTATTACTTCCCTATTAATTACCTCCTCCATGCGAGGTCCTGAGGGTGGCAACACAAGAACGGGCCTTATCTGCGGTGGCTCCCTGTTTGTTTATTGGTTTGTTTTCGTTCTTATTTTATTACAGTGGTACCTCGGGTTAAGTACTTAATTCGTTCCGGAGGTCTGTTCTTAACCTGAAACTGTTCTTAACCTGAAGCACCACTTTAGCTAATGGGGCCTCCTGCTGCCGCTGTGCCATCGGAGCATGATTTCTGTTCTCATCCTGAAGCAAAGTTCTTAACCCGAGGTACTATTTCTGGGTTAGTGGAGTCTGTAACCTGAAGCGTATGTAACCCGAGGTACCACTGTATGTCTTTTGTGTGTTTTTTATGTTGTGAACCACCCTGTGATCCACTGATGAAGGGTGGTATACAAATTTAATAATAAATAATAATAAATATTATTAGGCAACATGTGTGCCTCAGACACCCTTAGCACCTGCTGCCTGAAGCAGCCAGCTGACTCTGCCCAATGTTAGAGCCGGCCCTGACTAGGATGGCTGCATGCTATGCCAGCGTTGTGGAGAAATGCAAACATGTAATACACAGACAAAAACAATATTTAAGTGAGATCAGGGACTCGAATGGAGCATGAGCGTTAACGAGGCTGTCACTCACACCTCTGGCTTTTGTCCGCAGGCCTCTTTGAGCCGATTGACCTGGTGTACGAGCTGAACAGGAACAACGAGACAGACCCTTCCCTGACGGAAATGGTGGAGGTGGCCCTCAAAATCCTCCAGAAGAACCCTCTTGGGTTCTTCCTTCTAGTAGAAGGTGAGAGGAGGAAGAAGGTGTGGAGAAGGCAAGGGACCATCGTAGGAGGGACCACTGTTCCTGCGTGCTGATTCAAAGGCCAGTTTTCAGCGCTTGTGGAGGGTGACAGCAGAACTAGATGAGCCATTGGCCTGATCCAGCAGGACCTTCTTATATTCTTAAAGCACCAAAGGAATGAAGAAACCCTTGGTTCATATACAACACAACACCGTGGTTTCTTTTAAGCCATTGTTGGTTTAGCAAGCCATGAGTTGCCCCACAGAGAAACAAACCATGGTTTGCTTCTTCAAAGTATGGTTTGCTTTCCAGCTGCTCTTGCCCTCGTGCCTTTGTAGCTCGGTGAGCATCTGGGGTGGGGTTGCCAAGCAAACCGTGGCCAAGTTCACACATAACACCAAACCATGGTTGAAACAAACTGGATTCTGACTGTGGTCTGTTGGCGGTAAAACAACAACATATGAAACAGGTTAAGGACTGATTGTCTCTGATTTTGGTTTCTGGTGGCTGGTTTTCTTATATAAATTGCTGGTTTTATGGAAGATGTTTGTATAAATTTGTGTATCCTAACATATTGTTATGTACTGCCCTGGGAATTTCAGAATCCGAATTCTGAAGGGCAGAGTACAAATTCAATTTTAGTAATGATGATAATATTTGAGTGTTGGTGGGCTCTCCTTTGCTGGAGATATTTAAGCAGAGATTGGATGGCCATCTGCCAGGGATTCTTCAGCAGCAATTCCTGCATTGCAAGGGTTGGGACTAGAGGACAATTGGGGCGCTTCTTACAGTTTTCTGATTCTAATAATTCCTTCCGCAGGAGGCAGGATTGACCATGGACACCACGAAGGAAAAGCAAAGCAGGCTTTGCATGAAGCTGTGGAGATGGATCGGGCAATTGGCCGGGCTGATATCATGACCTCTTCTGAGGATACCCTGACCGTGGTTACTGCAGATCATTCCCACGTCTTCACTTTTGGAGGGTATACGCCCCGCGGCAATCCCATTTTTGGTATGTTGACACGCACACAAGCTGACATCCACAGCTTAGATGAGAGGTTAAACATGCCCTATGGTCGCAGTTTGCAACCACCTGGAGGGGCCATTCTTGACATTTAAGAGTCGCAGTAGTGTTTTCATCTCCCCCCTGTTCCCATCGTCTTTTCCCACTTCATTTCAGCTTGAAAATGTGGAGCTCTTTGTTGTTGTTTTAATGTAGAGAAAGGTGCAGTATCGAAGTACGATTCAGCTACCAAGCTGGTTAGTTACTGTCATTGGAATGGAGGGGCAGGTAACTGCTTTGCCTCAGGTTGCCCAAGTTGTTGTGCTTTTTTTTAAAAAAAAAAAAATCTAAAAAGAAGAAAATTTTGAGCTATTTTTAAGGGAAATCACCCAAAACAACACTACCGACGTGGGTTGCCGTATGCCCATATTTTCCCAGACATTTCAATGATTTCCACCCAGTGTCAGGCTTCAGGGAATCCTACCCCTCCCACGGCAGCAGCCAAGAAGCAGATAAACAAGAAGAAGTCTTACCAAGTAATTTATTCAATGTTCACAGAGAGAGAAGAAGCAATGAAGTCTCCTGTAATAATGGCTTCACTCCAAGTCAAGTCCCACCCCCTCCGTCTCTCCTATTATATATATATATATATATATATATATATATATATATATATATATATAATTTAATATTTATTAAAGTTTCAGAAAAGAAATAAAATCACATTAATAAACAAAAAAAATTTAAGAAGAAAAAAGAAAAATACACAATACAAAATACAGAATACAAAATACAAAAAGAGAAAAAGAAAAAAAAACAGTTAAAAACAATTCCGTCTTTTCATAACTTCTTTTACATTTACTTGTTTCCCGGACTTCCTCATACCTCCCTCTTTTGTATTCCAGTTCAGTTTGTTAGACCAGCAATTTCTTTCTCTCCTTTTTAATCCCAATCCTTAATCTTAATATATTATGACATTAGATTTTTACCTATTTAAAACCAATTTTTCCATTCTTTTAACCTTTTAATCCTAATCCTTAATCTTGATATATTTATAACTTTAAAACCTGTACAGCTGGAAGCCACTTAACTTCAATCCAACATCACTCTAACATTCATTAATTTTGCAATGTTTCTGTAAATAATCTTTAAATTTCTTCCAATCTTCTTCCACCGACTCTTCTCCCTGGTCACGGATTCTGCCAGTCATTTCCGCCAATTCCATGTAGTCCATCATTTTCATCTGCCATTCCTCCAGTGTGGGTAGCTCTTGTGTCTTCCAATACTTATTGCAAAGTATTGGAAGACGTCTCTCCTATTATAAGTCATCCCTACATTGGCTGATCGGAGCTTTCTGCCTCGGAGCTCTGTTCTACTACTCTCAATGCCCGCCTGGTCCTGGGAGGGTGGGGTCAGGAATGCTTTCAAAAGACAGTGAGTCTGTCAGCTGTCTCTCCCCTGCTGCTGCTTCTTCCTGCTGTTCCTCTCTCAGTATTTCCTCTCTGTAGCCTCTGAGCTATGCCCTTCTGCAAACCACTGTTCTAAATCTATACTGTTCTCCTGTTCTCAGGAAGGTTCAGGAGAAGGGGGGGCAGCGGTCCCCACCATTCCTCCTCAGTCCAGCCCCTGACACCCGGCCCCTGTTTCCGACATCTGATTCCCAGCTATGTCTGGGAAATTCCGGACACAGGGCAACCCTATCTTGGCCGGGTGGCCTTACAAGCAAAGAGTTTCAGGTGCTCTCCAGACATCTTTCTGCTTTCACATCAACCAGCCTTGTTCTTGGAGATGACCGACTGAAGTGGGTGTCCCGTGTGGGTGTTGGGCATGTGTTTGTGGATCTGTCCACATACTTATTCTCTGTAAAGATAATTGCAGATGCACCCCCTGAGGGTTTGCTGGAGCATTCTCCACAGCTAATTTTCAAAGAAACATTTGTGGTTAACGTTTACAGTGTTTTGGAATATTTCCCAGAGCAGAGTTAAAAACTCCTAGCAGGCAGGCATGGTTTTAGTTTGTTTGTTTTTTAAAAAAAACTTCATGCGCATTTCAGATTCATTCCGCTTTCCTGCAACAAAACAGGACCCCTGCTGACGATCAGGGATGTCAAAAAAATCACATTAAAACAGAAACAGGAGTGGAAATTACCGAGGTTCACGAACTTGTCCCGTGTTTGGAACAGAAATCAATGTAGCAGAAATCAATTAGGCGTTCACTGCTGCCGCTGCTGCTTTCAGTCTGCAAACACTACGAAATGGATTACACTGTTTTGCCCCATTTACATTGTGTTTCCTTGGCATTGAAGTGAATGGTGTGGAATAACGTAATAACAACACAATTTATCTAATTAATTACATAAATTGTGTAAGTTACATACTCTTGCCACAGAAGACAGGGAAACTAATAACTTTTTGGCAGAAGCCGAACTGCGGAGGAATGCAAACACTGCTGCGTGCCATGAAATTCAGGGCAGAATGGTTAATCATTTCTCACGGACTGTCTGGCCAGAGTGGTGCATGCTCTGGCTGTCTCCCGTTTGGACTACTGCAATGTGCTCTGCGTGGGGCTACCTTTGAAGGTGACTCGGAAACTACAACTAATCCAGAATGTGGCAGCTAGACTGGTGACTGGGAGTGGCCACTGGGATCATATAACCCCGGTCCTAAAGGATCTTCACTGGCTCCCAGTACGTTTCCGAGCACAATTCAAAGTGTTGGTTCTAACCTTTAAAGCCCTAAACGGCCTTGGTCCTATATACCTGAAGGAGCGTCTCTATCTCCCATCGCTCAGCCCGGACACTGAGATCCAGCGCCAAGGGCTTTCTGGTTGTTTCCTCCCTGTGAGAAGCGAGGTTACAGGAAACCAGGTAGAGGGCCTTCTCGGTAGTGGCGCCCACCCTGTGGAATGCCCTCCCACCAGATGTCAAGGAGATAAAAAAAAACTACACAACTTTTAGAATACATCTGAAGGCAGCCCTGTATCAAAAAAATTTTAATGTTTGGTTTTTTAATGTAGTTTTCTTACGCTGGAACTTGGTTAAACCTTACAAAACCTCCCAGAGTGGCTGGGGCAACCCAGTCAGCTGAGCAGGGTATAAGTAAAGTTGTTGTTGTTAAAATGGTTAAAGCCGGCAGGGCATCTATTTCTCAGGAATTGCCACCCAGCCCTGCCTTGCTGAAATGCAAGTGGGATTGCTACATGGCTCTAATCACTTATCACCTTAAAAAAAATATATCAGGAAGATGTTCCTGCCCAGAGCTTCTTGGATGCTCCACATAATTCCCCCCCCCACCGCAATTGATTTATATCAAGTATTTACCGTATTTTTTGCTCTATAAGACTCACTTTTTCCCTCCTAAAAAGTAAGGGGAAATGTGTGTGCGTCTTATGGAGCGCATGCGGGCTGCACAGCTATCCCAGAAGCCAGAACAGCAAGAGGGATTGCTGCTTTCACTGCGCAGCGATCTCTCTTGCTGTTCTGGCTTTTGAGATTCAGAATATTTTTTTTCTTGTTTTCCTCCTCCAAAAACTAGGTGCGTCTTGCGGTCTGGTGCGTCTTATAGAGCGAAAAATACGGTATATGCTGCCCTATCACCTGTCTGGCAATTCACAAGTTGAACATGAGCCAGCAGTGTGACACAGCAGCCAAAAAGGCTAATGCGATTTTTGGCTGGTTTAACAGAACTCTTGTTTCCAAGTCGCAAGAAGCATCAGTTCTGCTTTATTCTGCATTACTCTGAGCTTGTATGGAGTGCTGTGTTCAGTTCAGGCGCTGCACTTAAAGAAGAACGTAGGCAAACTAGAAGAGTTTCAAACAAACATTGGAAAGGCTAAGAGGAACCAGGTGTGTTTAGCCCGGGGAAGCGAAGATTGTCTGGGAACATGGCTGCATTCTCCGAAGGTGATTTGTGCTCATGATGCTATAAGGGTATTCACACCCAAGCCTGTTTCCCAGACTGTTTATGCCTGCAAAAACATTGGGGTGGTAACATTGGGCCACTTCCAGTCAGTGCAAATCCCATAACTCCATAGTGTTGTCATGCCTTTAATGTCCTGGTTAATTTGGGACCTTCTTCTGGACACGGGTGGCACTGTGGGTTAAACCACAGAGCCTAGGACTTGCTGATCAGAAGGTTGGCGGTTCGAATCCCCATGACGGGGTGAGCTCCTGTTGCTCGGACCCTGCTCCTGCCAACCTAGCAGTTTGAAAGCACGTCAAAGTGCACGTAGATAAATAGGTACCGCTCCGGCGGGAAGGTAAAGGGCGTTTCCATGCGGTGCTCTGGTTCGCCAGAAGTGGCTTAGTCATGCTGGCCACATGACCCAGAAGCTGTACGCCGGCTCCCTTGGCCAATAAAGCGAGATGAGCGCCACAACCCCAGAGTCGGCCACGACTGGACCTAATGGTCAGGGGTCCCTTTACCTTTACCTTTATCTGTCACACCAATGCACTGTCATCCTGTCAAGGACCCGTTGCTCAATAAAACACCAGTAAAATGCCATTGAACTGTGGGTGTCCCACTGTGTTACCTGGAGAAAGTGAACAGAGGAAAGCTTTTCTCCCTCTCAACTTAACACTGGAACTCATGGGTATTCAATGAAGCTGAATCTTAGGACGGAGGAAAGAAAGTCCTTCTTCATGTAGCAAGCACATAGTTAAACTGCGGAACTCCTTCCCACAGGAGGTGGAATCATAGAATCGTAAAGTTGGAAGGAAACCCAGGGGCCAACTAGTCCAGCCCCCTGCCATGCAGGAATCTCAATTAAAGCATCCATGGCAGATCACAGGAAGCGACGGCCACCAACCTGTCAGGCTTCGGGGAATCAGCTTCCTCCTCCCGTGGCAGTAGATAAGAAGATCAAACAAAAGGAAGGTCTTACCAGTTAGAATCTTTAATAATCACAGCGAGAGAACAAAGAACACATCTCCTAGAAATGGCGGTGCTCTCAATTAAGGATCACCTCCCCCTCCGTCCCTATTAATCTACGTCATTCCTACATCTTGAGCTTGTACCCTCTGCGCTTTCTGTTCTGAGACTTTCTGAGCTCTTCGTGACCTTGGGCAGAGCAGAGGAATGATGTCCAATGACTGTGAATCTATTAACTCTCTCTTTTCCAGTGTTCTTCTCCTAGCTGTTCCCCATTCAGTATTTCCCAGCTTCTGCCTTCTGAACTGTGCCCCTCGGAAAACCACTGTTCCAAATCTATACTGTCTTCCTACTCCTGGGAAGATTCAGGAGCAGGAGCAGGGGGAGGGGGTGGCTCCCACCATTCTTCCTCAGTGCAGCCCTCCTCAGCACCGTCCCTGACACAGCTTGGGTGTGCTGGGCCCAGGGTAACTTGAGCAACGTGGTCCAGGTCTGGTCCCGAATCCAAGGGTTCTGCGAGGAGTCAGTCCGACAGGGCCAAGGCAGGCCACGAGGCAGGAAACCAGGCACAGGGTCTCAGGCAGGTTCTAGCAAACAGCAATGTTGCTCCCGCAACCTGGGGGTGGGGTCCGACAGCCTTTTGTCTTTGCCGGGGTAATGGCTGGTCCTGATCCCCTGGTGACTCACCTCTCTGTCTCGCCCGAAGGCGAGCACTCCTCCTGCGAGTACTCAGGTCTCTCCTTCTCTCAGACCTTAGTCTCTGCAGCTCGGGAGACGTGGGTGGGTTGCTAGACCCAGGGGCCGCCTCAGCCTCCCCTGACCCAAAAGTGGAGCAGCTGTAAGTGATCGCCCAGGTGAAGGCAACAAGGTAATCCCCGCATCTGGAGCCAGGGCAGGCTCAGGCCCCTGACTCGGCCTGGCTGGTGCTTGTTGCAGGGGAACCTGTGCAGACTGGGGCTCTTTAGAATCAGGCCCCAGCCTTGGTTCAGGTGCCGCCTGAGGCAAAGGATCCGGTGCCGCCTGAGACTCCTCTGGTTCCGAGTCTGAGCCCGAGTCCCAGGCCACCACACTGGGTGACTTTAAAAAAGAGGATTCGACAAATTCACAGTTATTAAACTATGATGACAACGATAACAACAACAACAACGATGATGATGATAATAAATATTTTAGTGGCTGTGTAAGGTCTGTCTAGTGCTTCCTTTCTTCTTTCCCCCTTAACTTAGGTCTGGCCCCGATGCAGAGTGACGTAGATAAGAAACCTTTCACCTCCATCCTCTACGGGAATGGGCCCGGGTACAGAGTCATCGATGGAGAGAGAGAGAACGTGTCCACAGTGAACTTCAGTGAGTCCCAGGCCTATAGGGGACACCCCCACCCCACCTCCAGTCACCCCTGCCTACACCCCCCTCCCTCCACTTCCACTCTGCCATAATGGTGGTGGTAATTCTAACCGGGGGCGGGGGGGGGCAGTGCTCTAAGTTTTAAGATGGGTTCTAACTCTTCACTGGTTTTATCAGGTTGCATTTCGTACCGCTAAGTCGCTTCGAGACTTTTTCCTTGCACAAAGTGGCTAAGAAGTCTAATAACTTTAATAGAGAGAAATGTGTGGGAATGTTCAGGGTGGCAGGAGAGGATATATTGTTTATTAATATCCTTCCTAACTTGCGCTATCAAGCTCCTTTATGCAGCAGAGTTACATTCCCCTTTTTATATGCACAGCAGATAGCTGGTTGCAGGCTCGTGTGAGCCTCTCACTATTACACAATTCAGTCTGTCTCAGATTGAATTGTACGTTCCTGGTGAATTGTAAATTCCCTTGAATCCATCTTAAAAGAATAAAGACATGACAATCTTATTCAAATTCAATAAAAGAAGTTTACTCACATCAGTTCACAGTTGGATTCCTGAAGGCAGACTTAGTTACAAATATGTACATGTGGATCTACCCCATATGGGGGAATGATCCCAGTGCTTCTGCTAGCTGAGAGCTAGCAGAGCAGTCCTAGCGAAGAAGCTGGTCAAACGGCGAAGGAAGTCAAAAAGAGGAAGGTTGCTGCGTGACTCGTCCTTTTGTTACCTGGACAGGTAAGGTCACGCCCACCTTCTATCACATGCGAAAGGAAGGATGCTCTAGCCAGGAGGAACAAGAAGTTTCGACTGGCTGGACCAAACATTCCCTCACATGTCTTCTCTAGCATTACAAGGTATGTTGTACTTGACTGCCTTTCATGGATCACCTCCCACAAAACGCACCCTGATAAGTGTTTCCTCCATTTCCCCGCTCCCTCTCTAGCGGATGCCAACTACCAGGCTCAGTCCGCCGTCCCAATGCGCATGGAGACGCATGGAGGGGAAGACGTGGCCATCTTCGCCAAGGGGCCCATGGCGCACCTCCTCCACGGAGTCCATGAGCAGAACTACATCCCCCACGTCATGGCCTACGCCGCCTGCATTGGCGAGAACACGGGCCACTGCCGCTCCGGAGCACCCACAAGGAGCCCGTCGGGACTCTTCGCCGTGACCCCAATGTTCTTCTCCCTCGCTCTGCTCAGGCTGCTGTTCTAAAGGCTCGCCTTCGGAGCGCTCCTCTGCCGGTTGAGCCCAACCGCACAGCGTCCGGGGCTCCACAACCTGCCTCTGGAAATGGGGTTCAGGTTTCAGCGACGGAGTGCACCTCTTTGCTGCGACTGACCAACCGCTAGGAATTTCCATTCCAGGCTCGAAGGCACCGGGGGCACTGGGTCAAACATCACTTGTTTGTTTTGGATGTTCCAGGAGCAACGCCAGCCTGACATTCTGAGATATTTTCTCTCTCAACTTCCTCAACAAAGATAAGAACGCCATAGGGCTCTGTTGCTTGGGAAGGGCGTGCTCTGCGTTTTTTGTTTTCCTTCTCTTTGCTGAAGTGTCTCTTACTTCACCAGAACGTTTTAACCGCCTGCTGTCTTAAAGGCTTGTCACCTTCCTTCCTTCCTTCTGCAAAGGCAGGCACCCCTAAAAGATAAAAAACAAAAACCACCCGCTCTTCCTTCTCAATCCATTATTCCTGATTTATATTGTGAGCAGTGGGAGTTCTTCCACCAATCAACCAGCTCAAAACCAGCCGTGAAATTTAAGTTCAAAGAAGCAGAGGGTTATCGGTCCCCTGCCCCACAGGCCTCTGAACTTTGTTGCTCCTCTTTCCCAACGATGGGGGCAGCTGATTCCATCTGGCTACATAGCAGAAAGAGAGACCGTGGGCCGCACCAGGACTCTCCTTTGGGAGACTTTTGGGCTCCGCTCTCCTTGAACCTCTTTCCATTCCTTCATTCGAAGGACTCCTGCGCCTAGTTTGCTTCCCCCCTCCTCCTTCCCAGTCCCCTTTTCTTCTTTTCACACGTATTTTATTAGTGCTTTTTGTAAATGGCTCCGGGAGCACTTTTTGGGTGTGGGTGTGCGTGTGTATGAAGTAAAACAGTTAAACAAAACAAAAAAACACACACACAAAAACAAACAAATAACCAGCTTGATTTGTTCACATGCAGCATGTTTTTTTATGGGGGGACGCGGGGGGTATACATACCCCTAAACATTTCGTGAATCTAAGTTTGGCCTCATGGAGGGGCAGTATTTCAATATCAGTAGGAAAATGAGAGTACCCCTAAACATTTTTTTTAAAGAAAAAAAGCGCTGGTCACATGTATGCACCTAACCCTTAGCAAAATCATGCCTGAATGATAAATCGAGCAAACCTTTGATTGTATGTTTAAAGAAATGAACTCTGAAGTTTTTGTTTTTTTAAGTGGCAGAGAACTTGTGCTGAGAGGAGGATGAGGGGCTCTGTTTGATGTGGTGTGAGCCATGCTCATGTGGTGTGCCGTGGCGTTGGGGCTGGGAAAAGGGCTGGCTCTCCTCTCTGATGCTATCTCTGCACGCAGCTTGCAACGTTAGCCAGCCATGCGATCGCTTCCGACCTGTTTCAGTTCTGGGGAGCGTCTTTAGCCCTCCAGATGTTGTTAGCCTCCAGCCAGCTGTTAGGGCTGATAGGGCAACGGCAAACCCTGCAACATCTGCATGGCACACAAGGGACAGCCTTGATCTATCTGAAGTGGTTTCGCTTTGTGTGAGCAACACAGGAAGTTCCGCCGCCTTTGGTTCTCCAACTTTGTCCCTGGAGGGAATTAGATAGTTGCTGGAACTGCAATGCTGGGAGGCAGCTGGAGGGTGTCCTAAGCCAGCAACCTGCATCACAAACCCTGCAGCCTTCAAAACCCTTTTTCAAATGGCTTTGCATCATCCACACGCAGAGGTGCTGCCCCGTGGTGGATTGAGAAACTGCAAAGCATGTCCCTGGAGGAGGCTCTGATTCGAACTCTGAGCTTGCTCCATAGCACTGGAGCAATCACAGAGTCAACCATTAGTTCAAGACTCCTCTGACGGCTCAAGGAGGTTAAAGGCAGCGCCGTGTATTCAGGGCCGGCCCTACCGTTGTGCAAAAAGAGGAGACAGTGCCTCAGGTGGCGGATACTGGAAGGAGCAGGCCCTGGCTTCCTAAGCTCCTGCACGCACACATGCACTCACGCACACACAGCCATCCCCTTCCACATCTGCTGTATATTTAACACCTGCTGTATACTAAACACCCTCTCCTGACCACCCCAAATAGCCTGCCCCCTCAGTGGACAGCGGGCAAAATCCAGTGCAAGGGATGTGAACTAGCAGAATCTCCATCTCTCCTTAAAATCAGCTCCAGGAGAGGATTGGGCAAAGGCCATAGTTCAGCGGTAGGGCATCTGCCTTGCAAGCAGAAGGTCCCAGTTCTAGTCTCCAGTGGCACCGCTAGGTAGGGCTGGGAGAAAACCCTGGCGACCTACTGTTGCCAGTCACCCGCTTGGGCCAATGCCCTGACTCTGTAAAAGGCAGCTCCCTGATTTCCTCAGTCCAGCAATCAGCCTAGTTCAGTAATCTCCAACCTGTTGCGACCCAAGACCCGCCTTCAACCCGAGCACTCCTTTGAGGGCACAGTTATTCATAGTTCCCCACATATTTGCATGGTGGCTATGCTGTTGTGACACCCGCCTTTGACCAGCTAGCGACCCAGCAGTGGGTCCCAACCGGTCAGCTGAAAGCCAGTGGCCTAAGTCAGCTTCTGTCCGTTCAAAGTGGCACCATTTTGTCCCTTCTCTCAGGCAGCAGAATGCCTTGAGCTGGGCCCACAGCCCAATTCTAATTAACCAGAACGAATTATTCCCTGTTCCTCATAATACTTGAACTTCGGGGCGGCTCAATGAAAGACGTTTGGTTGGAAGCAAGTTCAGGCCAAAACAAAAAAGCCCTTCTTCGTATAATGCGAAATTTGCAGGCTTAATCGCCACCAAGTTCTAGGGAGTGCCAATGGCTTTGAATGGGGGTGGGTGGGGTGGCAGGTGATGACATGGCTGGCCTGCGACATTTTGGTCCCATCCCCACGGCTGCCCCCTTGCCCATACTGATGCGCTTCAGGTACCAGTGAGTGGCACAGGCACGACTGCAGGGGCACGGTGGCGAGGGACCCAGATAATAATAATAATAAAAATAAAATAATAAACCTTTATTGTCACTACACCACCTGTGTGCAGTGAAATTAAACGAGCCTCCCCCCCCCCGCCACATACACTCAGTCTTGTTCACACTTTGTGTGCTTGTCGGAAGTCAATTGCACCACTATCCCCCCCCCCCATTCAGCAGCCCATGGATAAAAACTTTTCTTTAACCTGTTGGTTTAGCTGACTATACTTCTGTATCTCCTGCCCGAAGGTAGGAGATTAAAGATGTGTTGGCTGGGGTGTGCGTCGTCCCTGAGAATCTTCCTCGCTCTCCTGAGGCAGCGGTCTCCTGCGATGTCATCTAGCGAACTCAGGGGACAGCCCATGATATCATGGGCTGTATTCACCACCCTCTGTAGGGACTTCCTGTCCGTGGCTGTCAAACCAGCATACCACACTGTAATACAGCATGAAAGGACACTTTCTATTGTGGACCGGTAGAAAGAGATCATCAGTTTTTGTGTGACATTGTTCTTACGCAAGACCCTAAGGAAATGGAGTCCCTTTTGGGCCTTCCTAACCACCTGGCCGCCCAAGGTGGGCTTAGACCCTCCAAGTGCCCCTCTTTTCCAGGGGCAGTCCCAGACTTACAGAAGCCATCCCGGTTCCTGATTACATCCCAGAATGTCCCACATTTCATTGGAGAAATGTTGGAGGGTATGGAGTTATGCGACCTCCGAGCCAAGGAGATAAGTAACTAGACGTTCTTTAGAAGACATCTGAAGGCAGCCCTATATAGGGAAGTTTTTTTTTTTAAAAAAGGTTTAATATTTTATTATGTTTTTATATATGTTGGAAGCTTCCCAGAGTGGCTGGGGCAAGCCAGTTATTATTATGGATTAAAGGGACCCCGACCATTAGGTCCAGTCGTGGCCGACTCTAGGGTTGCGGCGCTCATCTCGCTTTACTGGCCGAGGGAGCCAGCGTACAGCTTCCGGGTCATGTGGCCAGCAGGACTAAGCCGCTTCTGGTGAACCAGAGCAGCGCACGGAAACACCGTTTACCTTCCCGCTGGAGCAGTACCTATTTATTTACTTGCACTTTGATGTGCTTTTGAACTGCTAGGTTGGCAGGAGCAGGGACCGAGCAACGGGAGCTCACCCCGTCGCGGGGATTCGAACCGCCGACCTTCTGATCGGCAAGTCCTAGGCTCTGTGGTTTAACCCACAGCACCTCTCACGTCCCTCTATTATGGATTAGGACGTCCCTATTTTCATCGGGAAAATGTTGGAGGGTATGTGTCTAAATAGAATCTGCCACTGAATGCTACCAGTTTCTGCCAGGACTGAGGCTGTTGGGATTCAAGAGTCCAACACAATTTGGAGTGCCACAGGCTCCTGAGGTCTGTCTGTCAGTTCAGTCTAGTTTTGCCTATTAGGACACCAACTGGGGTGGGGGAGGCCGCTGGGGATGGAAGGACACAGGAGAATAGTTTGCACTTAAAGACAAACCTATCTAATTTTCTCTTTCCAAAACCAGGTGCGAACAAAAGCAAAGGCATCCTTGCAATTCGCCCGCCTCTGAATTTTGCAATGCCACTCCAGCCAAGTCATGGGGTGCGAAAATGCACATGTTAGGGCAAATCATGGATTAAATTGCATATAATAAAGTATGCTAATGTGTGGCATTGGGAAAACTGCTTTGCAAAAGGGTGGGTTTTAGAGAAAATTGCACGCGAAAATGTGCATACTGGTAGCCCACATCTTTTGTGGGGGTTACATTCCAAGGATAGCATGTAAATAATAATAATAATTTTTTTTATTGTTTGTACCTTGCCCATCTGACTGGGTTGCCCCAGTTGAATATGCTGGGTTGAATATGCGGCTTCCAGCATATTCAAAAACTTATCTCCTTGACATCTGATTGTGGGGGCGCGTTCCACAGGGAGGACATCACTACCAAGAAGGCGCTCAGCCAAAATAGTGTATAGCCAAAACAACCATTTAAAAACAGGGGAAATAGCTCACAAGAAACACAGTTCAGCACTTAACCAGTCCAGTGAGCAAGGCGGAGGACTTAAAAGCTCTTTTCGTGCTGCGAAAACGTACCTCAAAACGAGCTTTTAAGCTACTCTCCTTTAGCACGTTTAATAACCACGTAAAGTTGAAACCACACATGTTCAATACACGAAAGCGGAGTCTACCTACATTGGGGGAAGCTGGCACTAAAAGGCGGAAGAGATTTTAAAAACAAACAAACCACAAACTGATGTGGAAATGGGAAGGACTGGGCTTAAGATTGGAGAGGTTTAGAAGATCGGAGAGGAGTGGAAGTTGATTCAGATTTGCCCATCTCACGCTTTGCCTGAGCATGTTTGTCACTGAAGAGGGAGAAACCTCCTTTCAGTTGCCCCTGCAGGGGCCAGGTAGACTGAGCAAAGATTTGTCCCCTTTTCACCTGCAGACAGAAGGAAGATCCAAGCTTGGCTGCTGCTCACTTGTGGAATTAAACGCTTGCTGCCAAAGCAAAGGATTTGCAGAGATGCTGGCATCAAACTTTGCTGAAAGAGAGAGAGTTGTCGTTGATGATGATGCTGTTGTGTGTGTTTTATAAATCAGAGTCCCTGTTGATTGATTTTCTTGTTGGCATAACTTTTTTAAAAATTTGAAATAAAATTATTTTTGAACAGCTGGAGAACTGAGTGTTTTGAAGGAAACAGGGACGACACCACACAGGTGTTCCAGAACCACAGACCTGACTTTGGGAACATAGTTGCTCAGAAAGTGACTGAGAGCTGTTGTGTCCTTTTCTTGTGAGAATCCAGGGCATCATCAAGCCAGCACAACGGCTGACCAGATTATTACTATAATTACAGTATTATATTATATATTTCTGATATCCTTCCTGCTACCTTGATAGGGACTCAGAGACTTACAGATAAAATGGGAACAGCTAAAAATGGGGGGGGGGTTCCCATTTAAAACGATTTAACATTAATGAATTAAAACTATCTTTTTTTTAAAAAAATGATATTTATTAAAATTTCAAAAGTAAAAGATCACATTAATAAGAAAATTAACAATAAAAAGGGAAAATTCAAAATACAAAGTACAAAAAGAAAAAACAGTTAAAAACAATTCCATCTTTTCATCACTTCTTTTACATTTACTTGTTTCCCGGACCTCCTCATACCTCCCTCTTTTGTATTCTAATTCAATTTGTTAGTCCAGCGATTCCTTTCCCTCCTTTTTAATCCTGATCTTTAATCTTGATATATTATAACATTAAATTTTTAGATATTAAAAACCAATATTTCCATATTCTTTTATACCATTACCGCTAGAAACCGCTTAACTTCAATGAATTAAAACTATCACCTAACTAGCTACCTATAAGATTTATTAAAAACGTACCAGATAATTACAATAAAATCAGCAGAGCACCAGCCCTTTTATTAAAAGCAGTCACTTCTCAAAAACCTATTGGAAGAGGAAAACCTTCACCTTTTTAAAAAAATAATAATTTTTAATTGGTTTTTACACATATTTCCCAGCATATCATCCTTTTAAACATCATTTCAAAATCTTTGGCTATCACAGCCTAAGACTTCTTTCAACCTCAGCTGATGGTTTTCTAAAATCCTTTCTAATTATGCATTTTGTTACTACAGTTATTGCTATAAATTCAAATCTTAATACCTATTCTTAATTCTTTTCACAATAATTTATATATTACTCCTTACAAAACTTATTTTAACCCTACAAGCGATGTCAATTGGTTACAGTTGCTTTCCAAATACGTCGAACGCTTCTTCCATTCCTTTAGCAAAGTCTGGTGCTGCTGGTTCCGAATTTTCCCAGTTAATCTCCCCATCTCAGCATAGTTCATCAGTTTCTCTTGCCACTCTCTGGCATTTCATCTTGCTCCTATCTTTGGGCTAACAATATCCTTGCTGTAGTTATCGCATATAAAAACAATTTTTTGTCATTCCTATAAATTTCTGTACCCACAATACCCAACAGAAGGGCTTCTGGTTTTTTAACAAATGTATATTTCAACATTTTTTTCAATTCATTATAAATCATTTCCCAGAAGTCCTTCACTTTCTTACATTCCCACCACATATGGTAAAAAGTACCCTCCTTTTCTTTACATTTCCAACATTTGTTATCTGTTTTGTACATTTTAGCTAACTTCACTGGTGTTATATACTATCCTGCACATCATTTCATCATTTCTTTCAATGCACTGCAAGCAGTAAAATTTATTCCTTCTTTCCATAATTTTCCCCAGTCTTCTATTTGCATATTATTACCAATATTGGTGGAAAGGACAGCAAGGAAGGAGCCAGTTATAGAATTGCAGATTTGTAGAGTTGGAAAGGGACCCCAAGACTCATCTAGTCCAACCCTCTGCAATGTGCAAATATCAGCTGAAGCATCCATGACAGATAGCCATCCAACCTCTGCTTAAAAACCTCCAAGGAAGGAGAAGCCGCCACCTCCTGAGGGAGAGTCTGGCTCCTCTAGGCAGGGAGTTCCAAAGATGTCTTCTTCTTCTTTGGCAATCACTTGTAGCCGAGTACGATTGTCTTCCATAAACACGGTTTTAACAGCGAGTCCTTAAGTGACTGTGGAGGCCAATTCTGGATCCACACGTCCTTCTACAGTGGGGACAGAGGTTTCCGGGCGGGAGTTGATCACGGCGAGAGTTTGCCAAGCGCACCTTCCTCTTCGCACATTTCTCCCTTTTGTCCTGAGTTTGAGCGTCTTCAAAGCCCACAACACCTTTGGTAAAGGCTGTTCTCCAATTGGAGCGCTTGCAGGCCAGTGTTCCCCAGTTGTCGGTGTCTATCCTACATTTTTAAAGATTTGCCTTGAGGGAGTCTTTAAACCTCTTTTGTTGACCACCAGCATTACGCTTTCCATTTTTAAGTTTGGAATAGCGCAGTTGCTTTGGAAGACGATAATCAGGCATCTGCACAACATGACCAGTCCAACAAAGTTGAAGAACCATTGCAATGATTCCAAAGCAATGATTCCAAAGATGTATGGGAGAAGCCACTGAGAAGGCTCTCTCCCATGTCCCCACCAAGTGCTCCTGTGGAGCAGGGAGACCAAAGATCTCAGAGCTCATGAAGCCGTTGGTCCTCAGGCCATTTTAAGCAATTGGCATTCAGAAGCATTTCTGTCTCTGACTGTAGAGGCAGAGCACAGCCACAATGGCTGGTAGCTCCTTGAAAGCCACTTCCACAAAATTGCCTAATCCTCTTTTAAAGGTAAAGGTAAAGGAACCCCTGACCATTAGGTCCAGTCGTGACCGACTCTGAGGTTGTGGCGCTCATCTCGCTTTATTGGCCGAGGGAGCCAGTGTACAGCTTCCGGGTCATGTGGCCAGCATGACTAAGCCGCTTCTGGCGAACCAGAGCAGCACACGGAAACGCTGTTTACCTTCCCGCTGGAGCGGTGCCTATTTATCTACTTGCACTTTGACGTGCTTTCAAACTGCTAGGTTGGCAGGAGCAGGGACCGAGCAACGGGAGCTCACCCCGTCACGGGGATTTGAACCGCCAACCTTCTGATCGGCAAGTCCTAGGTTCTGTAGTTTAACCCACAGCGCCACCCGCGTCCCTATAATCCTCTTTTAAAGCCACCCAATTTGGTGGCCGTCACTGTCTCCTGTGGGAGGGAGTTCCATAGATTAACGACATGCCAATTAAAGAAGCCCTTCCTTTTGAGCCTTCTGAATCTTCCAGCATTCAGAAGAGGACTCTTGCAACGAAAAGCTGTAAGAGAAACGCACAAAGTCCGGTTCCCTCGAAAGAGCACGCAGCTGTTCTAGGTCATTTCATCCAGAGTTCATCCTTCAGGCTTAAGCGCTTTGATTTTTAATTAGGAGACTGGGAAATAAATGTACCAGCAAATTGCTGAAGGGTTTTCAGATGTTCTTGCCTGTCTCTTCAACTGCTGATCCCCCCTCCCCCGGCCCACATTTCCCCTGGAGTAGCAGCTTCAGACATTTTGCCTGCTCGCCATGTGAGTCTATTAATTTTGTACCAGTCAATACAATCAGTCTGGCCCATCAGCCGTGCGCCTTAGGGCGAGGGGGGTGGGACAGGAAGCAAACGTGTCTGGTGGCACATCTCAGCGCCTGCTGCTCAAATCAATCTCCTCCTTTGGCTAGAGGAAGCCTGATTGATTGAGACGAAGCCTCTGTGGTACGCCAGCGGCAGAGACGGCGTCCGTCCATGCATGAGCTGCAGCAAAGCATACAAAAATGTTTGCCAGGTATTCTGGGAGCTCTGTGGCACGCAGGCTGAATCGGTGGCAGCCGAATGCTTATGCCTCGGGTCTACTGGGAGGGCAAGAGCAGAGATCATTCAAGTTTGTAACTCAAGGGTTAAGTCAGCTGGACAAGATGGGGGCGGGCAGGGGGAGGGGTTGCTTAGCAACCAGCCAGAGTGGCATGAGAGGGTAACACTGTGCCCTGGATGGCTGTTCAGTTCTGAGGGAGTTTTCTTCTGCATATTTGACTGGGGGCCTCCCTGCTATGGTAAAAGGCCTGAATTTATTTATTTATTTTTTAAAGCTGAAACCTCTCTGTTCCTGTCACTCCAGTTTAAGGAGGGGCTTTTCTCTCTGGGCTGGATTTGCTAACAAGGTCATGACTTCAAGATCTGTGGCGGGCTCAACTCTGGGAGTGGTGGATTTGTGTATTGGGGGGTGGGGGTGGGTTATGTTATGTTGTAAATAAAATTCGAATAAAAATAATTTTAAAAAACCAACACAAATGGCAAGAGAGGAGATTCTGACTAAACGTCAGGAAGAGCATGCTGGCAGTAAGAGCTGTTTAACAGCGGAACAGTCTCCCTTGCGAGGCAGTGGGCTCTCCTTCGTTGCAGGTTTGTCAACAGAGGTTGAGGACCGTATGCCAGGGATTTTTTAGCTGTGATTCCTGCATTGCAGGGGGTTGGATTAGATTGCTTTTGGGGGTCCCTTCCAACTCTAGAACTCCATGATATGTATCCAGACCTTCCAAGTGTCCCTATTTTCCTGGGACAGCCCCGGATTTACAGAATGCCCCGCTTTTCCTTAGGACGTCCTTATTTTCATCTGAGAAATGTTGGAGGGTATGGTAGGACCGGATGCCCCTGTTTTCATCGGAGAAATGTTGATGTTATTATTGCCAGTTTCTTATCCAGCCTTCACCCTAAGATCGCAGGGCAGGTTGGCACCAACTGATATGCAACACTACGCAGTATTTAAAAACCATTTAAAGTGACTCTAAAAACTACAAAAATAAGGTGGGTCCTATTCAGTGCTTTTTTCTGGGGGGATGCAGATGTATGCGTACCCCTAAACATTTTAGAAATAATACTTTTTTTAAAAAAAATTGTCCAGTAGCACCTTAGAGACCAAATAAGTTTGTTCTGGGTACAGTGGTACCTCGGGTTACATACGCTTCAGGTTACATACACTTCAGGTTACAGACTCCGCTAACCCAGAAATAGTACCTCGGGTTAAGAACTTTGTTTCAGGATGAGAAAAGAAATCGCGCTCCGGCGGTGCGGCGGCAGCGGGAGGCCCCATTAGCTAAAGTGGAGCTTCAGGTTAAGAACAGTTTCAGGTTAAGAAATTCGAATTACGGTAAGTTCTTAACCTGAGGTACCACTGTATAAGCTTTTGTGTGCACGCACA